TGATGGTCAAAGGTACTTGAGAAGTGCCGAGCTGTCTAAGTAGATGATGAAGCCACATTGTTTCTTTTGCTGCTAGAGAAAGAGCCATATGCTTGGCCTCGGTAGATGAAAGATCAACGGGTCTCTGTCGCTTGGTCGTGTACATTACAGGAGAACCGCAGAGATTTATAAGCTTTCCTAACATCGATCAACGTGTAGACAAGTCACTTCCCCAACTCGCATCAGCGAATACAGTGGGCAAAATTCCCTTTATGTCACCACGCTTGTAACACATATCGAGTTTAATTTTGCCCTTGAGATAACGCAGCGCACGCACTGCGGCTTTCATGTGTGCTTATTTTGGCGAGTATAGGTACTGCGATAACTCACAAATCGACGCACAGAATTTGGGACATTACGCACCAGCATTTTTGAGCAGAGGCCCGATTAAATACCGACATTTCTTGCTGTCTGCCTTTTAACCACCATCAATTTACTCAGGTTCTGTCCAAAGACATTTGGTTTGCGGCTGTAGAACGAAGAATTGCTGACCAAACCGTTCATCAAGTCCGTCGATAAACTGCGACTGACAAATGTGGATCAACTCGACGCTTGCTATTGCAGTAAACTTCAAGGCCGAGCACAAAGCAAACGTCACCGAGACCATTAATCTTGAAGTGCTTTGAGAGTGCCAACTTGATTTCGGTTGCTTGCATATTGCTCTCACAACCGATCAACTGGTCATCCACATGGAGCACAATGTACACCGCATTCTTTCCAGATAATTGGCGAACGAATTTAAACATGTCAACGATGCATGTCTCGGACTCCGACGATTTTCAATACCTTCCAATTCGTTTTGTTCGAAACAGCAGCCGCTTCCTTCAGCCTAAACAGACTACGGCTTAGCTTGCATAACTGTGTTCTCCGGAATATGGTTCCCTCCGGTGGGTAAGGTTTAGCTTGCTCATCCAACTCACCATTTAGGAAAGGAATCTCCACTTTAAATTGAAGAATCACGTAGCCATACTGACAACATAAATATCCAGGAACGTACGCACCGAACTAAGACTAGCTACCGGCGAATACGTCTCCCAACAATCGACACCATATACTTGATGGAAAGTTTTGGGCTACGAGACGAGCTTTGTACCGAGCAATATTCCCATCAGCATCTCGTTTGACGTCAAACGCCCAACTTGCAACCTATTACTCGAGTACAATGTGGACGACTTACAGCATCGCACTTATGATTAGAGGAATGCAAGCTGATCTCTCGGTCAATGACTTCTTTCCATTTAGCTGCGTCAGAAGGTGCAAGATGCTTCTTGGTAAGCTCAAAAAATATTCATAGCTGCCAATGCGATATCAATAACCATCAGTAAGACGAAGCTGCTTCGGATCTGCCTTAGAGGTATCAAGATTATCAAAATTATCAACCCCCTCGAGTTCATCAATTCGCGATTTTTATTGAGTAACACAATTTTCTGGCGTCGGGAGCAAAGCAGGAAATTCACTCGAGTGTCGCGGTACTTGTAGCAATTCCACAGACTGCGGCACAAATTGACCACCATAGATCAGACTATCTCCTACCCCTTTGTCAATATCAGCATAGCCTCTGCGTTAAACAAAACGCGCCTTATTCTGTAGAGTGAAAAGCTGCATATTACTTGAATCAGCAGCATATACTGACAATATACGGAGGGAGTACGACACCGGTAGCTTTTTGCTGGTGAGTGAAGTCTTTTTAAGGTGACGATGGCGCGGAATCTTGCTCCACCACTTGATCAAAGGTACTATCCGAGATATTATCCACACTGTCTATCTTTTTGTACTCGCCGTCATCTCCTAAATTGTTTAATATTCTCATAATCATGTTCATCATCATCACCCGGATGTCTAGAAATAGAGGTTGGGAATTGCTACCCAAACGTACGCAAATGGTAGACGTTCATCCAGGTCAATTCGTCAAGACAATCAATGTTTGTGCATCACTATTTTTATACACGAAAGGCTTTAGATCCTTTAGCGTACCCCCAAAAAATGGATCGATGGACCTTGGCATCGAACGTCTTTCGCTTTGCAGTATTTAACATAGACCCATTACATGCGCGATCCAAATGCGCGCATATACCCAAGTGACGGCTTGTTCTTCCATTTTGATTCGTAAGGTGTATTATCGTGACGCGTTATATTTGACAAGTGGCTTTATGTGTATGTAGACATCATAATTGCCTCGCCCCACCATTATTTTGGCAAAGGATGGTGGTAAAGCATTTATAGAGCAATCTCAACAAGCGAATGATCAATTCCTTCTGCTAGACCATTCTGATACGGCGAGTATAAAGCGTTCGATTGGTGCTGGATTCAGTGTTTACACAGAATTTGCTGAAATGCTTGCTACAGTATTCTTTGCCATTGTCACTTCGAATGCAGCGGATCCGAGTACCCAACTGCGAAATCATAAATGTCTTGTATTCCTTGTTTGAACTTCTCCAGAATCTCGCTCTTTTGCTTAATCAGGTAGATTCGAACATAACGTGACCAGTCAAAAAAAGAACGGTGTATCGAGCCCCACCCTTGCAGGTAACATCAGTTGGTCCCATCAAGTCACTGTGTACCACCTCACGCGATCATTTTGTCTTCAATATATTTCCAGATGACCTTGCATATTTCGAAATACACATCTTACCACATGCACATCCCTCGAATGGGCCTTCTGACGATGTTGAAGAAGAAATTGGCGGCACACCTTCTGCGAACTTGTTCAGTGCTGCTATACGGTCATACTCAAGATGGCCAAGCCTAACATGGCATAAAGTTAGTTCATCCATGGATCTTGTGGCCAAATTCGCTTCTTTGTTGTTGGATTTGGTAGAGCTCGCTAAACTCAGCACATACAGCATCACCAAACGTCTCCCACGGGCAACCCCTTGACCTTAAAATGAAATTGAACACATCTCATCTTCAAGATGAACTTCTGCTCCACGCGCTGTAAGCACCGACCACCGATAGTATCTTGCGGTCTAAACCCAAAATGAAAGAGCACATTGCTGATAATCGCAGTCCTGCCCCCTCAAGCATCAAACTAACAGATCAAGTACCACACACAGGCAAGCGATCGCCACTAGCTACATATACTTCAAGACCATCACGTGTCGACTGAGATGTGCAGAAGTCAGCATATCTCTATCACTTGCGACCAATTTGTCAAACGGACTTTTTTTATTATTCTTCTTCGGACACTAGCCACGCTTCAAAGCACGACCAATAACATACATTCATAGCAACGAGTAGTGAACTCACATACACGTTGGGGCCCTTGTTCTTGCTGGCGCTCTTGGTCGCTGTAGATGTCCCGATGCCACGCGTATATCCCGGCGTCCTCGTATATGCCCTCTTAAAGCAACAGCCTTAAACGCAGACTGTTATCTTCCTCTATTAATCATTGTGTTACAATTGTGCCATAGCATCTACTTTGCCTCACATGTTCTTGCGCTTCAATAATCCGGACAATCACATCATACTTCGGCGACTAGCTGCCAAACAAAATAGCCAATTTTTCGTCTTCGGAAACCTCGTCGCCTACCGAGGCGATACTGGTGAATAAGTCGCTAAACTTGAGAAAGTGTTCCATGATGTTGTTGCCAGTAGTCATCACAAGCTCATGTAACTTATTTGCGAAGCTGGACACGGTTGTGAAGGCTTTGCTCAACAAGAAATTCGCGCAGGATATGTCAGGCAGGCGCAGCTCTCGACGCATTCCAAATCATTAACTGGAACACCGGACTAAGCGTCATCACAATGATAGCCAATGCCTTTAAATCGACGGTCTTCCACTTTACAGTCGCCGGCTCTATCACGCCTTCTGTCTTGATTGCGACATGGTCAAGCAGCTTCTTTATCGCGAGCGTAATGCGAGCGCTAAACTCCCACAAATAGCAATTCTCGTCCATGAGAATATCATTGTTGTTTGTCATCGTACTTGAGCTCGTAACTTGTAATGTGTTGCAGAGGCTTGGCTAAAGACTCGTTTGCGTCGTGGAATAAAGTGGTAAGTAAATTTAATGTATCACATTATGTCAAACCTACTTCTGTAGCTATCAGTTCTTTACCTTGTAATAATCTTCGAGAAATCATTTCTAGAAGAAAGAGAGCTTCAAACAGTCTGAGTTTCCAGCACACAGATGAGGCAATTGCATTTAAAACAGATAAAGGCTCACCATGCGTTACAAACTGGGAAAGTCAGAATATGAGGCAACACTCAATAAGAAGCTACCTGATTAGCATTCGCTCAATGAAGTCTTTCTACAAGTTGTATTGACTGAACCTTGGATCATTTTTATCAAGTCTTCGACCGGAATTTGGAATATTTTTACGAAGTCTTCGTTTTGTTTCCGTATGAAGCATTTGACATGAGCTGATCTTCTGAGGTTTACCTAAGAATGTGACAGCAGGAAATGCACGCACATACTTATCACTGACCATTATCCTATTTATCGCGAGTATTTCGATGGGGCGTAAATACAGAAGCAGCGTTACTATCGATTTTCATCGTCGTGGACGAAGCGAAGTTAGGGATCATGCTCATAGCGTTACTAATGGATGTATCGATAGACAATTGGTCCGCTTTTATCTCGACCACCATAAGCTGTTCTGTAAAATGGGAGCCTGAGTGACGTGTAAATTGTCATCTCACAAGATTGAGGATGATCAGTTTTGCCATCATCGTGCTGATGACGGTTGACGTCGGCTCGCTATTATTACAAAGTGACTTATCATGTATTACCGTGGAAGAAGCGTTACAAACGATGCGGAAGTTCCCATTCCTACCGACAATAGTCTCCATTCACATTTAACCATTTTCCTACGAAGACCAAAACTTTGATATCTTCAACAATTAAAACAAACGTAAACATTGCTGCTTGCTCTAAGTTTCGTGTCGAACACATCAAATCGCAGGCACACTCCGTCCGTTTCTCATTGGCTATTATTAATTCGCAACTCGAAGCGTCTCCACGATGGTGCCTTGCGACGAGCGCGACGACAGTGCGGCAGCTGAGCGCGTGTATCGCCCCTTGCTGTTCCAGTCCACAGGTTATGCGTCTTCCGAGCTATTCCACGACACGTACGAAATGCACTCGCGTTTGCCGATGGCATCATCTTCGAGTGCGCCTCTATTAGGGGCAGGAGCTACTGCTACCGACTCGGGCAAGAATCAGATTGAGCGACATGTGTGTGAACCACAAATTCGACTCGAGACTTTATCTTCACGAGCTGCGACTGCTGTCATCTGGATCACCTACGTCGTTTTTCTTTTTGCAATGGTGTTGCCCTATCTCCAGAGCAAGGGGTACCTCGAGTCGGTACGGCCCTCAGAAGCTGATACGAAACGACGGTAAATTACTGGTACTGACAATGTCATTTCGCCCTCTCGTTATTGTCTTTATTTATCTGCATTCACTATGTAGGTGATTGAATTACCAGGTGCAATCTGCCCTACTCAAGAGAAGAACAGCATACCATGTATTGACGTGAACAAACCAGACAATCTAGCTGTATGGTCTGCTTATGTGACCAACGTGTCACGATATACTGGCTCTATTCAAATTAAGCTACAAGTTCGAGAGCACGTGAACTCGTCAAGGCTTGGAGTGTTGATGCCGTCTTTGACGTATAGTGATACGTTTCGAGACGAAAACCGCGTCGAGTCTGTCTGGAATGACTACCAGTATTCAAAAAGAATGGTCGTCAGTGTTGAAAACGAGACAGAGAGAATGGCGGGAGTCGAGGAGGTAGAAATTGACCGAAGTGTTGGCTACGTCTTGTCGTACGATGCAAAGCTGTACGGTATTGATGAAGGCATGAATCCAGTTTGGAAGGATCTTGTTGTCGAGGAACGCAATCAGACTATATGGGTGACGTGTCAGACAGGTGGGCCATGTGAACTTGCACAGTTGCTGGAGATCACGCGGGACGTTGACCAATCGGTAAACATCGACCTGTGTTTGCTTGCTTGCTATGCGTTTTATGACTTGTTTATTGATTGATGAAGTGAATTTTTTGATCAGAGTGGAAATGAGTACGATGCGTACTATGCTGCTGTGACTTTTAAAGGGCTGTACCCAAACGAATTCGGCAATGACGTGGTCTATCAGTTTGCGTATACGTAGGTCTAGATTGTCTACCTGTCAGATTTCGAACTTGTTGCTAAACTTGTCGTTGCTGTCGTTGTTGTGCAGAAAGCCTGTCGTTCACGTCGGCGAAGTCGTTATTCGCGTAGTGCTAGTGTTGGCATCTATTTTAGCGCTTCCGTGCTGGTTCATATCGGTGCTGAATTTTCACGGCGGTTCTTGGCGTCAAGTGCTTGGCGTACAGAAGTGGTTGCTTGGTGTCGGCATTGCGCTCGTGCTTTGGCAAAACCCAGTCTATGCAGTTTCCCAGCTATATTCTACTGTGAGTTCGCGAACTCGGTTCGTGTCGATCACGTGCCAGTCATTCGCAGAGGCATTATTCTATGTGTTCTGGTTGGGCCTCATGGACCAGCACAGCGGAGATTATACTATACAAAGAAGCTCCTGTGTGTCAAAGTTCATCTTTGGCTTGACACTTTTTGCAGTGGACACGTGTATGACGGTGCTACGAATGCCCAAGCTGTTTTTCAGGGTGGGAATTATGTCTGCGTTTGACGTTCGTCACGAAGGATTTAATGTGCTCCTTGGCGTTGTTCGTACCGGCTTGGTACTAGCTTGGCTCGCTTGGATTATGGCGGCTGGTTTACGATCTGGTCGACGTCTGAAGACATTGCCGTATATGGCAACCCGCTTCAAGCAATTGTCGTATCGATTTCTAGTACTCGAGACGCTGTTACTTTTTGTATTCGCGTTTACATTCACGGCACTGCAAGTGTTTTACCTGGCCCAAACGTGGTATTTCATCGGTTTCGATGCATTCGTTCAGGACGCAACACACACGCTGTCCAAAATGCATACCGGTCATCCATCACTGGGCCAGTTCTTGTTTCTATCAGTATATGTGTACCTCGTCATGTTCGTGCACTTGCCCCCACCAGCTAATGGCGGTATGGGCTTGCTGGCATCAACAGCTTTCTACGTGAAAGAAAAGCCACGCGTCGACTCTTACGGCTTTCTTACACCTGATCACGATTTGTTTTGTGTGGAGACAGCTGAATGGTTGCTTGAGATGGCGTATCAAGCTTACTTCGACCCCCCTGGGTGTCCGTCATCGTCCGGATATGGTGAGCTAACTTTAGAGCGACATGGCTTTGAACTAATTACTCACCTGCGTAGTAACTTCACCGACACACACGCTGTCATTGCGTGGAGTTTGGGGGACCATCAACGCCTGGTCATATCATTCCGTGGCACCACGAGCAAGGAAAATTGGAAGAGCAATCTCCGAGCTGACCAAAAAGTGCTGTGGATACGATCTCGAGGGCTGCGCTGGAGGAAGTCTTGTCTTGAGAAAGTGAAGGACGCTGCAGCAAAGATCCCGTTACTAAATATGGCATTACCTCGTGTGCATCGAGGTAAACAGCTCATCGCTTGACGGCTCGGAAATATTGTACCTGATGTTTTGTGCGTTTGCCATGTAGGATTCTGGATTGCATACGAGTCAATTCGAGATGAATTGATGGACGTGATACGGCTCATTCTTGACGAAAATCCTGGTGTGTCAGTATATGTTACCGGCCACAGTATGGGTGGTGCTCTTGCGGTTTTAGCTGCCTATGATCTTGCGGTGAACTTTAGCATCAAGGTCAACACGTACAATTTCGGTGGTCCCCGAGTTGGCAATCCGAGCTTCCGACAACACTACGATAGCTTTGTTCCCACGAGCTTTCGTGTGGTTATGGACGGCGACATCGTGCCAGGGTGGCCAAAATTTGTACGTCGACTTGTGTATTGCAGTTGTGTAACGAGCGTTGTTGTATGAGCACTACATTCTGCGTTGCTAACATTGATTGACTACAGTGGGGACTCTATCAGCATGTGGGAACAGAAGTATCGCTTGACGTGGCGGGCAACCTTATTGTTGACCCAAGTTTCGTTGAGCGCCACCTCCACAGCTCCTCGAGGCGCAAGACGACAATGCATGGCACGAACGTGTACCGGCAGTCAATCGCCAAGTGCTATGAAAACCTAGCAACGCCGTAACGAGTGATGGAATGTGCTTCTTAGCGCCGGTTTACTCTATATTATTAAACGTTTATTGACTGCATCATTCCAACGTTGCGTGTTTCATTATTTGCAGTCAGCAAAAAGACACGATTTGTTTTGGCAGCGCGAGAAACTTAGACACCTAGATCGGCTTGGAAAGGCTAACAAGCGCCTGGTATCATTGATGATGAAAAACTTACCAAATGATTGCGAAAAGAAAAATATCTTCCAGATCTAAAATTCAGCGATTATATTTTGAGATAAAAACGATTACAAAACATGCCACAAGATGAAAATTGTACGGCATTAAAACTAACATACTTTAAAAAAAGTAATTGTTTTGGTAATATTGCAGAAGGTGCCAGACTCCATTTAACATTGTCTAAAGGTGATCCAAAATGTTTCAGCAGAACACGAATGGATATCTGCAGTGTGCTCAGTGTACGTACTTTACGAAATGCAGACTAGACCGACCTCACAGCCGCGTATTTGGAACGATAGCATCAGTCTATCAGACCAACAATAGGTAGGTTTGTGGAACGATCGAAATGAGCTGTGCATTCGAACATCGATATGCCCACCACGTAAGAGGAGAGGTGGTCAAGCGGTAAGAAGTAGGCGGATGCAGTCATACTAGTTACTTCTAATTGTGGGAGTGTGTCGCGGGGCACATCGAATCGGCATGTTTCACAAACTCGTGTGTAGTAGTAGTGCTAAGGCGGGCTGGACAAGATCGTTACCATCGCTGTAACGAGATAGGGTGTTGTAGGCGACTACCATGTGACTAGCGGGAGCATGGAACTTGTCAACTGTCTAAAAAGAGCCGAACAATAAATACAAACTAGTGCCCATACAGTGATCAGGTGTGCGGCTAACCAGATATTGGGGCCCGTGAGCTCATCACCTACCTTTTGGTATACAGATGGCATTTAGCAGCACAATGCACCGCACGAGCAAATAACGTGGCAGCCGAGATATCCTCCGAAGGTCCAACAGTAGAACTGATCGTGCGAAACTATCTCAACGAATTTCTGTGGCTCGATACCGATACGTTTCCTGCACATGAGTGCTGCCAGACCGGGTTTTAGACAAGTCAATCTGGTCATAAATTTCAAGAATTTGCGTAAGGTCAATGAGTGCACGGTGTGGACGCTCATCGCATAGAATACCGCCACTACAACTGAAACAAAATCATGCTGGTTGGTAGAAACAGTATATACGAGAGAAAAATATTGCTGCTGTGGCACTTGCCCTGTTCGAGACTTCGACAACTTAGCCGTTTTTCTTTGGTTGTTTTATGTCTCATGAATTTCCACTCATAGCAATCTTTCAGTGATCGAACCATCAATCTCATGTTGATGGTGACTAGTCTCGTTGTCTCCAGCTTGCCTTGCGTCCGTCATGTTATTGGCACGTGCATGATTGCTCTGTTTCGTCTGGATTGGGTACCTTTAAATTCATCGTTTAACGTGTTGCCTGCGTAGCAATGGGGCAACATTGGAGCAGAGAGACGTTTCGACTCGCTGTCAGTCGAGACAAAAAAATGCTGTGTGGGGTGCCGATGCAGCCACGACTGAAGCTGTATCAACGACACAATCATGAAGCTAGACACAATCATGAAGCTAGTCCATCACAAGCACTCCAGTATACTTGCGTGTACTAACTGTTGAGAAGCGGCCTTGTATTCTCACGAAAAGATGTTACAGTGAATAGATGGCGTACCGCACTTGTACGAAGAGCGCACGCGAGGAGCCTCAAGCTAAGACTATTGCTTCCTTTTTTCGTGGTGCGTAAAACACAATGAGAAAGACGCACTCTAGGTCCAAGCAGCACAAATGTAAATAGATAACGGAAGAGTTGCTCTTCTAAGAGCTGTATGAAGTTTCAGACTGAACGAAGTACCCATCTGTACTATATTCCGATGGCGCCTTCTTTGCACATCGCGCCCCCCCAAAGCATCGACGAGTCGACAATGACGCCCTATTTCTCGTTGGGTAATGGGTGCATTGTACGTACCATGTCGCCTTGTTCTGGCAGCATTGACGGGTCAACGTAGCTTACCAATGATGTCAGACTTAGTAAATGACCCATCTAAGTTACGATATTCAAAAATACTGTCGTCTCGCTGGAGATTTCGCAGGAGAGCTACCTCTCAACCAACCAATCATCTTGCCGGCAAGTTTCTTTCGTCGCAGGCAGACCAATTGGAGTTGCATCAAGTCACGCGGTGGATATGGAAATTATAATGGCAACGCACACTGGCACAGGTGAAACTCAAGATGATCATATTCGGGATACCTGCCACTTTTCTCGAGACTTGAGTGGAAAAGATAGGCTGGGTGCTTCATATTGTATGACGCGTAACAATTTATCGTGGGTCGTGCCAAAGGGTTAGTGACTTGGATGCCGTATGCACTTTAAATTTTTTCACATTCGGCTTATTCAAAGCGAGTATACATCATCACTGTAAGGGTACGACATGCCAGAAATATGTGATAAAAACTTAAATTCTTAAAGTTGGCGGTCTGTCTGGCTTGTCTGTAAAAATAGCAAATTTGTCGAATGAGCTGTCATGTACTTAGGGTGTCATTGTGGTTTCTTTTGTGAAAATACTTGTGTTTTAAAATGCATCCATCACCATGTCAAAGCTACTTTTATAAAAACAATTATTTAAAGAAGTCATGTTACTAAAAAAAGCTAATTGACGTTCTTTTAGTAATATCTTGTTACAGTACATTTCAAAAGCCACAACATTGGCTGAAATTCAGTTCGACCTCCCCCCTCAGCCACTTGCGGTCAGTACGCCACCGCCAACACGCTTACCAATGGTCCGTCGTCTACTGCTGAGCATGTAGAGACGCTTGACGCACTATGACTCGTACTGATGACTCTGTTTGGAACTGGTGTTGCTCCAGTCTATTTTTCTCACCAAGGGACCGCGCACCGTAGCCCAGTCGCTCCGCAATGGCGCGCGCCTAATGTCCAGCGCCACCGAGCAGGAGGCTAAAGGTACGTCTTAATCGCGTCTCTTTTAGTCGTTTCTATAGTGAATCGTAGTGCTAAATAGCTACGAAACTGTTTTATTTTCTTGTGAAAACAGAGCAAATGCACCGATGGACTACGATCTCCAAGGGCATGATCGCGTTCACGTCAGTGTTCACGGTTTACGCCATTAGCGACCATTTGAGCCATGGACACCACGAAGAAGAGAAGCCGGCGTACCCGTACCTCAGGATGCGCACCAAGCCATTTCCGTGGCCCGAATCGAACTGCGACTACCTGGACCGTGAGTGTCGTGCCAAGGCCCGCGCGGCTAAGAAGGCTCTTTCGGAGTAAGCAGTGCAGGCTGAGGAGTGGAAAGAGGAGGGAAGCGAAGACAAGAGCAGAATGGACGCCGGTGGTTTTGTTAGCTGAACAAGGTGGACTGATAGGTCTGGAATGACTTGTTGTCGGGATCTTGCGGTCTTCTTTTTCGTTAATGGGGCGCCGATGCGTTGTGTGCTTCCAGCTCGGTGGTCACACTGTCTTTTTAACGAGCGAAAGTAAAAGAACATGCAGTGACGGGTGGGTTTTGTTGTTTTGTTTTTGTTCTTTGTTTTGCGTTTTTTTTTTCTGGGGGGGGGGAGAGATTTCTTCCTTCCTTCCTTCCTTCCTCCTCCTTCTTCCCCCACAACAAAAACACCCCCCAAAATCTCCCTTTTTTTTTCTTATCTTTTTTTTTTAACTTTTTATACATTTTTTTTTTTAGATGGAGAAAATAATAAAACAAAAAATAAATCACTTTTTTTTTTTTTTTTTTTTTTTTCTTAGCTTTTTTTTTCACAAAACTCCCAACCACCCCAATTTTGTTTGTCCGGTGGGGTTTTTTGTGGTGATCGACATCCATGTTACGAGTTTAGAGCCCTTTATCACGCAAAAGGGAAGACTCAATTTATTGACGTATTAAGCCTTGTAGTGAGGTTGACCAACGTATATCCTGGGTCATGCGCGACGTCCTTGTTCTTTTTTTTCCTGTTTTTCCAAAAAAAACCCCTTTCTTTTATTAAAAACACCCCCTCTTTTCTAACACACAAAAAAAAAATATAAACCTTTTCCCCTAAAAAAATTTTTTAAATATAAAATAAAAAAACCCCCGTTTTTTTATTTTTATTTTTAAAAAATTAACCCAAAAACAATTTATTTTTTATTAATTTTAAAAAAAAAACCTTTTATAAAGACCGCCACGATGGGCGCAGCGTCGTCACAGTCGTGCTCGTCATCAACGATGACGTCATCACTGATGCATGGCTCACTCGCTACTGACCCGAATGCACATACCTTTATTTCGAATTCGCGACCCACGTGCTCGTCGCCAGTCACAAAAACGATGGCAGATGAACCTCCACCTTCTGTCGTCATTGCTCCTCCTCTGCCTGACGCGCCAACGTGTGTGGTAAGCCATTGCTAGCACAACACCTTGTGCACGCGAAAAATAATAGCTCGCTCTGACCTAGTGTCACAAACGTATGTGTGTTTGTTTATCTCTCTTTACGAACAAGGTCTGCGGTCGATACGGACAATATATCTGTGACGCGACGAACGACGACGTGTGCAGTCTAGCATGTCGTGATGTGTGCATAATTAGACGCAAAACGAGTACGCAAGCGACTCTGAGTGCTCAACGGCAGCAGTTAGAGGACGCGCTTCGACAGGAAGTGGGCATCCGAATTACCGCTGTCTCGGCAGCTGGAACAGGTCACAAACAAGAAAGACAGTCACAAGTATGGCTGCCTCGTCTCCTCATGGACTTCGCACAGAAGCAACAGGACGCTGATATATTACCCACGGCACTAGTGACCAATCTCTTTACTAACCACTTTGAGAGACCAACACCAGTGCAGATGCAGACAATTCCTTGCGTGCTGCAAGGATACCACGTATGTGCATTATTGTTCTTCCCGTTTGTTGGCTCGAGTATAGGGTCGACAACCGACGCGATTGACGTGATGCTGCTACTTGCCCGTAGGTCTTGGTGAGTGCACCTACCGGGACAGGAAAGACGATGTCATATTTGATTCCTGCAATTTCGCAGGTTTTGACCGCGAGGGAACGAAAGGAAGAGATTATGGCCGTGGTTCTGGCGCCGGTTCGAGAGCTTGCGATTCAGATTGAAATGGTGGCTAAGATGTTGATGCGGGGCATTTATGACATGAAGACAGCATTGTTGGTGGGCGGATTTCCTGTTCCGACGCAACGCTATCGACTTAAAAGCGGAGTTCAATTGATCGTGGCTAGCCCCGGTCGCTTTCTCGACATATTTACGAATTACAGTGGTGGCGATACTCTTCTATCTTCGATTCAAGTGTGTATTGTTGACGAGGTAGACGTCATGCTGGACGTTGGCTTTCGGCCTCAAATTTCGCAAATCGTCGCGCTGCTGGCTGCGTCTGGCACGAAGAACGTCCAGCTCCTCTTTTTTAGCGCGACTATATCGAACGAAGTCGAAGCGTTGGTGCAGCAGGTTTTAAAGACCCAAATTAATCAATCCTATATTCGCATCGATGCACGTAAGGATGCGTGCAAGGCTGATTCACTGAAGGGGCTGCCAAATCTCTACATAAACGCAAGTGCGACCCATCAAGTCCGATGGGCGGAAGACAAGGAAAAGAAGAACAAGTTGTTCGAGTTTTTGAGAACGAAAGGAAATGGGTCGACGGTTCGTAGAGACGAGCATGGACAATGCCATTATCTGAGTAGCTTGTGGGTAACGGCTTCTGTTGCTGTTGCTTGTTTAAGCTCGTCTTTGTAGGATCAAAGCTCGGTGCGACTATGCTAGCGGAAGCGGTTGAGAAGCGCTGTAACATCAGTACAGCAGCGATCCACTCGGACAAGACGCAGCAAGAAAGGCTTCGCCTGCTTGAGGCATTCGTGAACTTGGAGATCCTGGTTCTAGTGTCTACAAACGTGCTGAGTCGAGGAATGGATCTGCTGAACGTAGAAAATGTGGTGGTATACGACCTTCCCAAGAAAATCGAGGACTTTGTCCATTTAATCGGTCGCACTGGTCGTGGTGGCGAAAAGGCTGGGAACACACTCACGCTCGTAAATTTGGCAGATCGCTTGCTCTTCCGGGAGCTCGCTTTAATATTGCGGCAAGCGAATGTGTCTGTGCCCTGTGAAATGTATCAGAACATTCGTTCACAAGAGGCAAAGAAGCGCGCCAATTCCAGTGACACTGTTGTCGATGACCATAAGCGGGCTTTTTGGATTAGAAAGCAAGTGATTAACGGAACTGGCAATGTAGCATCTCAATGGAAAGAATGGGATGAGCAAAGTCGGAAGCGGCATAAGACAGGGTCGAAGCACGTAAGCTCCACGTAAGGCAAGGGTATCGGGAGAACGATCGATTTGATTGGTTATCACCACTTGCCTCATGAGTGCTGCAATACGAATGCATTGTATGTGCCTTACCTCCGATCTACAGCTTTTGGCTGAAGTGCATTGATGATTGATCAATTAGACATAACCCGTGTACTGTCGTTACGTGACGATGTCTTGCGTATCCTCGAATACGAGGATAAACCTTTGTGTGCAGAACACAGTTGGACACCTTCTGGTTGCGAAGCAACAATGATAGCAAACGCTGCGACGGATGATGAATGCTTTGGATTTCGATGCAGTATTTCCACCGTGACACGACTAAAAGCATTTAACGACTCAAACAAAGGATGTGTGAATTGCTGAATTGAGTAGTCGCGACATGACACCTGTTCACACCGTCGAGATTTATCGCTTCCAAATGAGCAAAACGTCAAACCAATCGCAAGCGTCGGAATGTTTATCTTACCCACCACGGCACAAGTAAGTGCATGACAGTATGCTCTTACTGCTTCAGACGACAAGGAAAAACACGCCATCTGCAAGCACGTCACCACACAACAGCAGCGAGGCGATACCACTGAGGTAATCGGTAGTACAGGAAAAAGTTATGATAAAATGGCGATTCGTCGCACACAAGGCCGCAATAATTGCGAGTAGACTTGAACTGGGTAATGCAGAGATCGTCGAGACCATGCAGTACTATACAGCCTAGTATCTGTACGAGCAACAATGGTGTCCACTTTTGAAACACGCAAAGTTCTAGTGTACTGCTTGTGTCGCAAATGTTGCAGGACTTTAGCGAATTCAATTACTGAAAGCTTAAACAAGGACATCGGTCCAGATAGACGCGGCATCATTAATGGTCTTCGATGAAGTACTATAATCACGAATTCATCGATCAATGTGAGGTAGTGAGATTGCCCAACTTAGCTACCGTGGTAGGTATTAAACAAACAACAGTACCGTACAACTCTTTGACTACAAGGTACCTTAGGTGCCCGATAAATATCCGGAATTATTCGAAAGTAAGGAATGTGCCAATCCCATCCGAATATCTTTCTGGGACTCTTTCTACGAATTATTGAATTTGTGCATCAATTTGTTGTCTTTAAAAAAGGTTATCGTCTTTTGGACAATACCATTCTTAGCTAATATTACTAAGCCACCGATCAAGAAAGAGTTAGCAGCAAGGAGTGGTGGGCAGATAGACGATATGTTACTTCCATCTCGGGTGTAACCAGAAAAAGCTCTACGCTGATTTAATTTAGCATGATAAGATGTTGTGAATTTAGTTTCCTGATTTCCCTGCATTTAGAATCAGTAGTTGATTGTATGAATGTGTTCATTTACTTTGTAGGTGAGCTTAGCGTGTATGGAGAAGTCGCGTCGATTGTACCTAGAGATATGAGAAGGCGAATTTTTGGAGGTTGAGATCATCTATTTTGCCTCTGCAACACGGTTAGTATAATTGGGGCGATTACTAGTCGCTAGTTTGACTTGTAATCCTGTAAAAAGCTAACATGATCAATCTCTTGCTGCAGTGTTTTCCTGCTATCGTATTATTAAAGACAACAGTAACCTTCTGTTATTCTAAAAAGTTGATACATATTGCTTAGTGTGATCAAAAACATAGAGCGCAACGAAATCGACCACCAAATAACATGACTACATTATAGCCTACGACCAGGTTCTGTGTAGTCATACTACCCAATCACATTGCACAAAAATGTCAACTCTAAGGGCTTCTCCAGAATTCAGTACAGCGTAACCAATTACCCAATCACCAACTATATTTATACTCATGTAAGTGCGCCACAGCATCGGTTCAACTCAAAAAAATCTCAATTTGCGTCAAAGTGCCAAGCAGCAATTTCAATCAAACATCCTTGCCGTATACTATGTCGACTATGAATGGATCAGGTGTGACGCCTGCTAACGTGACTAAGGAAAGGACCGCGTGCGTTGCCGTGCGTCCTTTGGTTGAGCGTAGCTATCACGCCGTCCCTCCATTACCCATTACTGAAAGTTAAGCTCAAATTCATCGTCTCCCCAAGGTAGTGCTCATGCGTATATCCTTTCTGAAGTACTCAGCTAATGTCTTTACTTGGTTAGAAGCGCGCAGTTGTGATGTCCACTTCGTAGTGGAGCTGGATCCCTGTCGAAGGAAAGAACAGCTCCAGTAGATTCTTTTGACATCACAAAACAATCTGACCAAGACTTACTAGAGATGATTCAGCTTTACGATGATTGGGCGAAACGTGACCGTATTTTATGAGAGTTTCGATGAGCTTAGTCCGGATGCGACAGAATTATTTCCGTACTAAGTGCAGTTGGAAGTGGGATTCTTTTAAAACTTAAGGTATAAAATTCTAATTTTGGTTACTTTCTTTAGAAGCGACATCGTTAATGAAAAGATTTCATAGCGACTTTGAAGTGGCGCTATAAATGATCGTAAACGTACCTCTTAAGGTACCCTCTCGATCGGTTTAAGTCGGTAGATGTGTAGCGGTCGTTAGCGCGGGGGGGTGACACTCGTAGGTCACCCGGCTCAATCTAAAGCTACCTGTGTTCTGACAACTTGTGTAACGGGGTAGCCCGTTACATGATATTGACACCGAACGATGTCAATAGGGAGATTGTGTAGCGTGACATTTCCCTTATCAATATTATCAGATATGGATAATATTCAAGAAATTTTATTTCCTTGTAGGATAATATTCATGCGCTGCTCCAAGGTTGGTTGATAAAGACATATCAACCATAGATTGCCACCAATCGCTGCTAGACGCGCGCAATGAGTGGTGAGCAGGTTGTCGTTAGACGACGATGCTGATGAATATAGTTAGATAAAAACTGAAGTTGTATTGATAGCTTAACTATATTAAATACAGTTCCATTTTACCCTTTTCCTTAAACTGTCTTTTTGTTTAGACAAGCTTCCTCTGCACGTAATGGTGTACGTGAAGTTTCGTGGCACCCAAACAAAGGGTGCCCCTTACACCACGTAGCACTTCGTAGTCCGTTTAACGACTACTTAGTGTCCGTTCAACATGAGCATGTTGGACGTAGGAGACGACAGCTTTCACGTCACACGTGAAGGCTACTCCCATCTGAGTCAATCAGAATGGGAGGTAGTCGGCCGCATGAGTGTGCTCATGGGCGACCCGCCATCAGTGGCATGTTGGAGTATCTAAGCAGAGAACAATAACATGCTGCTATCAACAAGTTCCTACAAGGGGAACTTGCCGTAGAACGACAGAAGATAGCCTTGCTACAGCAGCAAGGCTCTCATCAGTCGATGGGCGGGCCGACGCACATGCGTCGACCCGAAACCTTGAAGATTGATATCTCAAGGTACAAGGGAACCGATGAAGATTCCCTGTTGAGATGGTTCGTCGAATTAGACGACGCCATCAGTGCCCGTCACATCGAGGGTGACGAGATGCAAGTCAACTTCGCCCTGTCAAATTTGACAGGACGAGCAAAGACTTGGGCCTTAGGGCTCAATCTTGACGACCCAAACGTGTTTGAGTCGTTGGAGATCTTGAAGTCTCGGCTCAAAGAGACGTTTGAGCTGCCAAGAGCCGAGTTCAGAGCACGCTCTGCACTCCTGAGGCTAAAGCAAGGTAAGCGTGATGTGCACGCTTACGCACAGCACCTGCGCTACCTTGCGAGTAGCGTTACAGAAAACCCTGTTGATGAGCACACGCTCATTAACGTGTTCATCTACGGCCTTGTAGATGGGCCGGTGAAAACCTACATGTTCCGAGAGGACTTCCATACACTGGAAAAGGCGATAGCGTATGCGGAACAAGAAGACTTCAGCCTGAGACAGTCTCAGGCTAACTCGTCAAACTATCGTCCGACGAGACGACAGGAAACAGGAGGTCCCGAACCAATGGACCTCTGTTACATCGAGAGCGAGAACTCTCGCTCTCTGAGTCACAAGCGAACGGCAAGATGCCATCGCTGTCAGAAGATTGGACAAAACTCTCATGAGTGTAGTGTCCCGAGCACTGCAACACGTCCAAAGACAGGACGTGATGACCACCGTTGGCCAAGGAAGGGTCCGAGGCGTGGGTCCGACCATGTCGCCAAGCTGCGACAGCAAGTCGTATCGCCAAAAATGGACAGGGTCAGTAGGGCGGAGCACCCTGCTGATTCAGCAACTTCAAGAGAATTTGCAAGACTCTTGACGAAGATTGCTCCCAACACACAGTCGCTGTGTGTTACTGCCCCTAGTGATGAGGTGTCCCTCATCACTTTGAAGATCGAAGTGACAAGTGGAATGTCACTTTGCGCCCTAGTTGTCTGTGGGGCGTCGAGCAGTTTTATTCGACGCCAGTCGCTAAGGGATAGTAGGCTCAACTATGTTGAGCGAGAGTTCCCTCCAACGAGGATGACGGTGTGCCTTGCTACAGGCGCATCCGTAACAGTGAACAAACGTGTAGTGGGAATCCACTACACGCTAGAAGGAAGGCAGTACGATGATGACTTCATCGTACTAGATTTGGATGACAAATTTGATGTCATCCTCGGTCTGCCATGGCTTAGAAAATACCAGCCATGGATCAGCTGGCAGCATCGACCCGTGAAGATGCCTGCAGTTTGTTGGTCGGATGGCCACCTGATGAACGTCTTGGAGCGTCCACAAGCGTGTAGATGTACTACGAGTGAGTGCGATGGCCTCACTTGTGGTACGGTCGTTAGTGCGACTGCACAAGATCACAGTGTAGAAGGCCACTACACTGTGGAACCAGCTTCCGGCACCTGTGTAGAAGATCTCAGGCTGCGCCGAAGGTTCACCACTCGAAGAGATTGAGTGGACTGGAACACGGATGCACACCAAGAAGGGTGCATCCGAGAAGAGAAATTAGTGTTGTTCAGGATGAACAACACGTTGAAGCGAGATCGACTAACAGAGAGTCGATCGTAGAGCAAGCCCGATCGACTGAAAGAGAGTCGATCGAAGGGGATGTGACTGTGATAGTACGCCCACAGTCAGTACACGTTTTGAAAGAAAGTTCCAGCGTCCATGATAGTGATAACTCCCGAAAAAGTTATGTTGAGGCTGTGGATCCTCAACCACCTGCGGATGTGTTTTCCCAGGAAATCAACGAGACAGTGAATGTCTTGGTGAATGACGGATCAAGTGCAGGCGCTTATACACTGGATCTGGTTATACCTCCGAAGTCAGCTTCGGAGGTAGTCAAGTTGCCAAAGCTAGAATCTAAACGATTCTTGCGAGATCTGCGTAGTGACAAGATCAAGCATGATCTGCGTACTCGCCACAGAGGACGAGTACGTCGCCGATATTCGGTCGGCACAAGTGTTTGCTGAGAACGAACGGGTTCTCAGTAGCTCATCGATGGACGAGAGTGTCCTCGATGAGAAGACTCGGATTGAGCGATACACGTCTCAATCTTGGGAGTATTTAAAGACAAATCCTTGTACAAGGATTTGGTCGAATTCGGTTATGTTTTCCCTGAATCCGTGCCATGCGAGCTGCCCAAGGGCAGAGGCACTCAGCATGAAATCGAACTGAAACCTGGTTCGAAGTACTGTGTCATGCGGCAGTGGCCACTGCCTCGTGAACAGGTCACAGCGATCGACAAATTCTTTGCCGATCGTTTAGCAGCTGGTCATGTGAGGGAATCAACATCCCCACACAGCTCTCCGACCTTCTGTGTGCGAAAGGCCACAGGAGAGTGGCGGATAGTGCACGCATTCAACAAACTGAACGCTGCAACGGTACCGGCTCAAACGTTGATACCGAGGAAGGACGTCATCATAGATGGTATGGCAAAGAGTATTATCTTTTTGTACATGGATCTGATGGATGGATTCTATCAGATCCTCAGGCGTTACGGGAAATCTCGTACACAGCAGTAAGCATCCCAGCGGTATGCTCTAGGAGTGGCTAGTGATGCCACAGGGGCTAAGTAACGCCCCCGCAACGTTCAACAGATGTGTTACGAATCTGTTGCGATCGGTGCGCGATTTCGCACCGAGTTACTTTGACGATGTCTTCGTCCATAGCCGGGCTATGGATGGAAAGACGGACGTGGAGGTTCATATGACCCACGTGTGGAAGGTTCTTAAACTTATGCGAGAGCATAAGTTGTTCGCGAACCTCAAGAAGTGTATATTCGCAGCGAACGAAATACCACTTCTTGGCTGCATCGTGGGTAAAAACGGCGTACGCCCTGATCAGGAAAAGATCAAGGCGACTAGCGACTGGCCTGTGCCAGTCGACGTTAAGGGACTTCGAAAGTTTCTTGGCTTAGCAGCGTACTTGCACAAGCATTCGTGCAACTACGCCGAGATGACCGTTCATCTCTCTCGTCTGTTAAAGAAAAACGAGAGGTGGTCATGGAGCGCTGAGTGTCAGCACTCCTTTGAAGGTATCAAGAAAAGCTTGATACAATCGCCTGTGTTGGACAGTTGCAGACCAGGCCAGACCATTCCATGTGTATCTGTGACGCCTGAGATTTTGCAATCGGCTGCGCGTTGGTGCAGTACGACTCAGACGGTGTTGAGCGCGTCGTCTGCTATCAATCGCGTCAGCTGCAAGCAGCTGAGCGTAACTACCCATTGCATGTCAAGGAACTCCTTGCCATGAATTATGCACTGGCCAAGTTTCGGGTATATCGCTAAGAGATAGGCCCTTCATCGTTTATAATGACCATGCGTCATTACGCACGGTTGTAAACATGTCACACCTCTTGAAACAAATGGCGAGGTGGCTGTCTTTTTTCGCGGAGTACAACTTCTCCGTCGAATGTAAATCAAGGCGACTTAAGTGTCGTCGCTGATGCTCTTTCGCGTCGGCCCGATTTCGAGCCGACTGCTCACACAAAAGTAGGGGTGATCCCACTGTAGCGACACTAACAGTGAGTGTTCCGTCGTCGAATCTGCTCGACGACGTGCGAAGAGCATACGCAGAAGATGAGTGTCTGCTGCGATTGATGGATCACGTATTCAATTCGTGTAGTCAAGCTTTGAAAAGCTTGTCGTCTCAGTACCGCTCTTCAACCGAACGGTAGTCGGTTCGTGATGTACTGCTGTACTATACAAAAGTCAACGGCGACACACCTCGTGTTGTCGTTCGTGCTCATGTTAATTTGCGATTGCGCATCATGTATGAGTGTCACGATGCCCCAACAAGTGGGCATCGCGGTAGAGAAAAGACTTGCCTCACGTTAAGACGTGACTTCAACTGGCCCCGCCGTAAGGGGAACCATGCGATTGGGTTTGAACGGTGACCTGAGCGCCCTTGCAGCCTCTTCCGATTCCGGCAGAGTGTTGGCAGTCAGTATCAATGAACTTCGTCTTCGGGTTTCCCAAAGACGTTCACAAGAATACCGGTATTCTTGAATTTGTTGATCGGTTGAGCAAGATGGTACATCTTGTTGCTGTACCAGAGTCAATCACAGCCCAGGGCTGTGCGCGTGTCTTCATCGATATTATCCTCCGACTTCACGGGTTAACCCGTGAGCTCGTGTCCAATAGGGACCCCCGCTAAACGGAGGAGTTCTGGCAATCCGTGTTCCGTTCACTTGGAACACGTTTGACAGATGTCGATTCTGACCATCCCGAAACAGATGGTCAGACGGAACGCGCAAACCGCGTCCTCGAAGAGATACTTCGAGGGTATGTCCACTCGTTTACGAGTTTGAGTGAGCTCTTGCCGATGGATGAATTTGCCATCAACAACTCGGTGCAGGCGTCGACAACGCATGCACTGTTCTTCGTGAAAGGCCTACGCCATCCACGTTTCCCGCCTGCACCGAGTGTGGCTCTAGTTTAAAGGGAAGGGTGGACTCGCTCGAACAAATACTGATCTGGTTCTTGCTCATCACCCGTCGACAATGGTGTCGACGTGATGGATGCCGATGTCGATGGGATCGATATCGACGACGATGATGACGACGATGATGACGACGATGCTGGTATACACAGCATCACCAATGACTGCCACAGTTAGGAAAAGGACGCGCTCACTGGTGAAGACACCGATCCTTCAGCAGTGCACACGAAGCGCACTGCTCTTAACAAGGATGAGTCAGCAGAGAAATTTCTGCTCGCAAAGCGGTTGTACGCCTCGTTCAAGACTCTATTGCAGGTGTAATGGACAAGCAGAAAGAAACGCAGACAAACACGGAAGAGCAAACTTTTTTTTTATATTCAATATAGGAGACTTTGTTTTACTGTCTACAGTAATCTACCAAAACACGCAGTGACAAACGTGGGCAGCAGCAAACAACTGCCCAATTATATCGGTCCATTTCGTGTGTTGCGCCGAATGGGCAACGCATTCACGATTGAGTTGCCTCGTAGGATGCGTACGCACCCTAACGCTTTAAATCGAACGTCTCCACCCGTACTATCAGTCCAAGCCCATTTTGAGAGGCGAAAAACATCTCCGCGGTCGAGAGCCGAGACCACCTTCGAGTGGTCCCGTTTCAACGAGCCAGTCTGGTCGACTAGCGAAGCGACCTGCTCACTCAGTTCAGCGATGCTCTGACGAGCAGCAGTCAGCTCGTCACAAAGAGAACGAACCAAATGTTCGTTCTCGAGCTGCGCGAGCGCAAACGCGGCACGATCGTTCGAATAATCGTTCGCGAAGACAATTATAATTATCCTTTACAAGGTCATGGAGCTCGTAACGCCGAGTCCGTTCATGAGCCAGGTCATCGTGTAACTGTTCCGCTACACGGTTCAGTTCCTGAACATCAAGCTGATCCGACGCTCGAGCCGGACCAGGTGTTCCCGCCTCCACCACATCCTTTGGTGTACTCAAGCGGTGGTCAACGCTTCCTAGTGGAGCGTATTTTGAACCACCGCGATGTGAATAGAGTCCGGACGAGTTATCCCGTCCTCTGGCGTGGCTATCCACCGGCCTGGGACAGCTGAGAGCCCTCTTGCCCAGCTGATTGTTGATGTTCTGGGTCTCGTCGAGCAATATGGCGAGACCCACCCCCGCTACGTTCGAAGAAGGGCCGTCGGAAAACAACCTCCCCTCGAACGCAAGTACAGGTACTGCAAAGTGTCGATCCCTTCGGCCATCTCGGAAGAGATGCGCGCCCTCCAGTAGGGAACATTAGGGAGGTAGGCCTCTCCGGGGGCACGATTCAAGTTGTCCAGGAAATTTGGACACAAATTAACCCACGAGAGACAGGGTATTCTGGCCTCTCTTAACATTCGGTGCAACTTGTATCGTACACCGATTGGGTTGCGTTTCTTAAACCTGATGCGAGCTGCATCAAGTTTATTGAGCCAGGCCTCACGGCCAATGCACTCTATGCTGTGGATGAGGGCATTCCATCCCTGCACCAAGGCTTTGCCGTCCCGAACACGGCTACCATTGTACCACCGATGTTTAAAGAACGCATCGGTGAAGAACTCTTCCTCAGCACGGATAGTTTCTGTGCTGAAATAGGTGGGCAAATCTTCCTGCAATCGAACAACGGAATTCGATCCCGTTCGGTAGTCGTGCCGGCCAACCGGTCCAACTCTCTGGATGGCGGCATCCACGGAGACTTTGCTTGGGGAGCGTGGCGCAGGACATTTTGGTCCCTGGCCTCTTGATTGGTGCCATCATGAGCACTGGCACCAGTGTTACCCCGGTCCCTTGAATTACTTCGCTCGTGGTGATGCATGGGTGCATCACCACCATTCCCACGCGCCTTATCGATAGACGGACTCGCGTGAGGCGGATATTCATCGGAATAATCACTCGATCCGAAGATCTCGGACATGATACCGCCGCGCTGATCAGAGCCAGTCAGCCTGGCTCTTGCAGTGTCCGCCCCGGGTGATCCGGAGGCGTGAGGCGTCGCCTGCGAGTTGGATGCATCATCCGACTCACCAGAATAGATGAGCTCCAGTTCAGGCTCATCTTCATTGCAATTCGCAGTACTAGCTGCAGACGCAGCGGATGTATCTGTCGCACGTGTTGAATCACCACGTGAACTATTCACAACAGGCACTGCCTGTTCCTCACTTGCAATAGCAGGTGAACGATCAGCTGCTGCCGAGGCTAGATAAGTGCAAAATGCGGCTGCACGCATGCGTGTAGCCGCCTTTTCGGCTGATTTATCAGCGCACCGCATGGACTTTGACACCGTGCGATGAATTGGCAAATGAGTTGGAAGTTAATTAACAAGTACTCCCCTGTCCAGAGCTATCCAACGGTGATCACCATGTCCCCCATCGATGAAGTTTAATCATTGAGTGGCTGATAATGAAGGGGGGTGATGCAACAGGGTAGCCCGTTACATGAAATTGACACCAAACGGTGTCAATAGGGAGATTGTCTAGCGTGACATTTCCCTATCAATGTTATCCGAGATGGATAATATTGAAGGAATATTATCCCCTTTTGGTAATATTCCTGCGCTGCTCCAAGGTTGGTTGATGTAGGCATATCAACCATAGATTGCCACCAATCGTTGCTAGACGCGCGTAATGAGTGGTGAGCAGGTTGTCGTTATACGACGATGTTGATAAATATAGTTAGATAGAAACTGAAGTTGTATTGATAGCTTAACTATATTAGATACAGTTCTCTTTTTACCCGTTACTCAAACTGTCTATTTGTTTAGATAAGCTTCCTCTGCACGTAATGGTGTACGTGAAGTTTCGTGGCACCCCAAACAAAGGGTTGCCCCGTTACAGTAAAGGTATATTTAAGATTTAAGTAATACCATCTGGAGAATAGAAGAATCAATATCAGTCAAATCGTCGGGATGCAAAGGGGACAACAATTCGTACGTCTGGCACCTTCGGCTTGGCCATATAGGCCATGATGGGCTTAACACCAATACCAAGAAAAAGGTTGGTGTTGAAATCGACATATCTGCATTCACGATGTGGGAAATATTTGCGGTTGCGCATCAGGAACACAAACTCATATGCCCAATCAAGCACTACAAATTGAGCGACTACACCAATCAAAGTGATCCTCGGCGACGTCTGTGGACCAATGTCAATCGCGACAATTAGCTGAAATCGGTAATTTTTGACGTTGATTGACGACATGTCAAGATACTGCATAGTGTAATTTGATACAGAACAAGTCTGAAGTTGTGGGAAAGCTTGCGGAATTCGTCGCGCTTGCAGAAAACGCATACTAGAAAGCAGATCAAGACTACGAAGCAACAATGATGTTATATACGCGTCATATAACTGACAAAAGTCTGTACGGAACGAGGAATCGTGCAATTATCACGCCGCCATATACATCACAGCTTAACAGCGTTGCTGAACGGATACATCGCACTCTGGTTGAATGTGCACCTCGCATACACTCGAACATGCTGGAATGGAAGAGTGCTACTAGGGCGAAGCAGTGATGACATTGATGTCTCTCCCTAGTCCTTGTCCTATACCTGCCTTTTCCTGAGCCAATTCACCATACTAGATGCGAGACGACACAAAAGCCGGTCTTAACAAATATGGGTGCCATGTATACAAAAGGATACTCCTAATGCGTTCACGTATATCATGATATGCGTTCAAAGCTGGATTTAAATTGTTATTTAGTCGCACCTGAAGTCCGATCGTTTTGAGGGAGTGTCGGCCAGTAAAATCACCATCAGTCGCGATGCTCAATACGAGGAATACACTTTTGAGGATGTATTTGCGTGATTACACTGGCTAGATAAGATGTCTACCGTTGGCATTACGCATTAAGATGACAAGGAAGCATGAAATTGACGATAAAGTGGACTTAAGCAACAGTGATGTTGCGGAAGAATCTAAATAGAAGGAGTCCAATTCAAAGAGACACACGCGTTCTCAGTCGCTCGAAAAATCCACTGTTACCCCGGCTTCCTAGAGGCGCACATACGGAGGTTATACGTTTGAGCACCTATCGACAACAATGCAGCTAGCATAAAGACTGTTCACTACGTGGACTAGTGGGAAAAATGCCGACCACGTTTGAGCTGGCGATGGATACTAAAAAGGTAGGCAAATGAGGGGAAGCATGTAACTATTACCTCTTTTGAAGTAGCGTAAAACGGCTGGAAACCGGTGGGTGTTTCAAGTCAAAGAAAATAGGTATTATGTAATAGATCCTTTTAAGGCACGAATGGAAGCGAAGGATTCTACGTAGACGTTTGGTGTTGACAATGAAGAATTATTCACACCCGTGTCCAAGTTTACATAAATTCGTGCAGTGCTAAGCATAGCAGCCAAGTGCGGTCTCATGTTACACCAGATGGACGTCAAGAAGTATTTTCTCAACGGATTTCTCGACTTAGACATATTAATGGCACATCCATACGGGTACAAGCACATGGACCAACCAAACTACGCGTGAAATCTGGCGTGATCTCTGTACGGCCTAAAGCAGTCGGCTCGAATGTAGAACCACACCATTGGTGACTTAATGATTACGATGTAAGCAAAGAAGCACCAAACAGACTACCTCATCCACAATCAAGCGGGACAATCAGGACGTGAATATTGTGGTGTTTTACGTCGACAACATCATCCTGTTCAGCAGCAGCAATGACCTACTTGATTCAACCAAGATAGCAATGATTACGCAATTTAAAATGACGTAACTCGGAGAGCTCAAGCAGTTCCCAGGGGTGGACATTTAGAACAATTGCAATGCCAGGAAGGTATCTGTGTGCCAACCCAAGTTTCTCAAGTCCTTTATGATCAACTTGGGCATGTTGATACTAATCCAGTCAAGACACCAGGCTAAAACTCACCAAGACAATGTGCGAACAAGGCCATAAGCATGAAGACTACATGTGCAGCGTGTCGTACTGAAGTGCAGTAGAGTGGTATCACGTACCTAGTAGTTGCTACTCGTCCAAATCTTGAAGCTCCAATTGACAATCTTGTCTCAGTCGGTATCTGAACCATGCCCAACCCATTGGCAAGCGCTGAAATGTGTTATAAGGCATTTCTGAGCGACACCCACGCACAGTCTCGTGTTTACGTGTGGACACAGTAACATCATAAGCGGGTACTTTGATACTGACTGAACCGGTTACATCGTGTCAAGACGAAATACCGGCGGTTACACCTTCATGATGAGCGAAGAATCTATTAGATGGAGAAGCACGAAACAGCGTACCGTGGCACTGTAATCATTCGAAGCCGAGTACATTACACTATCAAAAGCAAATTAAGAAGCAGTGGTTTAGGGCGTTCCTGTGTGAGCGCAAAGAAATAGCAAGTAAAAAGCCATTGATATTTACGAAAACAATCAACGATACATTGCCTCAGCCAAGAATTCGAAATTTCATCACCGCACACTACATATCAACATCTGCTACCATTTTGTGCGTGAGAAGTTAGACACAGGTGATAGTGCACCTGGAGTATCGTCCGACGTAAGGTACGTTGGTAGGCATGATGACGAAGACGATACCAGCTATCCATTTTTGAGTGCTGTAGGACCAACTCGGAATTTAAAGATACCACAGCTAACGAGTCGATTGAGAGTGATGACGAGAATAATCTCTGATCAACTTTGAAGTCCATACTCAGGACCTGAAGTTATAGATAGACGCTAGAGGCGGACATTTCAGATTGACGTCACAGGATGTCGTTATGGAACGACTCCATCGAAGAAGCTTTTTGAAGAATGGACTTGGACTTAGCACATTGTTAGCGAGCTGAGGACCAAATACATGTTCGTGTTGCAATTTGCACCATCAACACTTACAAAGACGAGTACAACTTAATCATTCACGTTAAGCCGAAATATACGAATGTTACATGTTTAAACTGACTGCTGCAAAGTCTTCGCGTGAAAAGTAAGTTTGTGAGGAATTTGTACCGATGCCCATTTGGTGCACAACATCCAAGAAATTCTCGCTGCTGGAGACGCTATTACACATGATTTTGTGCGAAGTAGGCTAACAAAGCAAAACGACAAGCACACCAAACGGTTGAATTATCGATTTCATGACAAGCTGTACTAACATGAATTGCAGCGCTGTTTCACTATCATCCTAAACAATGCACGACATGGCTCGAAAGCAATAAGCGAATAACAAAACTCTGACCCTGGTGAACAAACACTTTGTATTTACCAGATCACATTTAAATTCTAGCAGCAAGTTCAGTAGACTTTGAGCATAAACAAAGGGTTTTTTGCAGCCAAAACAGACGCAAATAAGTGCTCGACTTGGGTTTGCATGTAGCAATATGTACAAGCAGGATCTATCCAAGAGCACTTACCTGGGTATCCGTCCTTCTAAAATAGCATAATACAAACGCCCATGCTAGCATGATGAAAGCGGAGCCTGTGTTCTTTTCTAGAATCTTGCTTGGTCTTATAGTAAAGGATACGCATTTTCAGAAAACTATTGCGCCTGACTAAAACTTACATCGTGGTGGGTTGTGAAAGCTGCGCTATTAGTTAAAAGAGGTTGTGAGAAAGTTAAAAATGGAGGTGTTAAGCTCCACCTCCGTCGCATAAACTATCCACCCCTTCGCACTCAAGATGCTCTGATTGGTCAATAAAAAGAAATGCAACGAGCAGTTCAATTCCTGCTTGGTCAGACAAGAAATGTTAACAAATAGTTGAGTCATCAACAGCAGGTACACACGAAAATCTATAAAAAATTAGGCAGCGCGGACATACTACATGAATTGCAAATGCCCGTGTGCGCAATTGTACTCAAATTGATTGGAGACTAGTGTTCCATTGACGCATTGCAGCCAGGCTTGAAGAGACTGTTTCGACCTGCAAACATTATTTGTACTCGTTGTCAAGCATCAAGTAAGAGCAGCAGATTTCGTGAATCTGTCACGTTTGGCAAAGACTAGACTCTTGTTTGCACCCTCATTTTCATTTAGCAGCAGCAAAGCCGGGCGTGATACTCCAGCGTGCTGTACTGCAGCACAGCTCACTGAAGTACACATTTTACGCTATAGCCACGCCTGAGCTACACTTGCTAGCAGTAGCAGCAACGATGTTACTGCATCGCACGTTACAAAAATAGTAAGCGGAACGGAGGGAGGACACCAGTTGGAAATTAACACGAGTACACCATTGCTTCTCGTCATGGAGGTGTCACTTATATCATCAACAAAAGCCGAATGCCTAGAGTGTGCAAAATCCTAATCGAAGACACTCTCTTCGACGAGGTCCCCAAGCACTGCATTTGAAGAAGGAGCAACAACGATTGGGTCGCGATCTTTATAATACGGTCAAAGCCAGTGCACCATGATGCCAACAACCGATTATGATAAAGTAGACAGTCGCGACTGCCGAGCTAGCATTTGTATGACATCACAATGGACAGCTACGTGTAACTAAATGACCGAACAAGCGTTGACTGAAACGCACTTCGAAATGTTACGTCTTTGCCTTTTCAAGGGGTGGACGCGTAGCAGGAGTGATCCGCAACCTTGCGAAATCGCTGTAGGTACTGCAGTCAACTCACAGCATGGCCTTGCACTTATCCCGACAATTTGTTAAAAGCCTACCTCCATTACCAAAAAGAAGAGGCAACTGTAGCTGGCAGGAACTACTTGCAAGTAGCAACTAGTGACAGCACCGCAATGGCAGCCATAACGAGAAATAGTCTAAATGATAATGAGAAGACAGCAGCACTTTGGTGGAGGCATAAAAATGAGTGCCAGGGTCGACATATCAAACGGTACCAAAAGTGTTGACATGCGCACCCGAACCGGGTGAATATCGTGGCTTTTCATGTGACCAAAACATTGACCGCAGTGGCTGCAGGTACTGGCTTGTGGAGAAAACATCTGATGCCGACTCTTGTACGACTGGGAAACACAAATGACCGACGAGGTCGAAACTGCTGGATTGCTGTAGAATGGGGACACACCATCGAATCGGTGATAGAATTTGAGGAATCGTTAGCCGCTTGCCAATATTGAAACGACATATCGGACGACATTGCACTACCTGTTTGAGTGTTTTATGAGGGCGCAACTAGTACATGGGCTAGAGCGGCGGCTTGAGTAAACTCCTTCCGTGATTGGATATCAACACAGACTGGGGCGCCTAAGACGCAAAGGCCACCCACAATAGCGAGAAACTCGACCCAAATCGTCTGCGTAGTCTTGGCTTCCAAAACGCCAATATTCTACGGCATGCAAAGCAAGTCAGATCAAGTCTGGTACTTCAATACAATACGGCAGGTTTCAACTATACCTGGTGAGATGCAGACGAGCAAACAATGCCATGCATCAGCTCTTTGCGAAACTGCACTTGGAGTGCTAGACGTTGAAGCGATTTGTTCGTCACCGATATTGCCACCACAAATGGTTGTCCCACCACCACTTTGCTAGGAATTTCTTCAACAGATACGACAATATCGCCAGCGCTGGCTGTGTTTTGGCCAACGGCCTCAGAAATCTCCCGCATCAACGGCGGACTCTGCACTGATCCTGCTTCCCCCATTGATGTTTTCCACCCCACATGAAGTCGACCAAGATTCTGCGAACCCTACAAACATATCCAGGTCAGTTCATAGATCACCGAGACATCTCGGTCAGTCGACAACTTACCTGTGTCGTGAGCAAAGCTGGATTCGACGTGGGGTCGTACGAGACGTGGAATACACGCTGGAGTTCTTCTTGAGGATTAACAAGTGTCTGCGGTTCATCGTCTACTGACAAAAGGTCTTGTATCGATGCTTGGTCAAGCTCCTTTTTGATCCTACTACTTGCTACTTGCATTTCCTTGGCCACAAATGGTGGCAACGGCAAAAACTTGATACTGTCCACAAACAGCGGCAGTTTGGACACATTGCGGATTTGTGCTGCTACGATCACTTCACCGTGCTGCTGGTGCATTGACATCGGGGGACTTTGCTTGAACGTAATGACCATAGGGTTCTGCACACCAAAGCGGTAAAATTTACGCAGCGACTTACTGTCACCCGTCACCGGATCCACATAAGCCACACTCACACGCAGCACGTGATTCCCCACTTGATTCAGCGGATAATCCACCACCATATCCAGACCACTGCCAGCAGGAAGTACTGCGACAGGGTTAGTAGGAGGCATCTTTCCCGCTCGTGCGAACCGGTTGTCGTGCAGCTCCACTCGGTCATTGGCACATTGAATATTTGCTGATAATTTAACATCTCGTAATTCACACGAGTACGGGTTGATGACACTAATGTAGCTACTAAACGTATTGCCTAGGAATATCTCTCTGTGATGGAATAACACACCATCCCAATCGATTATTTTATAACAACTCTTCAACCTCTTACAGCAACATAACAACGAAATAAAAAAAAGAGACGACGTACGTACGTACCCGAAACTGTCCGGCAAGATGAGCATACTGGACAGGGCAAACTCATGTTGGGTGGCTGTAGCTTCGGCCATTGTCGTGGGCAGCATGGAGCCTCCTGTCACGCCCTGGACAAATAAATGTGGTTTGTACAGCCGCATGACTAAACAGAGAGGAATGATAACATGTGAGGGGGATGTCTCGTGGATATTACGCGAAAAAACCAGCAGGAAAACAAGCAGTACAACAGGAAGTCCGTGGACCTTTGAGTGTCGGCTGCGTGCTGGACGCAGGAGGTGCAGACGACGTGGACGCTGCTCCCTCACTCGAAGGAGACGGGCCGCTGCTTCCTGCATTAGACGAGCTCATGCGAGTCACGTGATTGATGTCGACTGTGGATGCGAATCCGAATGTTAAGTTGCGCAAAATTTCACGCGGTTGATTTAAGTTGCGCAAGATGTTGCGCGATTGGTTCAGTTGCACGTACGGTTTCGACTCGTTCTGAGGACAAGGAAGTCCATACGAAAGCACTGCACGCGATGCTCGCCCGCTCCGTGTCTCGTGCCGCGGCATTGAATGCACGCCTGGCGCCGTTACTAGCCGCTGGTCGCACGGGCATTGGCGCACTGCAATCTGCGCGTTTCTCGGACGCCCCGACGGTACAATTGACTGCAATTGCTGACATCGGTCTTGGATTCGTTTCACTGGTCCTACCCACCCCCCACCACACGTGCAAGAGCTTGACTGTTCTGTTGGTGCAACTTAACGATAGATGCACGGGACGACGATCTTGTGCGTGCGAAAAGGCGACCAAGTGGTGCGTGTGTTGTTTATTCCATGTACACACATGTATCAATTGCGTGTGCTTTCGATCCCTCTGTTAGGGAATATAAAGTCTGCCGCTGAACGCACGAAGCTGGTACCGACCAGACTGCTAAATCTTCCTGTGTGATGTTGTGTTGTTGTGTTGTTGGGTGCTAGTGCCTTATTGGAGACGGTCAAGTGTCGCTGGGCCCTACTGTGGTCAAGCCCAATGCCAAGAAAGTGCGTCGCATTGGCGACCACATTGTCGCGGGGTTCGCTGGCTCGACGGCCGATGCGTTTACGCTCATGGAACGGCTGGAAGCCAAGCTGGACGAGTATCCGGGCCAGCTCACTCGCTCATGTGTGGAGTTGGCCAAGGCGTGGCGAACGGACAAGTACTTGCGTCGTCTGGAGGCGACGATCATTGTGTCGGACTTGAAGCAGTCGTACACGCTGACGGGCAATGGAGACGTACTGGAGCCTCATGACGGAATCATTGGCATTGGCTCGGGAGGGTCCTATGCTCTGGGCAAGTGTGGTAAAAATGCTTTGACGATAGAGCAAAAATACTAAACGACTGTTTGTTTTTTTTGTGTGTTGTAGCGGCTGCCCGTGCACTTATTGACCAGGACCTGGACGCTGAGACGATTGCTCGCAAGGCCATGCAGATTGCTGCTGATATCTGCATATACACGAACGGAAACGTTGTTGTGGAGATGCTGGAGGAGGGGAAGCACGATGCTGGGATGGAAAAAGAAAACAAAGAGTAGATAACGTTGATTACGCTGCGTAGATGGTCCTGCACTGTGTTCTAGGCTGGAGGCTTGACAGTTCTACAGTAATGCTGCTGGATCAATACAATTGTGCACAAGCGACAGCTTAGACGGATCAAAAGAGACGATATGAATGGAAATGATAGTCAGGTATAGAAAGACCGAATACGCTAACTTCTGTCGCACAGAGAATATCTGTGCCAACGCCACTGAACTGAATTGACAAAGGCCGTCTGGTTGACGCGTGAGTGCTTGTAACAGCAGCAACATATAACGACTCTTTTGCTATTCAATCCCTTATCCATCTAGATGTCAAAAATCGTGACGATGGTGAAAGGCGTGTATATTGTATTGGTACACGTGCGCGCTTCTTGTAAACGGCTGCTTAAATGTTGTTCGCAATCATCAAATTGTACTTGTCGATATTGCGCTTCAAGATGTCTTCTAGTGGGCCCATCACCCTCTTGAATGTTTTTCGATCCAATGTGAGACACTTGACCTTGCCGCGTGCTGTTACTGTTGCCTGGCGAGGTCGCGTAGTGAGCAGTGCTATTTCACCAAAGTACGCGCCAGACGTGAGGTGACCCATTTTCACCGGCAGATCTCCCGGTGAAAGCTGTTTTGTACAAACTGCTACGCCTTCTTCGATAATGTAAAAGAGGTTCCCGTCGTCACCCTGAGTAATGATGACTTCACCGTCATTAAACGTCTCGGTTTTGAGTGCATCTGCCACAGTAAGACGCTCATACTCGCTCAGTGACTCGAGCAGAGGAACGCGCTCGATAAAGCCCTTATGTGCCTCGCGCTTCTGTAACGTCGTCTCCATGATGATAAACTTGAATGTCTGTCGATCCAGTGCCCACGCTTTCGAATGCTGCACGGCCTTTACGGTTGCAGCCCGAGGGGCGTTGTACATGAGTGCCAACTCACCAAACGACATTGCTTCCGTGCACTATCAGATTGCACGATACAGATCAGTCGGGAACACGTAAATACCAGCAGATGCTCTTCACAGGCAAATGACACGCAACGCACCGTTTGCACTAGATCGCCGTCCTTATAGACCTCACAGACGCCGCTCTCGAGGATATAAAAGTTGTCTCCGTCATCTCCTTGCTTGATAATTGTATCTCCAGGTGCAAATTCCTTGGGGAACATGGCGTCGAGCACAATCTGATGCTGTTTCTCATCCAACGACTTGAACAAAATGTTCTCCGCGACCATGCAACTAATGCCGTCCATCTCTTCTTGTGACTTGGGATGCACTACACGCTCGAACTGTCGCACACTGCAGCAATTATAAGGATAAACAACAATAACAATCAAAAGACAGAGTAAGTACCAGCCACGTGACTAACCAGATCAACTTCCGTCCAAACTCTATCGGACGCTCCTCTTTACCTTGACGGGTCAATAGGTTCAGCCGACACTGAAGTCCGACGACCCTTGGCCAGAAACCGCAGAGGCGGTGCAATGGCCACGATCTCCCCCACGTCGTCTCCGCTCTCATCGTCGTCGTCACTGTCGCTCTCGTCCGAGTGATCTGCACGTCGCAAAGCAGCAGGCAGCCGCAACATGTCCGTCATTAGTACAGCACAGGAACGCTAACTCTATTTCTATCTCGAGCGCTCTATCTCTATTTCTATTTCGATCATCGCCCTCCAGAACCTTTGCGTACGAACTACATGCAGACCGTACGTACAGTGCAATTGACACGACAGAGTCGGATCGTCTTCCATTCGCTCGAGTTTCGAACGCGACTGCGTCTCGTCTGGGTACGTCGCGCACAAGTACTGGACAATGTGCCGAATCGGGTTCTCCGGCTTTGCAAGCAGCAGCGACTCGACCAGGTTCATGAACAGCGCATTGATCCCTTTCTTCTGGAGGTAGTCTTGAAGCTCCTGCTGCACGACCTCTGCGTCCGTCATTTCCCTACTAACTGCTGCGCGGCTGTAGGGACAGTGGTTTTAGTGATCGATTGCGCACGTCGAGAGGAAAACGGGACTGACGACTGGGTTGGGGCTCGAAAATCGAAGTATAGGGACGCGCTGAACCCAAGCAGACGCTCACGTAAGTCGTCGAAAGATCGCGCGGTGGAGGCGGAGAACCGCGTCGCAGATGGCGCGTGAATACGAACGTAACGTCGGTCGTAGCGGGTGGTTACGGTTCGCGGCTCGCTCGCTATCTGGCTCGAATAAGGCGGTCGCCACCGCAGATGTGTTAGAGCGAGCTCTAATTCGGCTGCGACGCTTGGGAACGCACTTAACGGGACCGATGGGCGTTGCTGTGGAGCCAATCAAACGTCGGGATGGACGGATGGGTGAAGTGTCGCGCACGTGCTCCAGCTCGATTAGCGCGAACTGAATTGAACTGACGTGGAGTTGGATGGAAGCGCTTTTCTCAGGTCACTTCTTTGTCGCACGTGAAGAAGGAACAGAGAGACACGACGACCCACGACTTCTAGATCGTACCGATTTGTACCCTTGAGCTGATTTTTACAGCTTGAAGCGCCGCATCGACAGCTCCTTTTTCCAGCAGCGATGGTGTGTTGACATCCTCGTGGGCTTTACAGTACAGGTAGGATATGAGGCCACGTTGCTTGAGTCATCAGACAGAGCACGTATGCTCCGTTTCGAACACTTTGATCGAGACGGAACTATGGGCTTACGACACGTCGCATGCAAATCATCATTTAGAACACCCGTGAGTACATTTTCGGGATGCAAAAAGGCAGTCATGCTGGTGTGTTAGAACATTCGTGCTTGCACAGGTACCGATCAGACGCCTGTTGTAGCGCGATGTTAGTTTTGGATCGGAGTCGGCAGTCTGGAAACATGATGGTAAAGACAAGGCAAAGCATAGCATCTACTGAAGCTCTGCCAAAGTGAGTTCACCACCAACAGACTCAGAGCCCTGACGTTGCCAGTCGATATGGACGTTTCGGTTGGAAGTGGGTCGCCGATTGCATGTACAGCTGGGCCCTGCCTTATCGTGCTTTGCACATGATCTAGATACAAAAGGCAGCATTTTTTCGTGGATCTATTTCCCGCTTTCGACCCGCTAGACTTGTGGCCCCGCGTCTTCTGTTAAGCATACCAAATGATGAAGGACTAGCATTTCTTTTCTCATTGAGCTCCCATAGTCTCGTGGTCGATCCCACTTTCATTTGTCGGCGAGAAGGGGCACGCACTTTGCTACCCACATCGAAAACCGTTTGCACTGCCGGAGTTTGCACACCAATTCTTTTGTCGATCTCCTACTGATTTGGGCAGATTGATCGCACAAGTTGTTAGTGCTTCAAACGTTCATTTTCTGCTTCGGGTTTTCTCGTGTGAGGTACAGGCACCGCGGCTGAGCCACACATCGTCCCAGAATATCGATGGATTCAAATTTTTGAACGGATGCAACTTCACTCACAGCCGGCTGTACAGCCTATTCTACACAGTCTATTCTTTGTCGTATGTTGTTGGTGCAATCAGTTGCGCCAGGGTCAACAATGATGATTCACTTCTGATGTTACACCGAGTGTTAATTCTTTGAAGCCCAGAATGATTTCTGAACTGATGACGCACTGAAGCAGCCCATCCAAATAAATCGTGTAGCTTGTCACAGGAAGCAAATTCTACTTTTCGAAGACGCAGCGTAACTGCTGAGGTGATGACAACAATCGGGAACAATGCGACAATGTGCAAAACGGTTAAATGAGCCATGTGACCGTCGTTTTTGACATGTCACGACAATTCGATGGACTATCGTCACTATGACAAGACCTTTCGGTTGACTTGCAAGCGCTTAAAGTTCTCCAGGTCTCGTAAAACAACGCATGGCGTTCTCTCCTCCGCCCATCGGGTTCTTGACAGTGGAATGGATCGTATGCTTGTTCTTCCCTTTTACCGTGCAGCTGTTCTGACCGATAGAAATCCAAACGAGACGGAGACTCTCCAAATGGATGGGTAGCAAAATAGTACAGATAGTGCTTCTCCTTCGAAGCTCAGTGCAGCCATAAGACAACTGGTCCGAAACAAACACTCACTACACGCACCTTTCCCTCCTTCGAAGCCACGTATGTTTTAGAGCGAACCATCAAAAACTATGTTCTACAATCCGAGCTCGCGTTTTCTTGTGCTCCGTAACTTGTAATCGACGTAGGCAAAAAGAAGTGTTCTGGCAAATGTTTTCTGGATAATCGCATGACCTAACCAAACATCAGAAACATTACTGTGACGGTCCACTGCCGTGGCAATTTAGTAGTTTATGAGCGGGTGAATGATTTCTTTGATCACACTAGGGGTAACACATGCAATATAGAAGCGTGGAATAGCAGCATTTCGATTTGACAAGTAGGGCTTACAACCGGAGTAACTTTATTTCGCTAGCGATTGTACACAGTCCATAAATGACTTACTCATCGTGCCATCGGATGCCAGCTTTCGGTCATGACTACAGGTGTAAGTATATGCGGTCCCTAACTAGCACATCTAATCGACATACAACGACGTACTCACGTGTCAGTGATCATCTATTTTTGACATCAATCGACAAGCAAGGCATGCGGGCTAGCTGCCAAGAATTGTAGTTGCTTTGAAAATGCGGTTACTGTCAGGCGATATCAGAGATAAAGTTGTTTTGACAATCCAATTTGCCCTCGTTTCCCGTGTTGGAGCATAATCTTGGGTTGATAGCCCGACCATTAGACCGTCTTCTCGTGCCATCACCCGAGTAGTACATTCGTTTTTCAACGACGTTATGAGCCCATTAAAAATACCAGGCATGACCACTCCAGTCAAGCCATTCTGCTTATGACCTCGCCCCAGCTGCTGCCGAATAAACCCAAATATAATAATACGGGGGTGTCCGAGCTTGTAAAACAATACACCAGAGCAAGCTCGTCGACATAAAAGAAGACGACAAAGATCGTGACCAAAATGTATGACGTCGGATTTGCTTGCGCGTCTGGGTCATAGAAACGGATCGATTTAACTTTGCAGAAATGATATGCGGAGAGGATGAATGTGCAGTATATTCTTCTTGAGAGGTTGGGCTGCATTTCTAAACAGCGAAGACAAAAATTCAAACATATTCTCCTTAAGGGGTGCGCTGCGGCATCTATTGGTATTCATCGAAGCGTGACGACTTTCCATACTGCTACGTTACGACCTATTCCAGTTTTGCTTGTCTTGTTGGGTAAGTATCCAGCGCACCTATTCCGAGCTCAGATACTCTGACCAGATGGTAGGTCATGCACGCTAGTGGACGAGAAGTCGCAGCCTGACTACATTCTAGCATACTCTTTTGTGGACTCCCAGCTCGATTTTAGAGAGTCAAAGTGCTCTATCGGGATCGAGTGAGCACGTACAAGTACTGGTCGACGATCAAATCCTTGTTGTAGACGTGCGGTGACGCTAACGTGTCCAGGTAGATGGCGATAAATCCGTACAGTTCCTTCGCCTTAGTGAAGAACGACAAGTCGTTCTGTTCGTGCCCTGGCACATGATGCGCGAAACTCACATATACCTGTTTTGCCAGCAACGAGGATACACAATGTCAGGTGCGACAACGTTATAACGCACCGCTACTTGCTTCTTACCTGCGCGCTGGGCGCTATGCACGAGTCTATAGATCGAAGCAGATCTTCATGCTGCGCTCGATCAGCAAGACAAACGAAACATGACCGACCACCATTATTTTCTATCTACCACAGGGACAAAAATGCATCGCAGAGGCAGTAATGGACCCACCGAGTCATGCAGCCACAGACACTCCGCAACGACTGCAACGTCGAACCGAGTCCCAATCGAGTCGACAGCACATGTGGATTTTGCTGCAGTTGATTGAGATATTTTCACGCATGGCGATTCCTCGAGACATGCCAATAACCCCGCCGTGTCACTACCCCACAGGTGTCCACGCACCGCCCGCCTCCCTATGCCTAGTAGGTGCTCATTCCGTCGGATGTTTGTCGCAATATTCTCCAGTAGCAACTCATTTGGGTAGTCTACAAGAGAGAGCACTTGAACTCGTCAACACTTATCCAGCTCAGTCACACATTAAAGCTCATTACAGCTCTCACCAGTCATAACAGCCACTTTGGCTCCCAAATGTAGCGCCACGAGCGACGGCAATGCCCTCCACACACCCATTTTCAGCAGTAATAATGACGGTCATTATTACATTTGACCCACTATTTCTTCATATTTCGTAAGCCATTGGTGCACCACTTACGACGCTGCACCAAACTCGACGATACGTCGACCTTTCACCAAATCCGGATGTTTCGCAAAATACATGGCTACAAAGCGCTGAAAAGGTACAGACCAAAACAGCTGTCAATTGCGCAGTCGTTTGATCACGTCATCCTTCACTGGCTACAAAGCTGTAGGTGCGATTATAAGTTTAGACAAACCGCTCCGTTCCAGACGGCACAAGCAAAGAGTGAGCCGGGAATTCCGCCATCGTCATCGGCTACAGAGATGTGAAAAGGCGGCATTGATTCCCCCACATTAATCGTTTGCACGTAGTCATTCGGGTCGTATCCGTTGTCCTCCCCATTTTGCCGGAACAAGTCGCCCACGACGTTATCTTCGACGTTGTCCATCACAAAATAGAGGTACGCTGTCTTGTCACTTTAAAATAGAATCCTCGACGAAATATTGATACGGATTATGCATCTTAAGTTCGGATGCGTGCATTTCAATAAAATTTAAGACGGATATTTCAAGGGAATTGCTAAATTCACACCCCTTTTCCTTAAAATCACACCCTTCCTTCAGAATCTTATATATACAAGGTACGCAATCGCCGTTGGACAAAGACGAGGACTTTCTCTGCCACTTGGCTACGGGCGACATCTTGCGCGCTGCTGTAGCCGCCGGCACCGACGTAGGCAAATAGTCAAAGCCGCAATGGAGTCGGGCGCACTTGTGACCGACGAGATTGTCGTCGGTATCATTAAGGACGCCAATAAGAGTTCGGAATGCCGTCGTGGTTTTACTCTTGACGACTTCCCACGAACAATCGTGGCCAAAAAGGAGAGAACAAGAGGAGAAACAGACGAGTGTCCAGGTTGCAACGCAGCGGCTGACCCTAGTTCCCTCTATTGTATGTGGTGCTGTGCAGCTCGACGAGATGTTGACGAAGGAAAACACCTCGGTGGATGCTGTGGTGTTTATTTACGTGCCGGACAAGTGCTTATTGAACGCATTGCAGGTCAACGCATTTTTTACGTACGCATGGGCGCTTTCTGTAACGGGACACCCTGAAGCTTGTACTGGTGACAGTACAAGCTACTTATTCTGATGACAGAATAAGGCGGTGCCTCGTAACTTCACGTACACTCGTACGTGCAGAGGAAGACGGTAAGAAGAAGCGAGTACTTGGTTAAAGTAAAAAGTAGAACTGTATTTAGTATAGTTAATGTCTGCAATAAATCACTATTTATCTTCATCTAACTATGTCTAAATACAAATGTGTAAATCAGTTATCTGCTCACCACTCATTGCGTGCGTCTGTCGTGGCGCGTCTTCGTTGGTTGATATAATGGCCTATATCAACCAATTAGGAACTACTTGTAAGTGCTACAGAATATTTGTCCTTATGACAATATTCTGAGAATATAACTCTTATAGTTATATTCTATTAACAATTTCTTATAAATTGTTATGCAACGATTCACCCCGTTACATCACCCCCCTTAACCATCAGTCACTCTAGTGACTGATTGACAAATGGATACTCGTCCCAAATCGTTTGGGACAGGGTTTGCACTTGTTGGTCCGAGTCCACTTTCCAACATTTCATCGCATGGTAAACAAGCCCATGCGATGCGCGAGCAAGGCCGCCGAGAGCGCGTCCGCACGTCTCTGTGCGGACGCCGAAGCAGAAACCACAGCAACTGATGTCTCATCGGTTGGTGAAGCGACCCATCCTGTGTCACTTGGTGATGCAGGCGCTGGTCATGAAGACACTCATGTCTTCACAGAGTATGAGCTCGGTGTCTCATACTCTCCTGATACGGAAGACGGATCCGTATCGACGACGATTGAATCCAAGCCGCCTGTCAAGCGTGGCATGGACGATGCTTTGCGTCGCAGCATCTTTGGTTCATCTGATAAATCAGATGAACCATTACCGAAGCGAAGGCGCTCGAGGTCGCGAGACTCGGGCGCTAACAGTGGTGTCGGTTCTCCTATGGACACCACTACACAGCGAGGTGCCAGTACTTCTGTCGGCACATCGCAGGAAGAGCGGGATCGCAATGTCTTGCGTCTCGCTCGTGAGAAGAAGGCATGGATGCCTCCCAAATCTGTCATGGACCACTTGTCGGCGACGACGAGTGATCGTTATCGAACACGATTGTTCGATTCGTCAAGGATCCATCACCTTGACCCCAGCGCGAAAAACTATCGCGCTGAACATGAATTCTTCATCGATGTTTTTTTTAGACATCGATGGTACAGTGGGAATCACAAACGTGATGGTCCCTCACTACTTCAGGCGTGGAACGCCTACATCCATAACCTTGAGGATGTAGGTCGTGACGTTTGGAACGACAAACTTATCGAAGCTCGTGATAAGTTTAAAAAGCGAACCCCCACAGGTGCACGCTACAAGCTGCATCGTCTGTCAAGGGAGAAAGGATTACCCTGCCTCTCTTGGGGAGACTCGTGCCCATGTTGTGTGAACAACTCTGCACGAGCACCTAAGGAGGCTTATCTCCTTACCAGCCCGTGGTGGCGCGTACGTATCTCTACTGAGATGTACGAAGGGATCGACAACCTGAAATCCCTTTACGACCGTGCCGGGAATACTTTCTCCGGCGGTCCTTCTGCGGCACAGGATGTGCCGCGTCGTACTGCTCAACCAGACCCAGTACGTCAACCATCAGTTGGAAGCGGGGCTCCCAAGTATCCCAGGACGGGGGATAGCCGCGCCACCGGACGAGATAACTCGTCCGACGTCCGTTCACGTCGCGGTGGTTCAACAGCTGCTCAACTAGATAGCGCTGACCACCGCGAGAGTCCTGTAATGGAGGTGGAGGAGGTGGAAAGACGCTCTCCACACGATCATGTGGATCGGTGTGTTCCCGAGAGCTTCTTTGATCGCGTAACGCAAGGGTTACGCGACGATCTCGAGCATGAGCGGAATAGGCGTCTCCAGATGGCGGACACTGTCTCGAAGCATCGAGCTGAGTTTGCCTTTGCTCAGCTTGAGAACGAGAGAGCTTTGACATCTCTTCGTGACGGGCTAAGGGTAGCTAGTGTGGATATTGACCGGTCTCGGGCTGAGATAACTGCTCTCCAGACCCTTGTCGATGCCCACCATCGGGAGCACAAGGCTCTCTGCGAGATGCTTGAGCGCAAGGGCGTTCTTCATCGGAAGAAGCAGCGTACTGATGGTACGGCTTAAGCCGACCAACGCAAAACGTGGGATGCGTTCGCATCTTACGTGGCAACTCGATCGTGTATGCATTGCCTAGGCGGTGCAATACACGAAATGGGCCGATGTACCTGGGTAGTAGTTTACTGCTACCCAAGTTAGTCACTACATGCTTTGGTAGATTAATCGGAGACAGTAGGACTAAGTCACCTTTATTGAATAAAAGAGTGTTTGCCCTTCCATTCTTGTCAGCGTTTTGCTTTTGCTTATCCACCGCTTCGGCGATGGAATCTTGCACAAAACGGACTACCGTTTCACGAGCTAGTATGAACTCATCTGATGACTCGTTAGCTTCAGTGCGCTGTGAGTGCACTGCGGCAACATCAACCTTTTCTTCAGTGAGGGCTTCCGCACTCTCACTGGCATCATCTTCTTCGATATCGATGTTATCGATATCGGCATCAAACGCAATGACCTCTTCGTCAGAGCGTGATGAGCGTGAACCAAATCGGTTTTTGCTCGCGCGAGTCCCTCCCCCCTCCCTTGAACCAGAGTTACACTCTAGTAAGGTGGGTACACGCGGATGGCGCAAGCCATTCACGTAAAACGGTGTATGTGTCGTGGACGCATGCACCGAGTTGTAAATGGCAAACTCTACCATTGGCAAAAACTCACTCCAACTCTTAAAGGAGTGTACGGATCCTCGAAGTATCTCTTCAAGGACACGGTTGGCACGTTCCGTCTGACCATCTGACTCTGGATGATCAGATGTCGACATCTTCAAGCGCGTTCCGAGTGATTTAAACACGGAACGCCAGAAATCAGCAGTGAATCGTGGATCTCTGTCTGATACGAGTTCATGGGGCAACCCATGAAGTCGGAAGATGGTGTCGGTAAAGACACAAGCACATCCACTAGCCTTGATTGTCTCGGGTACAGCAACAAGGTGTACCATTTTGATGAATCTGTCAACAAATACGAGAATACCCGTATTACAGCGTGCGTCTTTGGGTAACCCGAAGACAAAATCCATTGGTATGGATTTCCAGCACTCAGCCGGAACCGGTAGAGGCTGTAAAGGTGCACGCAGTGAAGGACTTGACTTCACTCGTTGGCAGACTTCGCATGCGCGAACATACTTTCGCACAAATTGATACTGGCGGGGCCAGTTAAATTCTCGACTCACCGTGAGATATGTTTTCTCCCGGCCACGATGTCCTCCTATAGGAGCATCGTGATACTCGAACATGATCCGCAAACGCAGATCAGTATCTTCCGGAATGACAACACGTGGTGTGTCACCAGAAACGGCTGCATAATACAGTAACCCGTTGCGAGTAGTGTATCGATCTGATGCAGATCTATACGCAGGCGACAATCGTTTCAACGATTCTCGAGATGGTTGGGAGAGATGTGTCAACAACTTCACAATCTCAACATCTTAAGCGTATGCCCGCCTCACGTCATCATGCAACGTTGAAGATGGTACTGAGGACGTCATAACCGCAACAGTGACTGTCTCACTGTTGGGTTTCACGACTGGTTCAAAGTCGGAACGACGTGAGAGTGCATCAGCGACGACATTAAGTCGTCCTGGTTTGTACTCGACCGTAAAGTTGTATTCTGCAAAGAATGACAACCACCGCGCCATTCGTTGTGAAAGGTGCGGGCTGTTCACTGCCGTGCGTAATGACGCATGGCCAGTGTAAACAACGAAGGGTCTACATCCTAATAGATAGACTCTGAACTTCGCGAGTGCATACTTCATGGCAAGGAGTTCCTTGTCATGCACTGGATAGTTCCGCTCAGCTGGTTGCAGCTGACGCGACTGATAGCAGACGACGCGTTCAACGCCTTCAAGATCGTACTGCATTAATGCACAGCCGATTGCAAAATCGCTGGCATCACAGACCACATGAAATGGCCTGTCCTGATCGGCTATTGCTAGGACTGGGGATTGTATCAAGCTCTGCTTGATACCATCAAATGAGCGCTGAAATTCAGCGTTCCATAACCACCTCTCGTTCTTTTTCAACAAACGAGAGAGGTGCACAGTCATCTCGGCGTCATTGCGTGAACACTTGTGCAAATACGCCGCTAGCCCAAGGAATTTTTGAAGACCTTTGACATCAACCGGCACAGGCCAGTCGGTGATCGCCTTGATCTTTTCGGGATCAGGACGTACACCGTTCCTACCAACGATGCACCCAAGAAGTGGTATTTCGCTTGCTGCAAATATACACTTCTTGAGGTTTGCATACAATTGATGCTTTCGCATGATTGTAAGAACCTGTCGGACGTGGTACCTGTGGACCTCAACGTCCGACTTTACATTCATAGCCCGACTATGGATGACTACGTCATCGAAATAACTTGGCGCGAATTCTCTTACTGGTCTCAACAGATGTGATACACATCTGTTGAACGTGTCAAGGGCATTACTAAGCCCTTGTGGCATCACTAGCCATTCCCAGAGCATTCCGCTGGGCGTGCTAACTGCGGTATAGGGTATGTCCCGTTCTCGCATAAGGATTTGATGGAAGCCATCCATCAAATCCATGGACGAAAAGATGGTACTATTTGCAATACCATCAGTGATTACGTCCTTCCTTGGTATCGGTGTCTGAGCCGGTACTGTTGCAGCATTCAACTTGTTAAATGCATGCACTATCCGCCACCCTCCTGTTGCTTTTCGCACACAGGAGGTCGGAGAGCTATGTGGGGAAGTTGATTCCCTCACATGGCCCGCAGCTAAACGATCGGCAAAGAACTTGTCGATCGCAAGTACTTGTTCACGAGGCAGTGGCCACTGCTTCATGACACAGTACTTCGAGCCTGGTTTAAGCTCGACCTCGTGTCGAATACCTTTATCCTTCGGTAATTCGCACGGAACAGTTTCAGGGAATACATCCTTGAATTCAACCAAATCTTCATAGAGAGGATTTGTCTCGAGCGATTCCCACGATTGGGAGTCATATCGCTCAATTCGTGTCTTTTCATCTAGAACGCTCTCGTCCATAGATGAACTACTGAGAACGCTCTCGTTCTCAGTAAACACTGTTGCTGACCTTATGTCGGTTACACACTCGTCGTCAGCGACGAGTACGCAGATCTGCTTGACTTTGCCACTACGCAGATCACGCAAGAACCTTTTATGTTCGAGCGTTGGCAACTGAGTGATCTCCGAAGTCAACTTCGGAGGCGAAATCAGATCAAGTACATAAGCGCCTACACTTGATCCGTCATTGACTAGGACATTCGATGTATCTGTCATTTCCTGGGGAATTATTCCCTCAGGCTTCGAAGGGCTTATTCCTTCGGCTTCCCGGGGACTTATTCCCGCGGGTTTCGGGGAACTTATTTCCGCCGTATTTGTAATCTTGGGACTTGTTCCCTTTACTTCTTCTAGCTGGGGTTGCGCAACCACAGCGAGATCCTCTACGAAAGACTCTCCAGTCGATCTAGGATTATCGTTTCGCTTAACCTGAGCGATCGATTGTTTCTCTTCTAGATGTTACCCGCTAAGGATACATCTTTGTCCCAGTCCACCCGACTTATTCGAGTGGTGGACCTTCGGCGCAGCCTGTGTTTCCTCACAGCCGCCGGAACTTTGCTCCGAAGTGTAACCGTTTGGTACACTAAGGTTTTGTGCAGTCGTACTAACGACCGTACCACAAGTGAGGCCATCGCACTCACTCGTAGTACATCCACACGCTTGTGGACGCTCCAAAACGTTCATCAGATGGCCATCTGATGAACAAGCGGCAGGCATCGTTACTGTCCGATGTTGCCAGTTTACCCGTGGTTCGTACCTTCTGAGCCACGGTATTCCAAGGATGACATCAAATTTGCATCCAAATCCAATACGATAAAGTCATCGTCGTATTGGGTATCTTCTAGCGTATAGTGAATCTTCACTATACGCTTCATGACGGTTACGGATGCGCCTGTCGCAAGACGTACCGTCATCCTCGTAGGAGGTGTGTCACATTCACTGAATTTAAAGTGACCATCTTCTAGCGATTGGCGTCGCACAAAATTGTTAGACGCCCCACAATCGACTAGAGCTCGAAGGGACAACTTATTCGTCACTTCGAGTTTCAAGGTAATGAGTGAGATCTCATTACCTAGAGCAGCAACGCACAACGTCTGTGTGTTGGGAGCAACCTTCATCAAGAGGCCTACAAATTCTCTTGACGTTGCTGGATCAGTAGGGTGCTCCGCACCTACTGATCCTGTCCGTTTTTTGACGGTCCATCCCGTTGTTGCGTCTTTGCACCAACAGCGGACCCTCGTCCCTGCCCCTTTCTCATGGGTGGACGGTCACTACGCCCAGTGTTGCGAGACACTGGACGAGGGGCACTACACTCATAAGCGTAGTGTCCTGTCTTTTGACATCTGTTGCATCTCTGCAACTTCTTGTAGTCTGTAGAGCGAGTCTTCTCGCTCTCTACATAACAGAGTTCCATCGGCTCTGGACCTCCGCTGTCATATCGTCTCGGTTGACGATCTGATGTCGAGCTGGCGCGAGCCTGTCTCAGACTGAAGCCTTCCTGCTCCGCAATGGAAATGGCTTGTTCTAGTGAATCTAGTTCAAGCCGGAACAGGTGAGTCTTGACGGGACCATCCGCAAGACCCTGCATGAACACCGAAACCAACGTGTGTTCATCCACTGGATTGGAACTTATACAACTCGTAAGATGTCGTATATGTTGCGCGTAAGCGTGCACATCACGCTTTCCCTTCTTGAGCTTCAAGAGTTCGGTTCGAGCTCTGAACTCAGCTCTAGGCGGTTCAAACGTTTGTCTGAGCCGCGACTTGAAGACTTCTAACGACCCAAACGCATATGGGTCGTGCAACTTGAGCCCCAGTGCCCAAGTCTTGGCACGTCCTGCCAGATTTGACTGGGCAAATGCAACTTGCATATCCCCGTCGTCGATGCGACGCGCCCTTATGGCGTCATCCAATTCGACAAACCATCTCAAGAGGGAGTCTTCTTCGACTTCCCTATACTTGGAGATGTCAATCTTCAAGGTTTCGGGTCGATGCACTCGCGTCGACCCACCAGCAGCAGCCTGCTGCTGTCTCAACAGTTCAAACTGTTGAACACCCTGTTCTCTCAACAAACTCTGCTTGTTGAGAACCTTGTTGGTGAAGCAAGGCTACTTTCTCGCGTTCTGCGTCAAGTTCATTTTGAATGAACTTGGCGATAGTAGCATGTTGGGCACCTCTATTGAGAACCTCTAGCATGACGCTAACAGCATGGATGCCCATGGTTGAACCCATTCGTTCAACCGCATCCCATTCGACATCGCTCAAATGGGAGTAGCCGTCACGCGTAGCGTGAAAGCTTTGGTCATCTTCATCATCCAACATATTCATGTTGGATGTGAACGCGGTCCTTGGACGGACTACGAAGTGCTACCAGGTGTAACGGGGCACCCTGAAGCTTGTACTGGCGACAGTACAAGCTACTTATTCTGATGACAGAATAAGGCGGTGCCTCGTAACTTCACGTACACTCGTACGTGCAGAGGAAGACGGTAAGAAGAAGCGAGTACTTGGTTAAAGTAAAAAGTAGAACTGTATTTAGTATAGTTAATGTCTGCAATAAATCACTATTTATCTTCATCTAACTATGTCTAAATACAAATGTGTAAACCAACTATCTGCTCACCACTCATTGCGTGCGTCTGTCGTGGCGCGTCTTCGTTGGTTGATATAATGGCCTATATCAACCAATTAGGAACTACTCGTAAGTGCTGCAAAATATTTGTCCTTATGACAATATTCTGAGAACATAACTCTTATAGTTATATTCTATTAACAATTTCTTATAAATTGTTATGTAACGATTCACCCCGTTACACCTTCGACTCGTGATGTAGCTTTGTTGCCAAAATGGAGATACCTCGACGTCCAGGCATTTACAAAGCGATCCTTGTATGTAAGCCACGTATTAGAGAGGTATTCGAGAACTTTAGACTTACTGTCAAATAAATTTGATAGCTCTTTCCACTGTTTTTCAAATTCCACTTCCGAGTAAGCATCCACCAGATTGTTCCACTGCTAAAGAAACAAGTTCCATTGCTCGCTCGTCTCAAATTGTCGTTTGCATTTGGACATTATGTTTTTGTTCATGTGCCATGTGCACAGCATGTGCGATGAAGATGGGGATATTTTATTGATAGCTGCCATCAGCGACAGTTCGCGGTCTGTCACAATCACGGCTGGGCGTGTCTTGGGTGTCAGGATGGCTGCAAATTTCGATAACGCCCACATGTAATCGTTTTGCTTCTCTTCTATAAGAAAGCAGAAGCCAACCGAAAATTGCCCATTAAAGCTTGTCATACTAACAATGTAAAGTAAGGGGAGTTGGTACTTGTTTGTCTTGTATGTGCAGTCCATAAGCACGACATGATGGTATCGGCAAGCAAGCAGAATACTTTCTTTCTGAGCGAAAAAAGGGAGGTTATTGCTTTATTATCACCACATCTGTGGAAGTGCGTAAAATTGCTTGCTTGCAAATCATTAAAAAGAATTTATATCGGTGTCCTTCCATTTATCTTGTCCTTTCGAAGTTTCGTACGCTCATTGTACAATGTAGAGAGGTTTGCTAGGGCACCGTCATTCTCCAAAAGAAGGGATGAAAGAATCCCTAACGGTTTCACACCAGCCAATGTCAAATCTCTGACAGCATCGGCCTGTTCGCTATTTAGCTTTCTATGAGTCGAATGAACAGACGGATGGAGTGACGGCTTGTGATTGTGGAATCCATTCATCACGTTTGACTTCCAATTACCCCTTTTTTGGAGAAATTTTCACTTAAAAGGAACGGGCAATCAATTCGGTATGAGCTGGTCTGGCGTTGGCGCTCTTTTCCAACCTTTGGTAAGTTTACGGTACCTCGATCACATTTATGGTAGACACGCTTTCCTGCAATCGACCTTTAAATCGTAACAGTATAGCCTTGGCCACGTGCGAACGTCTGCACAGTATCCGTAAGTTGCTCCCGACTGGCATACTCAACCTCGGAGGAGGAAGCATGTTACTGCGTGGTGCCCTATCAGTAAACGCTGGAGGAGCTAGACTACAGGCGTGAGTAGTATCTTAGGTATTTCTTACGTATTACTTACCAATTATTGGCCTGGATATTTGAGCAATACTTTTGTCAGAAAACAAATCTTAAAATATATAGGGATCCTATAAAAGGTTTTGAAGGAACGGTGTGAATCTAAGGAAAAGGGGTGTGAATTTAGCAATTCCCTATTTCAAATGGCATTTCAAATGAGCCCTGCAATGGAAAGGCATTTTTAAAGTTTTGAAAACCCAGCGACGGCCCCACCCCGTCCTCATCTTCTTCCTCGATAAACGAGCGACCAACCTCGGCGCTTACGCTTTAGTTTAATCGCATGCCAGCGAGGGGCAACAGGAAATGCGACCTGGCTGAATGCAAACACTGCGGCAAGACTTTCGCCTGTGGTGCCCAAGGGTTCCATCGGCACGCCAACAACGACAATACCCTGCGGTACGCCAGACATCACTTGCTTTCACGTTTGTATTGTTTGCCGAATTGATAGACATATTATCAGTTCCCGAAGGGTTTGGGGTTGATGCCTGTAGGACGCAAATCGCACTAGTATGTGTCGGACGAGGCGACGAGCCGACGGAGGACATACTAAGCAAGCGCGCTGCGCTGTCGTCGACGACGCGCAAGTCATTCAATGTGCCTCGTTGGTGTGACTTCATACCTGCCAATGATCGAAATGAAGCCTACAAGCAGCTGGGGCGCCCAACGCATCGCTCAGCGACATCGTCCACGTTTTTCACAGGCTATCACTGGAACGCGTGGCTGGTCAATATTCGCCCCTCGTAACGCTTTTTAGGACCTGAAGCCATCGGCGGGACGACTGCTCAGCAACAGGTTCATGGTTGAAAAAAGGAGGCGATCCGGGTGATCGGCACATCTGGAATATCTGCATGACGCTCGATGACGCGACGAACAAGGCGGTGAAGCAGATCCTCAACGTGATGGCGTGTGGACCTCTCTCTTTTTTCTCATGCACTTCTCGATGAACCTAAATCGCGAGACGGAGGCAAACCTTCTCTAGAGGCTGAATGACGCGCGTCATCGTCTTCGTGCGTCGGTAGGCGTTGATATCGAGGACGACTTCGACGTGCTTGGGGAAGTCGCCATGGACGCCGATGCATCCCGCAAGGAAGAGTCAATGTGGACTCTTAGTACGGATTTGCCTCGTGTCATGAAAAGCTTGCGTCGGAAGAAGCTCTTTATGGCCTGTTTACGTTCGTGCTCGGCTGTGCGACGCATGGCAGACACAACCTGATCATGGATTGGCTGAAGTTGCTCAAAATTAAGCAGATAGTCGTGTCCAACGTCTTCATCATAAACAAAATCAGCAGCGTGCACCTGCTGACGTCGATGTTCGACTTCTGCTGCGACTAGAAGCTTCACAAAACGTACAGCTTGATTTTGTACATGAAAACACGATGGTGTACTGTTCTTGCCGTGCTTCAGCGCACCTTGTTTTACAACTTGTTTGTAAAATTCGTGCTGATAAGCATGCTGCACGCCATCGATCATGATGATAAGTTCGAGGACGTGGAGATGTAAGACTTTATCCATAATGCCATCTCGACGTATAGAACTGGAAGAAGACGGCTGCAGTGGCGCTGTCGCTGACACCGCTGTGCGACGCAATCCCATCTGGAGGGGGTGAGGCGACGTTCTGGACTGTGTGGGTCTGTTTCGCTCATGTCCCTCATCATGCGCTTCCATCGATCAGGCAATTCTCGCCGTGCTCAATGTGGACGGGCAAAACTTTGCCCAATTTCGTCAATTATCGCGTCGGGATGATCTACACGCCGGCTCACGAGCTTGACTTTGTCACTTACCCGTTTTACTACAGCATGCACATGAGCCTGGCTGGCTTGCACGGGCCGCCGTCTATGAGCTGTGCCAGGGTCCTTTGTTCAAGCAGTGCCAAACAGAGTTGACGTGGAGCGCCGCCGGTGACCAGGAGTGCTGCAATCTTTTCTGGATCATTGTGCGTACTTCCTCGCGATGCGCATAAAATTCACGAACACCTTGCGTCACACGAGTTGGTTCCCGAATTGTTCTGGGGCGCAAGTCGATGAACACGACATGTGCGATCTCGCCAATGTGCTCGTCCAAGTGCATAGCAACCCGACTGGTTCCGTAGGTGGCGAGCAAAACCACGAAACGAATAATCGGTGCGCACCAAGAAGCGTGTTTGTCTTGGGCTCGGTGAACGAGAAATACAGGTCTTCATCGCCTACTACTCGGCGCAGCTGAAACGGTAGTTGGCCAATAGACATATCGATCTATACTTTATGGTGCTAGCCGCGACCGACAAGGAGGAAGAAGAGCAGCGCCTGCAACAGCTAGCCGAGCAGGAGCTAGAAGAGATGGAAGACGACGATATCGGGCAAGGCGAGTTCCGAATGGCCGACGACGCAGGCGCCATGCTGGACCCGTACCTGGGCGATGACTTCGTAGGTGTAATGGGATGAATCGTTACATAACAATTTATAAGAAATTGTTAATAGCATATAACTATAAGAGTTATGTTCTCAGAATATTGTCATAAGGACAAATATTCTGTAGCACTTACAAGTAGTTCCTAATTGGTTGATATAGGCCATTATATCAACCAACGAAGACGCGCCACGACAGACGCACGCAATGAGTGGTGAGCAGATAGTTGGTTTACACATTTGTATTTAGACATAGTTAGATGAAGATAAATAGTGATTTATTGCAGACATTAACTATACTAAATACAGTTCTACTTTTTACTTTAACCAAGTACTCGCTTCTTCTTACCGTCTTCCTCTGCACGTACGAGTGTACGTGAAGTTACGAGGCACCGCCTTATTCTGTCATCAGAATAAGTAGCTTGTACTGTCACCAGTACAAGCTTCAGGGTGCCCCGTTACACCTGGTAGCACTTCGTAGTCCGTCCAAGGACCGCGTTCACATCCAACATGAATTTGTTGGATGATGAAGATGACCAAAGCTTTCACGCTACGCGTGACGGCTACTCCCATTTGAGCGATGTCGAATGGGATGCGGTTGAACGAATGGGTTCAACTATGGGCATCCATGCTGTTAGCGTCATGCTAGAGGTTCTCAATAGAGATGCCCAACATGCTACTATCGCCAAGTTCATTCAAAATGAACTTGACGCAGAACGCGAGAAAGTAGCCTTGCTTCACCAACAAGGTTCTCAACAAGCAGAGTTTGTTGAGAGAACAGGGTGTTCAACAGTTTGAACTGTTGAGACAGCAGCAGGCTGCTGCTGGTGGGTCGACGCGAGTCGCGTCGACCCGAAACCTTGAAGATTGACATCTCCAAGTATAGGGGAGTCGAAGAAGACTCCCTCTTGAGATGGTTTGTCGAATTGGATGACGCCATAAGGGCGCGTCGCATCGACGACGGGGATATGCAAGTTGCATTTGCCCAGTCAAATCTGGCAGGACGTGCCAAGACTTGGGCACTGGGGCTCAAGTTGCACGACCCATATGCGTTTGGGTCGTTGGAAGTCTTCAAGTCGCGGCTCAGACAAACGTTTGAACCGCCTAGAGCTGAGTTCAGAGCTCGAACCGAACTCTTGAAGCTCAAGAAGGGTAAGCGTGATGTGCACGCTTACGCGCAACATATACGACATCTTACGAGTTGTATAAGTTCCAATCCGGTGGATGAACACACGTTGGTTTCGGTGTTCATGCAGGGTCTTGCGGATGGTCCCGTCAAGACTCACCTGTTCCGGCTTGAACTAGATTCACTAGAACAAGCCATTTCCATTGCGGAGCAGGAAGGCTTCAGTCTCGAGACAGGCTCGCGCCAGCTCGACATCAGATCGTCAACCGAGACGATATGACAGCGGAGGTCCAGAGCCGATGGAACTCTGTTATGTAGAGAGCGAGAAGACTCGCTCTACAGACTACAAGAAGTTGCAGAGATGCAACAGATGTCAAAAGACAGGACACTACGCTTATGAGTGTAGTGCCCCTCGTCCAGTGTCTCGCAACACTGGGCGTAGTGACCGTCCACCCATGAGAAAGGGGCAGGGACGAGGGTCCGCTGTTGGTGCAAAGACGCAACAACAGGATGGACCGTCAAAAAACGGACAGGATCAGTAAGTGCGGAGCACCCTACTGGTCCAGCAACGTCAAGAGAATTTGAAGGCCTCTTGATGAAGGTTGCTCCCAACACACAAACGTTGTGCGTTGCTGCTCTAGGTAATGAGGTCTCACTCATTACCTTGAAACTCGAAGTGACGAATAAGTTGTCCCTTCGAGCTCTAGTCAATTGTGGGGCGTCCAACAATTTTGTGCGACGCTAATCGCTAGAAGATGGTCACTTTAAATTCAGTGAATGTGACACGCCTCCTACGAGGATGACGATACGTCTTGCGACAGGCGCATCCGTAACCGTCATGAAGCGTATAGTGAAGATTCACTATACGCTAGAAGATACCCGATATGACGATGACTTTATCGTATTGGATTTGGATGCAAATTTGATGTCATCCTTGGAATAACGTGGCTCAGAAGGTACGAACCACGGGTAAACTGGCAACATCGGACAGTAACGATGCCTGCCGCTTGTTCATCAGATGGCCATCTGATGAACGTTTTGGAGCGTCCACAAGCGTGTGGATGTACTACGAGTGAGTGCGATGGCCTCACTTGTGGTACGGTCGTTAGTACGACTGCACAAAACCTTAGTGTACCAAACGGTTACACTTCGGAGCAAAGTTCCGGCGGCTGTGAGGAAACACAGGCTTCGCCGAAGGTCCACCACTCAAATAAGTCGGGTGGACTGGGACAAAGATGTATCCTTAGCGGGTAACATCTAGAAGAGAAACAATCGATCGCTCAGGTTAAGCGAAACGATAATCCTAGATCGACTGGAGAGTCTTTCGTAGAGGATCTCGCTGTGGTTGCGCAACCCCAGCTAGAGGAAGTAAAGGGAACAAGTCCCAAGATTACAAATACGGCGGAAATAAGTTCCCCGAAACCCGCGGGAATAAGTCCCCGGGAAGCCGAAGGAATAAGCCCTTCGAAGCCTGAGGGAATAAGTCCCCAGTAAATGACAGAGACATTGAATGTCATAGTCAATAACGGATCAAGTGTAGGCGCTTACACACTTGATCTGATTGCGCCTCCGAAGTTGACTTCGGAGATCACTCAGTTGCCAACGCTCGAACATAAAAGGTTCTTGCGTGATCTGCGTAGTGGCAAAGTCAAGCAGATCTGCGTACTCGTCGCTGACGACGAGTGTGTAACCGACATAAGGTCAGCAACAGTGTTTACTGAGAACGAGAGCGTTCTCAGTAGTTCATCTATGGACGAGAGCGTTCTAGATGAAAAGACACGAATTGAGCGATATGACTCCCAATCGTGGGAATCGCTCGAGACAAATCCTCTCTATGAAGATTTGGTTGAATTCAAGGATGTATTCCCTGAACTGTTCCGTGCGAATTACCGAAGGATAAAGGTATTCGACACGAGGTCGAGCTTAAACCAGGCTCGAAGTACTGTGTCATGAAGCAGTGGCCACTGCCTCGTGAACAAGTACTTGCGATCGACAAGTTCTTTGCCGATCGTTTAGCTGCGGGCCATGTGAGGGAATCAACTTCCCCACATAGCTCTCCGACCTTCTGTGTGCGAAAAGCAACAGGAGGGTGGCGGATAGTGCATGCATTTAACAAGTTGAATGCTGCGACAGTACCGGCTCAGACGCCGATACCGAGGAAGGACGTAATCACTGATGGTATTGCAAATAGTACCATCTTTTCGTCCATGGATTTGATGGATGGCTTCCATCAAATCCTTATGCGGGAACGGGACATACCCTATACCGCAGTTAGCACGCCCAGCGGCATGCTCTGGGAATGGCTAGTAATGCCACAAGGGCTTAGTAATGCCCTTGACACGTTCAACAGATGTGTATCACATCTGTTGAGACCAGTACAAGAATTCGCGCCAAGTTATTTCGATGACGTATATTCTCAGAATATTGTCATAAGGACAAATATTCTGTAGCACTTACAAGTAGTTCCTAATTGGTTGATATAGGCCATTAGATCAACCAACGAAGACGCGCCACGACAGACGCACGCAATGAGTGGTGAGCAGATAGTTGATTTACACATTTGTATTTATACATAGTTTTAGATGAAGATAAATAGTGATTTATTGCAGACATTAACTATACTAAATACAGTTCTACTTTTTACTTTAACCAAGTACTCGCTTCTTCTTACCGTCTTCCTCTGCACGTACGAGTGTACGTGAAGTTACGACGCACCGCCTTATTCTGTCATCAGAATAAGTAGCTTGTACTGTCACCAGTACAAGCTTCAGGGTGCCCCGTTACAGTAGGGATCGTGATGGAGGAAGGTATGATCTGATTCAGCTATAAAAATGCCGCAAAATCACGAGCTGACGGCCACTTTTAGAAATCTGACATTTGTTAATGAAAAATCTATTTTAATTAATCGATGAATATTATACGTTGAAAATGCCGGCACCCATTTCACATATAATTTGATATCAAACACCAATCCTGAGCCTTTAATGCCGTGTATGATTCCATATTTACGAATTATGATGCTGTACTTATGAAGTATGATGCACTGTATATACCCACGTGCGAGTCGCTTGGGTACATGTGAGAGGTAGTATCCTCCTTCATGATAAAAGTGTGGGACTGCGATTTTGTGATGTACGTAGCGGAGTAGCACTTTGCAAAGTTCGCGAATAATGACGCCCGATTTGCGTCGCAGTGAGCCAAAAGACGCGGAAGGGAAGGCCGATTGGTCTGGCTCTAAAACATTTCAGAATTCGTCTAGAAAAGATCCTGATTCTTCCCATTCCCTCCATCTATTTGCTTGCCTTCTACTTCTACTTTTACTTGTTGGTAGCGATAAGTAGTAGGATGTCGCTGCTTCAGCTTGTATTCATCCTTTGCTGCACCTTACAGCTCTTCAGTCTTTTCATTTTCAGTATGTCGGTTCCAAGCCGCTCACCTACACTAGAAATCCCCACTAGCAGCATCAGCGTAGAACTGGATGTGAGAGAAGTTGCTCACTCAAACTCAAAGCAAAGAATGCCGCAGCTTCTCACACGCGAGTAGATAAATGCTGGTCGCAAGTTTATTTATGAGGAAGATAAGACGCGTGTCGAGCGTAATACAAGCGATGCAACGCATTTTTAGTTGCAATGATTAAAATTTGAGCGAAGCACATGCATCTGCTTCCCAATTGCGCAAAAGGAATCGGCCTTATGACGTACCCCGCCTGCTTCTTTGACTTTTCGCATCCATTAATGAGGCAGGCTTCCCCAGCAGCTTTGACTAGTACTTATCCTTATTTCGAAGTTGCAACCAAGAACAAGAGAAAAATGACCCAAGTCAAGATCAGGGGGAGAACTGCACAAGGCGATCTTCCAACATCGAAAGAGTAGCAGTAAACCCTTACACCCTTCTGTTAATTCCCACTCGCTGAAAGAGCAAAAATGAGCTGAATACCCCGCTTACTTCTGTCATTTAGACTGTAATGGCATTCACTTTCGTCTCTAACCCAAACGACGCGGCAATTGTATAAAGCTGTTTTCGACGTTGCCAAGTTTTCAACTACAAAATGTCACTGACATTATACAACTCCCTCTTGCAAAGTCCCTTCGTTAGCGTGATCCGTAACGCTATTTTCTGGGGTTCTCAGACGTCACGCGCCTGACTATACGGGTCCAAACTACCTTTTCCAGCATAACTCTTTATTCCGCTCTAACATGTCTTTACTGGATAACGGCGCATCGATTCAGCTCCTCCATTCAGCAATCACATAGCATCGACATAACCTGCGTCAATTGATGTTTTCGCAGCATAGACCCGGCGCTAGTCTATGTCGTGCACACCACGACACTGTCGACCAACCAAATGTCGCGCTATTCTGCAAAATGGCACCTACAGCAGGTACATCGCGTCGCATCCTTCTACCAATTCTTCTGTTAAAATGTAACCCTTGTATTGCAATTTTGCGGCAGGAACGCGTCTTCGCTTCAAAAATGCACGATCAAAGAAGGTGCAGCACGTGAAGAAACTTCCGTCCCTCAAAAACCGCATCCGAGGCCTTGAGCGCTTCCTCAGTCGTGGGGTACGGCCGGGCGTGCACCACCACCTTAATGCTGTAAAATGCAGTATACTTGAGGCCTGATATTTACAATATCGATTTGTGCAGGGAATAGCTGACGCCACGCGACGAGCCAAGAAAGCAGAATTGCAGCAACTTAAGGAAGAAGTAAGTGTTGTCACATCATAATCTTGGACGTATCGTTGTTGTTTTGTGCTTAACTTGTTGAATCGTGTTTCTGTTGCTGACTGCTGTCAGTACGAGAAAAAGGACCAAGCTGCAGTGGAGAAGCAGAATGCCGAAAAGTGCAAGCGAGTGTGTTTTTACACATTCTCAACGTCTTGTTGTGCAGTGTTGCACCTTGTATTTGTCTTATTCTGTATGTACCGGATACGGTATGTCAGAAGCTAATGATGTATTGCTTGTAAATGTTTGTGTAGCCGCGGTTTTTTGAGCGTGTGAAGGTCATGCGGAAGTTGCGTCAGACGAAAAAGTGTATCGAGCAGGTACAAAGTCATTTCTGTATCGTCATCAGTGCAGTGAGAAAAAAGCTGTGACGAAGTCTATGCTTTTTGTGGTGCTTGTCGTTACAGGCACGTGATCAAGCAGAAAAAGCGGAGTACGAAAAGCAGTTCATCTTGTACCGTGAGCAGATGATGTATATTTACTACTACCCGAAAAGCGAGTCATATATTCCACTGTATGCTTCAGCACCTCACTCTGAGGAGAACGAAAAGCGTCAGGACGAACTCTCGTGCTGAGGCGATTGCTCGTTTCGAAGAGGAAGAGTCGGAAGAGGCATTCCACCAGTTTTGTTTCAACGAGGGCAAGTCGAAAGACTCAAGTGCTTCGAAGGAGACGAGATCAGCTGCTGAACTCTTGCTCAAGAACCCTACGAAGGAAATGGTGAAGAAGCAGAAGAAGGCCCGAAGCAAGCGGGACAAGTCTGGAGAAAAGCAGAAACACACGCCGGCTCTTGTCGACCAGGAAGATGACGATGAACTTCCAGAGACAGCACAGGAGGAGAGTGATAAGAAAGCGGAGCAAGAAGAAGACGACTTTTTCCTGTAACAATGAGTACAAGACGATTGTTTGCAGAAAACCAGGTGCCGCCTGCAGACTTTGGGGTATTGACGTCACGCGGTTCTCGAAATGTATTACTTTTATCTTACGCGTGCGAGCTCAAAAACATCGAGGAGAGTGCAATGGCACACAGTCAGGCCGTTTCACTGTAGCTAGATGAAGATTGATGGACCGAACTCGACGCCTTCGTTTGGCTGTGTAGTGTCCGTGATCATTTCAGCTTCAGCTTGAGATGCAGCTGCAAGTGCGTTCATGTTTGTAAAACTGAAAGACCTGAAAGCATCGCAGAGTTTGGAGTCATCGGTGCTGTCGTACATCCCACTAGGGAATCGACAATGGTTGTTGCTGTCTTCCGTCTGTAAGACCCGGCCAATGTGTTCCTTATTTGTAGCACCCAGCGAGTCTAGTGCACCCAGTGTCCCGGTGGTCCCCCACGAGGTATCAACGTCTGCTGTCGCAGCAGAAACATTGCTTGCGTTGTTGTTTCGAATAAAGTCCTTGTGTGCTTTCGAGTCGGGTACACCCAGCGACGGATCGTCGCACTCTGGTCCAAAGTCGACATTGTTTTGACTGCTGCATGCCGATCGAGAAGAAATGTCAAACTCGTCGTCATCGATGAATACATCAGTGAGATTGCGGTTGTTGAAATAGCTGGTATCAGTCGGACCTTCCAGCGTCGGCACAAACGGAGGCACGGATTCCAAAATTGTATCCCAGTTGATACCATCAAAAAACTTGTGCTGCTTGATCCCCTCCCAATTCATTCGCGTTTCTGGATTCGGGTCAAGCAACTTATCTATCAAATCCACGGCCTCAGGAGACAAGCACTTTTCTCCATCGGGCCACAGGATTTGCCGCTCTAAAATATTTTCGAAGATTGCATCCACGGTGTCATCATTGAATGGTGGAAAGCCTACCATCATTTCGTACAGGATAATGCCTAATGCCCAGTAGTCCACAGGCGGCCCATGAGGAACACCAAGAATGATTTCAGGTGCCAGGTAGTCTGGAGTACCGCATCGTCCATATGTGTGATACGCGGACTGCTTTTTCAAATTTCGCTTGGACATTGAGATGCAACGCGGGCGGCCATCTTCCGGCGTGAATGGCGAAACTTCCGATGCACTGCTATCCCGTACCTCGCTACCTTCGGCCACACATTCATCGTCAGGGTCTAAGTCAATATCACTAAGCGCTACAGCTTCCTCTGACAAGCCGAAATCGGTTAGCTGTGGAAGAGAAAAACCAGTAACATGTAACATTGAGTTGGAACCGACGGTACGACCACATAGCGAAGATGAAAACGTGAACTAACCTTGATGTGACCGGTAGACGAAAGTAAAATATTGTCGGGCTTCATGTCTCTGTGCAACATGGACCAGTGCCAACAAATAGGGAGACGAAAGCAGTGGATGAGAACAGTAGCTGATACACGATCAACCTCGACACATCTCGAACCTATGAACACAGCCCTTAGTGTGCAAGAGATTAAGTGCAATTGCAATCTCCGCTATATAAACACATGCCACCTAACAACAATAAAGCAGTCGTCAGCACTGTCAACAACAGACGTCACTTGCATCACAGTTGCAAAGCACGAACTCACCTGTTCTTCTAGTTGCACAATGCACTCCAATAACGACATGAAATCACCACCAGGGAGATATTCCATTACCAAAAAGAGATTGCGCCTAGCCAAGATCCAAACACAGCCATGATTACATCGTTGCTTGACTTTTTTCGAAGACAGCGTCTTCCCATCAACACAAAAGCAAGCTACTTACTTGGTTTGAAACGTCCAAAACAACTTCACAACAAACGGGCTCACAACACTGGCCAAAATATTCCTCTCTGTCTCAATCTGCTGGATCTGCAGCGCCACGTGACAAAAAGCAAGTGATCAGTAGTCAGCACTGCGCTCGTGGGCACGCAATAAATCTATAAACACGCAGTACCTGATTTTTGCGCAGTAAATGCTCTTTTGCAAGCACCTTTATCGCATATTGATCACCTGTTGTCTTCTTTCGAGCAAGGTACACTTTGCCAAAGGCACCCTTTGAAATTGGCTTCACAATTTGGAAATCGCGAATAGAGACTCGATAAGAAGTCGGTCTCAAGCTCGAGCGTCTTCGAGATCGCAACCATCTTCGGTTTTTAATGCTCTCCAGTGACTTGGTTCGCTTCAACGGCGACCGCATGATTTCAATCGGAGCCTGTTGAAACATCACCTTATGAGACGCTCGCATTTTGCTCATCTTGGCATGGATCAAGTTACGCAGCTTGACACAATATGCAACACCTCTGACGTCAAGCTTCAACGTCTCTTCCTGTTGTCGTATCCGATCGATGACCTTCACGAGTTGAGCACAGAGTGCAAATGCATCCACGCTAGTCACGTCGCACGACGACGTCTGGACAGCTGCCATGCGCAGTGCATGGTACGCATGCAACTCGTCCAGCTTGCCCACTGCATCAACTTCCACGAGCGACGCATCGAGCGATGCCGTGAGTTGCACCAACGAGTCGTTTATGACATCTGCTTCTAGCTCCACTCTCTTGGACAAGACACAGTAATTGATATGTTCATCCAAACTGTTCGCGTCTACTTTCGTCTCACAAAGTTTACACACGACCATCGTCGCGCGTCGGAACGTCACAGTCATCGGTCGTTTACTAAACTGCAGCTCGTCCAGCACGTCTGCCACCGACACCTCAGTCTGGCCATTCACAGCTTCCACGGTCAAGCCTTTCCTCACCCTTGTCCCGGGAGCCCTTGGCGCCACCGCAGCTTGAATCCACGTCTCCATTTGAACACTTTTGACCACCACTTTGTTCTTCACTGCATCAATCCCGACCTCCAAACCGAGATCGCCAGCCCCAAACGTCACGTCAAAAGTCTCCGGTCGTCGGACGTTCTCAAAGAAATGGCCGCCATCCTCTAGCATCGGAACCGTCTCGTCCCCGTCACTGTCCCGTCCAAACTCCTGCTTCGGTGTCCCTGAACCAGCGAAATGACGCCACTTGACCTGATTCTTCTCCCAACGACTCAGTACGTCCTCCAACGCATCGGGGGGCGATGGCGTCCAAGACGCCGCTTTGAGACGCGGAGCTTCGACTTGCAGCGCTCACTGGCAGCACGTTCAACGTGTACTGACGATGCAGACGCTGGGGCTGGATCTCGAGCCCCAGTTCGGCCTGGAGACGCTCCATTTCACGACAAGTGCGACGATTACAATTGGTACTTTGAGTACTGCTCCGGTCGAAAGGAACTTCCAGCTCCGTTACACGGACCAGCGCCAGCGGCTGCGACCGTTCCGTCATCAAGCGAGAGAGTCGGGACGAAAGTCGGATCGAACGAACGTCAACCTGGACCTGGACCTACCTGACCTGACGCTGAATGGAGGTTTGCTTACAAAAGAACGAATTGGCAACCTGTCTGTCTGTCTGTCTGTCTGTCTATCTGTCCGTCTATCGGACTGACGGACTTGTGGGTTGGTTGGTTGGTTGGGTTGTCTGCAGTTGTTGTCTGTTTGGAGGTCGAGTGTGGAGAAAGTGTGGGTGCGAGTGGAAGAGGAGAAGCGAAAAAGGGGTTGTGAGGGCGTGTGTCGTGGCTGCTTACTGCACGTCGACCTGCGGCTGTCTCCAGTGTCTTTTTGAATGGATGAAGCAACTCTCTTTCTCTCTCTCTGTCTCTCTCTCGGCGTTCGCAGGTTGTCGGTCATATCGACCGAAACATCGATCGTTAGAGGGATCGATGGCGCGAGGCGGTCGTCGAACGGTCGCACGACGATTGGCAGTTGTCGCAGACATGGAGGGAAGTTCAATCACGTGGTTGTGGCTCGATGAGGCTCGTGCATGGCGCAGGGAGATAAACAGAGAGGGACGGACGGACGGGGGGTGTGTGTCTGTGAACGAGTCAGTCGGCCGTTTCATTTTCGAGAGCTGTTGGGCCGGTCGTTTGCTGTTCTGAAAGACTTGCGAGTATGTGCGGCGGAACTAGAAGTCTCTCGAGGTGGTCGTAATGCCCCCAGTGCGATGCTAATGGTGCCGGTATGTCGTAAAGAACGACACGATCGAGCGACAGTTTCGATCCACCCCGCGAAATGAATGGCCATGTCAAACGTGACGGTGACGCCAGGCAGCAGCAGCAACTTCGTTGGCTACCAGGAACTTGGACACGAGCTCCCGATGTAACCGCCCGATCTTTCCACTGAACATGGAATAGGCGCCTAGTTCTCCAGGAAAAAAAAGACGGTTGCAGTGTTGCTTCCTCCTGCGTTCTGCGTGGTCTTGAGTTACTGGACAGGAGGAGCGCAGTAGAGTACCGAGTGGAAGACGTCATGGCGACATTGCCCCGTGAAGTGCCCAAGCAGCTTTTTTCAGGCGTCGGGACAAGTGCTTGCAGTGTGGCTGCTGGGTCCAGGTCGACCACGATTTCGTGAATGATGTCAACTGTCTGGATGGATGGATGTGCTGGGCTGTGACGTTGACTCCTCTTCGAGTTACAACACGACAAGCGTGGTAAACAAATGAAAAGACACGCAGGACGGGCACGGCTTTCGTGTTCTTCTTACTTACTTGGCTGAGCTTGTGACGGCCCAGGCTTTCTGCTCGCAAGCAAACATGTTTCGGAACGAGACTGTTGCGAACTGTGCTCAGGCACGCGTGTGAAGCGCTTGCGTCAGTGTTAATGTGTCAACCCGCATGCAAGTGGTCGATAGGCCGCCAGCCAGAAGAACAGTCGCGCTTGCATCGAACAGGTGCAGACCAATCTCGAGGCTGTCTTTCTTTACGCAAAGTGTGGCGCTCGACGTGGGGCGACCAGCGACCTTTTGAGAATAAACCAGTGTGCGGGATCCCTCATTGAACTACTATGTCTACTACGTGCAAGCGACAGGTGCCCTGTATTAGTTACCATGCCCTGTACGTCAAGCGTCATAACGATTGGCAGCAAGGGCGTCAGGTCCCATTCATTCGCCTTGATATCTCTGAGGCAGCGGCAGCGAAGACGTCAGTTCTTTTGTATCGCAACTCATTCCTTTCGATCAGGTTCGGGACATCAGACGCCGTAGCTTTTCGCCACGATGCGATCATCGAGAAGAGCAGGATTGCAATCAGCATCAGTAGTTGCATCATGTACCGAGTCGGGGCAACATCGAGTAGCTTTTCACCCTTACCGTCACCATTGTACTAGGCACCTTTTATCATTTCCTGCTTCTTCTCGGTCACACCCGAGTTCAAATGCGTGAGCTCCCGTCCCGCGGACCATTTCACCGCCGACACTCACGTGTGAACCAGTCGTTCTTCGCACCTCGTGTTTCCATCTTTTCGGGTTTTGCAGTCGTTGTTTCGAGTCCAGCCCAGAAGCAGTCACAGCGTGGAATCCCACGCGTGTGCGACATATGATGCAAAAGTTCAGACCTGAACTTGTCTTCCTCCTCCCAGTGTCTTGGTATCAGCATTTCCCAGTCGCTGCAAATACAGCCATTTCCACCCATTTTGGATCAGAAGTTGTCTCCATCTTCCGTGCTTATTTCTTTCTTCCAACGTCATGCCAGCGTCAAAAAAGCGGATTCAGAATCGAGGAACGCTTAATGTAGGGACGCAACGGGTCCCAGCAGCTTTGAAAGACTGGGTGCATCTTTGGCACGGCGTGAAAGTGAATAATGGAGTCCAGGGCAACACGTCGATTTTCCACGCAGGCTCTCGCGTTGAAGACATGCCATTTTGGAAACAATTCGTTCGACTGCCCTCGAATTCGCTGTTTCCAAGCGTGAGTACGAATGCAAACCCGAGAACGCCGTACAAGGACTTTTTGTATGTGCTCTTGAATATGCGCTGGCCCATGCTACTGATGGTGCTACTTGCTGTGTTTATGGTGAACCTCTTCTTCTTTGCCGCAGTCACGTGCTGTATCTGTGGTGATCCAACCGGGTTTCTCGAAGCTTTCAACTTGAGCTACCAGACGTTCACGACAATTGGATTCGGGGTGGTATACCCTACACACACGTGTGGGAATATTATCATGTCGGTAGAGTCCTTTGCGTCCATGATGGTCGTCTCGGCTGTTACGGGTCTTGTGTTTGCCAAATTTGCCAAACCGCAGGCTAAAGTGGCTTTCAGCAAAGTTTGTGTCGTACAACCTTACGGTAAGAAATACCTTGCACTCGTCGTGCGAGTCGCAAATGCTACACAATCACGAGATGTAACGCACGACGTTATCATGGAGGCTGTATTCAAAGTCAATTTGCTACGTGTTGAGCACAAGACGAAGCACATTCGTGCTCACGACGACGAAGTCACACTGAAACGAAGACTTTCGCAACCTCCGAGCGCACAAAGCGTCGAGAACGCTGCAGACGACCCCGCTTGTTCGACGAAAGTGCTGACCTCGTACAACCTGAAGCTGCAGCAGAATAATTTTATCACATTCCGCATGGGCATGGCCGTAGTGCACCTGATTGATGAGAGCAGCCCGCTGTACGGAATGTCAAAAAACAACATTGCCCAATCTGATATGCTTGTAGAGGTAGCAATGTGTGGCGTTGACTCGACATTGCAGGACACAGTGTCCGAGCGAAATATCTACACTGCTGCAAATCTGGTGTGGGGATACCGTTTCGCCGAGATGCTCGAGTTTAACGAGCAGAATGCGGAGGTTATCATGGACTTTGCAAGATTGAGCACTGTGGAGTCTGCTCCGATCGACGATGCCCAATACCTCCAGCCAGTTGGATCCAACGAGAGGATGCGTCCCTCCAACAGCCACGAAGGTGAAGGCAAGGATGTAGCGTGCCAGTGTTCACAGCAGAAAGTCTGCGCGTCATATTATCACAAGGGTAGGCCTCCTCCTCACGATCAAGAATTGTTTTCGGAGAGCTCAGCAAATGACGTGTCGAGCTCAAGTTCAGCATCAGGGGACAGTCAATCGACGGTCACGGACAATGAGGTGCCAGTCTCACCTCACCCTTTTGTGTCGCTTTCGCAGAAGCCCGGTCCGAAAAAGTCTGCAATGGGGCTTGAGCCATTGTTTGAGCCATTGTTGCAGCAACCGTTTGGAACACAGCGAATTCCAAAAGCTCCGTCGGCCGAAACACGCGCGGCTCGAAGAGGAGGCTTGCAGGTTTGGAGAGACATCGATCGATATCATCCGGAAATTGAACGGGCCACACTCAGCGAAGGGCGACTAGCAACAGTGGATGGTGTAGATGCCAATGTCCGGCACAAGAGTTGGGATGCCCATCATGACGAAGTAGGGTGTAGGTCTTTCGAGAGTCCCGATGTGCTGCGATCGCGACATCTGCTCCAACGAGAGGTGGCGGGGCCCGCATCTACAGGGGGTAACGCTTGCTCCAGCTCGCAAGAAAAGGAGCAGAAAAATGATCTCACCGCAGTAAACGACCCTGACGGTCGCGACGGCCATGGAGAGGTTGATGAGGATGTTTCTCAGCGGCGCCAGCGTCCTCAGACGACAATGTCTGTCGTGTCGATGGAAGTAGAAGACACGCCTCGCTTTTTGCACATTTTGCCCGTTCACATCCCCAAGTCATTCAGCTTTATGCGGTTTTACCAGAGCGCTCTCCATGTACGCTGGCCCAAAATCATTGCTGTGTTTGTGTTGTCCTTCCTAGTCATCAACTTTATCTTTGGGTTGCTGTACTGGTTTGACTTGGGCCACATTGCAGTTTATAGTGATATAGCGGTCTCAAAGTACGAGCTCACGTTCTACATGAGCGTCCATACGCTGGCAACCATTGGCTATGGATCTATTGCACCGATGCCTGACTCGGTCTACATGAACGTCATCGTGTTCATCGAGTCCATGGTGGGAATAATTACAGTGACAATCATTACCGGCATTGCTTGGTCAAAGTTTGCTCGACCGCGAGCGCACATTCACTTCTCGTCACAAATGACCATCTCAACCATCTACGGACACCGGTGCCTTGTTTTTCGTGCTGCGAATACGCGGCACTCTGGCGAGGTGCATGACAATTTTTTTCGCATTGGTGTAATCCTTACAAATCGGCGTACAGGACTACGTCAAATATACGACGTGCCGCTTATTACAGCAGAGTGGCCGTCGATCAAATTACCAGCGACACTGATCCATGTCATCAACGAGAACTCGCCATTTGACAAGTTTTATTCCATGGAAGACTTGTCCAAATCGCGTGTCGCGGTCATTGCGTTGCTCACGGGGCTCGATACGACCTTTTCGGAAAATGTGTACGCACGCAAAATGTACTTCTGGGATGACTTTGCGTACAATATGCATTTTGACGATTTTGCTGTCATTGAACGGGACTGCGTTATTGTAGACTACGAGCGCTTTGATCGACTGATTCCGAATGACCAAGACGAAGCGGTTGTGACCGCACCTGTGAGGTCTGCTGATGCTGACGCAGTAGTGTAGCAGCAGCTGAAACAATGCCATGTAAATATCAATAGCAACCTTTTGAACGCAATGGTGATGACACCCTCCATTGCAAGTTAGTTTACGAAAAAGCAAACGGTACCGTGCTCTCTACACTGTTTGCAAACGCTTGTTGTGACTCCGGACTGGACGCGCCACGCACGGAGCGATCACCAGCGACCGCGGCCACCCCCACCACCATAGCCACCGCGACCACGGCCTCCACCACCACCATAGCCACCACGGCCCACAAGATCGCGCAGCTCACGGGGTACTTCCTGCCCGGCCTCCTCCATAATCTTGACCAGCGGTGCGGCCAGTCGGCTGTTATTGCTAGCCGTGAAGAAAGAAATGGACGTGCCCTTGTTGCCTGCACGCGCTGTACGACCGATACGATGGATGTAGTCCTCGACGTTTTTCGGCATGTCGAAATTTATCACATATCGAATATCCTTAATATCCAGACCACGAGACGCCACATCTGTTGCTACCAGAATTTGAGTCTTGCCTTCCTTAAACTCACGCAATACGTAGTCACGCTCTTCCTGTGATTTGTTGCCGTGGATTGCCTTGCATACATAACGAGTGTTGCGCAGGTTGCGACTGAGTTCGTCGGCACCGCGTTTCGTCTCGCAGAAAATAATGATACGACCGCCCTCGTACATATCGCGCAGGTGTTCCTGCAACGCAGTATACTTTTGATGGTCATCCATGACTTCCACAATCTGCTTAATCTTCTTGTTCGCAGTAAGATCAAGCGATCCTACTGTCACCTGAATGAAGTCTGTCAAAAAGTCGTTCGCAAGCGACACAATTTCCTTTGGCCAGGTCGCCGACCACATTAAAGTCTGACGATCAGGGCGGATCTGACTAACGATCTTGCGCAGCTGTGGCTCAAAACCCATATCAAGCATGCGATCAGCTTCATCGAGCACCAAGTAGGTCACACGGCGCAAATTGGTCTTGCCCATACTCAGCATATCAATCATTCGACCAGGCGTACAAATGCAAACCTCCACGCCACGACGAAGATCAGCAATCTGACCACCTTTAGGGACACCGCCGTACACGCAAGTGTTCTTGATCTTAGAACTTGCACCAAACTTGTTGCATTCGGCTTGAATCTGGACAGCTAGCTCACGTGTCGGAGCAATGATCAGCACAATCGGACCATCTCCAGGCTGGAGGTAAGGCTACACAACACCACACACACACAAATAGAACAGGTCGAGTGTTAGTGGGTACTGAGACTTACCAGACACGCAGGGTTGCACGAGAAAGCAAACACAAGCGAGCGCCGAGGGATTTGAGGTGTTCGCGTGCTGCTTCTTCTTCTGGCCTTCGCCCACAACGCACCAATGCAAGAATCGCACCGATTGATGGTCACTAGGACGCCGGCAAAAGAAGAAAAAGACAGCTGCGGGCTGCTAGCACAATCTGTCGAGCAGACCGGTGACTTGTCTGCTTTGAACTCGTGCGATGTGTGCACGATTTCGCAAACAGAAGAGATCACGCCAATAGGAGAGATCACGCCACCAGAATCCACGACCGGTTGACCGACTGACTGATACTCGAAACCGTCGGCTGCCAGTCAACAAGCGCCTCTGGACTGCGTTGTGCGTGCTTTACAGCACTACGATAAGCACTTCCCGCAGTGCTCGACGCTACATGATCCGCAACCACGTAACAACCGTTTCAAACCCTCGCGCTTCGCGTGTGTCTCGTTCACCACGTGAACGATCGTCGTGATCAACACACAACAACGCCCCTACGCTCTTCTTGCAGTAGCACATTGGCGCTAGAAAAGATGCGCCCACGACTATCCCCAATACATAAAGCCAACTCGAGACAGAGTTTCCTGCCAAGCACGAACCTGTGCGTTGATATGCACGATTGCTGGCAGCAAGAAGGCCAGCGTCTTGCCCGACCCCGTGGCCGAAATGCCCACCATGTCGCGTCCAGAGAGTGCCATGGGCCAGCCCTGACACTGAATCGCCGTCGGTTTGTCAAACCCGAGTCGCACCACCTCCTCCAGCACATACTCAGGGAACGACGCCTCCTCAAACGACAGCACACACTTGGGCACGCCTTTGCCCGTCACAATGATCTGGTGCTCGCGTTTCCAGCTCTCGTACTGATCCTCCGAGCGCTTCGTCACGTCCGGATGCTCATAGTAAAAGTTCTTCTCAAACACCGGCAGCTTCGACATGTCCCACTGGATGTGCGTGTCCAGGTTCGAGCCAAGGTCGCCACCGCCACCGCCGCCACCTCCAAAGCCGCCGCTACTGCCGCCTCGGTAGCCGCCACCGCCGCCATAACCACCGCCACCGCCGCTGTAGCCGCCACCGCCACCTCCACTGTAGCCGCCACCGCCACGAGACCCGCCATAGCCGTCGCTGTAGCCTCCTCCGCCGTGGTCCCGACGCGAGGAAGAGTCGTTGTATCGATCACCGCTGCTGCTGCTGTACATGACTCAAGAATGATGGTCTCTTGCGGAAAAGGAAACGGAAAGAGGGAGCGGAGTGCGCACTCGTGGTCGTTTCGACAAATGACCATCACTTTGGTGGGTTCGGTTGGTCGCTATCGACTTTGACAGGGGCGAGGTCACCTCACGGCTTTTGGTTGGCTACCGACGGACGAAGCGGGGTGGCGAGCGGCGTGAGCAGACTGTAGTGATTGGATAAATTCCAGCCCGATCTTTTGATTTCGACCACTATCTGGTCACGGCTACTGCTCTCGAAATGATGTACGACGGGACTTGGGTGCAAAGCCAGTGCTCGTGTCACGTCATCCAGTAGCCATCCACTTGGGTGCTTCAGCTTTCCTGTAGTATTAGTGAACGGAAAGATGTTTCAGGTACCACGAAGCGAACGACATAGCAGTACAATGAGTGGTGAGAGTCTGCAGACTCAAAAATTGACCAATGCAACAATGGCGGAACACGCGTCTATGCTTCGCGAAATGGTCCCTGGATGTTTGCACGGACTCCCCCGTGTGTTTCAAGCCTCTTTACGCTAAGATAGTGCGCTCATAAGAGGCAAACTGTTGATTGGCCTCCGAGATGCTGACCTCGATTTTACTCACACCGCGCTCCTGTAGTCGAGCAGTCCACACAACATATTAGTAGCCAACAAGTGCCGTGCAGACCACAACGTCCGTACCAGGAGCGCAACGAGCGTAAAAGCGTCCACTAGCTGATTGCTCTATATACATCCGTGGTTGATGGTAAGCGTAAGAACAAGCGGAAAACGCCACAGAGTGAACTGAAGTTGGGCTACGTACAATGTAAATGGCAAGCTCTTCTGCTGACGAATGCACAATTGGCAGTAGAGAACAGTCTGACTTTGGAAAACTAGAGACAGCAGTGCAACAACGTTAACGACCGTCACATCGCAACAATTACACACACGCGGGTATGCTCACCTGAACTGGGCCATGTCCTCCGTAACAATGTGCACATTCGTGCCATCGAAAGAAATCTGCGGCAATCACCACCCACAACGCATCGTGATGCACCACGAAACATTCGACAGTATTGCCAGCGCCATTCATACCTTTAGAGCATCACTGTTCATCGGCACAAGGAACGATTCATTTAAATCCTTGCAAATAACCCGTGAAATCTTCTTAATCTCACCAAAGTCTACGACATAGCCATCCTTGCCAACCTGTCCAGTGATCGTGACAGCTAAGCGGTAGTTGTGTCCATGGAGCTTTTCCCGAAACCCCTACATCCGGACACATGTCCACCAACCAACCATCCACAAAGCACCGAGTCAGAACAGCTTCTCTCCTGCTGGCCGCTACAAATCCACAACGGCGGGATCGATACCTTGTAAGCAATAAAATGGGCTGCGTTGAATTTCATATAATCCTTCGATACGTGCACCTTGAACACTTCACTAAAGCTGCTGCCTAGTGACTGAAGTGCCGAAGACAACTGCGGACTTGGAGCGATCATGGAGACACTCGTTGGCGCGGCGATAGCCACTTCTGCTGGTGGAGCTGGAAGGACTGCCGCACTTGGCGTCTGCGTCTCGAGCTTCGTTGGTTCCAACGCCACGGGCACGGACGCTGAGGAACCGTTACCTGTAGTTTCTGTTGCTTCACTGACACCACGAGACGGTCGGATTTGGGCCTTGATATCGTCCGGTGTCTTGAGACATCCCCGTAAGTGCGATGCCCATCGATCGACATTGCGTGACGATATTTCCTTGTCACAATAGCAGCACTTGACTACGCCCTCATTGGCCCCGCGCGTCACGTACATCTTGACAATCGCTTTCTGTTCCGACGAGAGCTCCTTTCCCATTGGTCCAGCTCCAGATCGACGGCGCTTTCGTCCGTTGCTGCGGCTCTGCTCAACACAGGAACGAGGCTCGTCAAGTGACAGCATCCTAGGGTTAGCACGTCGACGGCATTCACAGGCCACGGTTACTATTCGGTCGGGTCTGATTGGAGGAAAAGCTGAGCTGGAATCTAGTGTACAACACACACTGTTCATTTTTTGACACAGAGCGATTAAAATAAAAAAGGTGCAAGTCACGACGTGAAGAGCGAAAGTGGGAACAAGTGCTTGGGGGCAAGGGAGGTAAACGAACGAGCCATGGCCAGCAGTGATGCGTCCTCCTCTGGTAGCTGATGGCAGCCGACCGGTCTATTGCTCGGAGACAGCGCGAGGTACAACGCTCAGGAAAAAATTCATGCTCACGCCCAACAGTAGACCAACTTTTTGCTTACGCGGAACGGAGCGATCGAGGGAGCTAGACAACGCACACGAGCGTACGCACATCATGTTAGCAGCGAGAAAGTTCAGGCTTTTGAACAGAGAACTGGCACGCGATAACGTACCATGAGGAGCATAAATACACCCAGCAAAAGACCCATCAGGAACCCCCACAAAAATTCAGTGCCAGTGCCTTCGTTATCTGCTGCTAAAATAGAATTGTTTATACCATTCATATCAATCTGCGCATCCATTGCAATACGTGCCGTAGGCACAACATTCAGTGCTGGAAGAATACAAAGAACCATTCAGTGAGCCAACTGCTACCGATCCAGCTAGACAATGCATACGTCCGCACCAAACTCAGACTGTGGTCCCTGTGATGCCATCCACTCATCTTCAAGACGGTATATCCGGTCCTCACTGCCCTCACCATCGACACGTTCCGCCTGACTGATGTAAACCGAAAGCTGTGGGTAGAAATAAAGACGTAGTGCCTGAACTTCTTCCCGGCTGAGTCGGTCACGAAGTCGATCAAAGCCTCTTCTTGTGGACGGATCCTCTCGATCTTCAGCATCACTATCACTAGCATTCATCTCCACATCATGACAGTATCCAATAAGTAACACACTTCGACTTCAAAACGATAGCAACGACTTCCACACCTGCTGGACCGCAGCTTTCGACGGGGTCGAGCTCATGGCACAGTGAACAAAGTCTTCGTTCTTGACCTTGCAGCTCGCCAGCGTCACCGCATCGTCCGACAACATTTTTCCCTGATGAATCAGACGCAGAAATTTATCTTCTGCGTGCGCCTTTTCCTTCACGAGCTCCTTGAGGTCCGCGACAGTAGCTGACAACGCGATCTCAACACGCAGCGGCTTCTCACTGAGCGTCTTGACCTTGAGCACAATCATGTTCTCCTGCTTCTCTTCTTCTTTGTAGATCGTGATACCCACGGCATGTTCAGACAACTACAATAACACATTGAACCACCATACAGCATCATCAAAACCATCATTAGACCGGCCGCTAAGTATTTTGTCCACCTCGCACGCATACAACAGCCAAGAGCGGCGACTGTACCAGCGGCTTCTCCTCCGTGACATTCTCCGTATACTCAGATTCCATCATTTTCACGGGGTCAAGTCACACCCGAATGCTCGCACGCCTTCCCCACGTCCGCTCGGCACTCCGGCGGTTATTTGCTCTGTGCCGTTTTTGACGAAGCGTTTTAATCGCGCGATGCAAGCCAGTTGGATATCGCAGTGCTGATTCGCTACTTCGGTACATCTTTTCATCCAATCCGTGATGATCAGTAGGACGAAAAAACCTCACGCAATATTTATGACGTCAAAAACGCAGCATGTAGCGGCGCGAGCGGCGTCAATTGGTGTAGCCAAGATGACATCGACGAGCGATAGAGTAAGTCAGCGTAACACGATACAGGTGGCAGTGCGAGTGCGCCCACTGAATGAGAAGGAAGCAGCTCATGGCTCGAAAGCGTGCGTGGACGTGACGGATACTAGCATCCAATTGGCTGAAAAACAATTTGACTTTGACGCCGTTTTTGACACGACGGCAGAGCAGGTATTTTATGAGGCGTCATTTATTTAATTTGCGATCGACTCTTATACTTGATATCATGTCGACTGAGCTACTGGTGACGTTATTCGCTATTTATTTCATGACGACGAAAGGAAAATGTTTACAGCACACTAGTCAAGCCGCTACTGGACGAGTTTTTCAGTGGATACAATGCGACAGTATTTGCTTACGGACAGACAGGGTCTGGCAAAACGTGAGTGTGATTGACACTGTTCGTGAGTGTTTTTTATTGACATCTTCTAATTTAATAAATGTAGGTATACTATGGGGAATGAGTCTGCGTCCAATAGACCGTCGACTGATCGTGGCATTGTGCCGCGTGTGATTGAAAATGTACGTGGGCGGGACGAAGACAGCGAGACGTTGGAGCTATCTTGTTTTTGTCGTGTTGTTATATTTGTTTGATTGGACTTTTTTGCATCTGTGTGCAGATTTTTGAACTTGTGGATAAGTTGAAGAACTCGCACCAGGTTGTGGTCAAGCTTTCGTACTTAGAGGTGCGTAGCTCGTCTTGGTAGTAATGTGATGGGGGTACGATGTCCCGCTGTGCTGACGGTGCTCTCGTTGTAGATTTTGAATGAAGAAATTATTGATCTGGCTGTAAAATCACCTTCTGGAATGGTGTCGCTAACGAACACGGGGCTATCTATACGGGGTGATAGGGATCGTGGAATCGTTGTCACGGGGCTAAGTGAGCACGTTGTGCAGTCAGTGGACCAGGCGGAAGCTATTTTACGCGCCGGGGCGCAAGTGCGGGCTACGGGTTCAACAAGCATGAATACTCGGTCAAGTCGCTCGCATGCTATCTGTACGCTGAAAATGGAGCTACATGACGTGAGCACTGTGGAAGGGGGCACAGAGACGCGGTTTTCTAAGCTCCATTTGGTGGATTTGGCCGGGTCTGAACGTGTCCGGCGTACTAACTCGGCAGGGGTGCGGTTTAAGGAAGGTGTAAACATCAATCGCGGGCTGCTTGCACTTGGGAATGTTATTAATGCGTTGTGCAAACGTAGCTCTACAAATCCGCTGACAGCACATATTCCCTATCGAGACTCGAAGCTGACGCGGCTGCTTCAAGACAGTCTTGGTGGAAACAGCAAGACGCTGATGATTGCGTGCATCAGTCCTGCTGACGTTGACTACGAGGAGACCTCAACTACACTACGATACGCATTCCGCGCCCGAAATATTGAGAACCGGGCCGTGATTAACAAGGAAATTGCTGCCGAGAGCTCAGTGGCGAAATTGAAGCAGCAGCTAGCAGGTGTGAAGTCGCAGCTGCTGCAGCAAACTCGAGGTATTCCGAACGGGCCAGTCCAATCGGAACTTTACAACTCGAATAGTCCACTCGAGGAACAAAATCACAAGCTGCGAGAAGAACTTCAATTAGCCAATAGCGCCAGGGATGAGTGGAAAAGGATTGCCGGTGAGCTTGAGGCCAAGTTCGAAGGAGTGATGAAGGAGTTGCAGATTCTACACGAGCAAGCAACGAAGAAAAGAGCACCCAGGAAACGCAAAGCACGCGAATCGTACGAAACGATGGAGACGTTATTCAGCAGTAGCAGCGATGAAGAGGACAACAGCGAGGTTGATTCCGATTACGTCGATGGGATGGATGTGTACTACAATCGCCACAACAAGAGACGAAAGAGGAAACAGCCTGGCGACGTTGACCGACCCGAAAGCGTTGACCGTGATGGACAAAATTGACGAGCTGCTGGAAGCTGGTGCTGCAAGGAATGCTTGGCATCTGTAAGTTGCTAAATTGTGGTTGAGACGCTGTACGTTTGGGCGGTCTAACGAAGTACTGGAATATGAAGCTGCGGTATCGTTTGCACGCACGGACTCGTGTTATCGCTTGCCACGACAGTGTTTACTTCATTTATCGTACTCACGGCATTCACACCTGCATTTAGCGCATATCATAGTTTGTCGTGCTGAAAGAAGTTCATATCCGCCACTTGTTCATGACAAATGGTCTTCACACCATAACGCCGACTTTATGAAAGGCCTCCAAAGAGATCCACATCCAAGGCTTCCGTCTTTTCCGCTATGAAGTCGGTGTCATCCTCATCGTCAGTGTCGGATGAAGCATGATTACGCGATGCAGTCTTCCCAGCACGATGAGTTGGTGTGCGGATACTGACTCCATTCGAGGTTTTGCCATTACTGCTTCCAACGCTGCCAGTGTCTTTATGCTCGCTCGTCCGGGATCGAGTGCGGATGACCAGCGCAGCTTCTTTGGGTTTCTGATACTGGTATGTGCTGTTGCCACTGGATGGGTACTTTGCGCATAGTGCTTGTGTCTTTTCTTCGCTTTTCTTGGTCAAGAAACGGTGGATGAGCTGGCGCTCGTGGCTGCCCATGTACGTCATTTTCACGTCGATGTCAATCACGAGAAAGAGTTCCTGATATTCGTTCACCGTACGCGCAAAGGAAGCTGCGGGCAAGTAGTTGTATGTAACCACTTCGATGATGTCGACCGAGTCACGATGATATGGGATACGTGCAAAGCGTAGCCGCTCTGCTGGTATTGACAATGCAATGCTAGCGGCTTCTGCTAAATATGTCTCAGGGTGGTCCACCTCCTCAAAGGTAGAAATGACCACCTCGGATCGCAATTTATCGACAAAGCGCCATGTCGCGCGATCGACATAAGCGAATTCAACGACCCGGTGATTGACCTCTCGAGTTTCTGGCTCCGTCAAGATTTCTGCAACAATGCTTCTTCCTTCGTATACTGCCAGTTTTGATGCCTCCACGAGCTTTTGGCCATCCACCAACACGCTTGTCATCGTGTTTTGACGCAAATCGCGAAGACGGATGTGTGATGGAGTCAAATGTTCGTCGTCCGCATTCACGAAGCCCTTCCCAACCAACTCATCCCAGACTTTTCGACGAATGTCTTCGACCAGCATCTCCTCGCTAATAACGATTTGGTTCACAAAAGTCAACACCGAGTCATCCTTCGCCGTCACTACCAGCACTTCATCAATGTTAAACAAGCCCTCGCTGTTGCTGCAATCTACTGATGGACGTGTTTCAGCAAATTGTTCCTGGCTGCGGATACCGTTGCTCTCTGTAAAAGTTCTGTCTGCGCGTACCGGGTTATGAAATATCAACCTGAAGTTATACTCTCCGGTGTTCAGCGGAGTGCCTTCCAAAGCGAAGACTGTGTGATTCGACCCGATTGACAGTTTGGACAAAGTGCTATCGATCGCCTTAATTTCTACGCCTGCACTGTTAATGCCACGTAAAAGCTTGAATGCATCCGATGGTAGCCCGATCTCACGACTAATGCTCTCCTTTAACGCTCGGATCGTGCTGCGCCTATCGATGCGAATTGGCTGCGCTGGTCTCGCCAAGTACTTGAAGTTGACGGTGATCATGTTAGCTTCGCGCTCAAAAAATGCCTCGGCTGGTGATGCCATCGATAAGTCTGGCGTCTCCTCGAAATACAGTTCCGTCCCATTTACCAAGTGTAAATCCATCTTAAGACGTAGATCCAATGTGCGCTTTTCGTCGTCCGCATTGAGAACCTTGGCCGCAGCTATACTGTACGTGGTCGCGCTCTTTTTGATGAGGCGGATTTTGTGACTTGCTGGGACGGAAAACTTGTTTGCAATCAAAGCGCAAAGAGATGCAATGTCTGCATCGTCCTCCACTTGAACACACCTTACCATTAGCGAGTCAGGGGGTGGCTTGCCAACGGTGCCAGACTCTTCATCAATGAAGCGACGAATAAACAGCTGTAATTTCGTCGGGTCATGCTCTTCCCACTCCTCAATATCGCTCTTGACTTCGAGGAACATCTGTTGGCCTGCGTAGAATCCTAGCGACGACAACGTCATGTCCTCTCTGCCGCTATACGTGTCGGACAGCAAACAGTTATAGTCGTTGTATCCCCGTAACCTTACGTTCCTTGTCGATGGAACTATGACATTGTCATCTTTCGCAAATTCTTCACGAGCTATTTCCAGGGCTTCGCGAATTGTCAGACTCTTGTACAGGTAGATTGCCTTTTCGATGTTTTTGGGCTTGGAACCCTTCATATAGAGCTTCACCAGCATTTTCTTCGACATTTCTAGCCGCTCTTGCTCGAGTCTTCGAATCCTGTCTTCATCAGCGCGGATTCTGTCTTTCAGAAACTGAGGAATGTTGTCCGGTGGAATCACGTGGACATTCTTTTCGGCAGAAACCAGGCGGTACAGAAGCATGTACGCGCATGTACTGTAGCGCGCGCTATAACCGGTACCAGTGGCACCTCCAAATGCCGTTTTTAGCTCCGCGTCAGAAATTTCGCTGACATTAGCATCATTGAAGTTGTACCACTTGCCCGTCTCCAAAGACTTTATGTACGCATAATAGTGCCCACCCAGCGCGCTGCCAGAGTGAATCAGCACGGAGTATAGCTCGTACACATGAGGTCCAAAGCGCTTGATCATGGTTTCAGGGTCAAATGCTGGGCTCCAAGTGTCGGGTGAAGAAGAACCGTACATATCATCATCCTCGTTGTCGTCAGTCATCTCTTCCACTTCGTTTTCAAATTCAATCGGCTGCGATTCATCCATGGACGATAAACGGTGCACCTTTTCACCCAATGATGCACACAACGGCGTTACAGGGGGTGAAGATAATGTAGCCGTCAACCCTTCATTCAATTTGTGGTGGTTGTTAGTCTCCAGTTCGTGCCGTTCCATTGACATTTTTCGGGCAATTTTACCTCGAGCGCCACCATTTTCGTCACTCACATACGAATTCATATCCAAATACTTCGGGAAGGTCACTTTGTTGTGCAATTTGATGCGGTTCATCGTGGCATAATCAAAGTCAAAACGTTTCAGCTGCAGCATCAAAATATACGGCAGCTTCGAGAATTTCAATCCTTTTATTGCATCTCGTTTCACCTTGCACCGATCACACACCCATTGGTTCTCTTTATCCAATACTTCTGGACGCAGAAATAGTTCAATGGCCTCCTCCACAGTTTTCATCATTTCCGTCGATCCAAAAGGACGAATGACCAGCGACAAGTCGAGAAAATTGTCAATCCTGGAGCTCTCATAGCCGCACTCGCGACACTGCACATAGTCCTTCAGTGCTCCTTCAAACAGCTCATTCACTAGATTTTCATTCACCGTGTCTTTAAACGACCGTTCCAGGGCATCTAGCAGCACTCGACACAGCTCTTGCACGTCATGTTGCTGGAAAACATCTGATCCTGTCCATCCAAAGCTTTTCGTCAAATCTTTAGTAGAAATAGCGTCTTGTGTCGTAAGTTGAAGCTTGGCAAATAGATTCTGGAGTTGCAACGGAATATTGTCTTCATCTGCCTCTTCTCCCTCTTCTTCCTCCTCTTCGTCTCCCAGTTCCAGCACCTTTTCTTCAACATTGCAGCACGTCCAGCGGTAGAGTCCCTGACGGAACTCCGGCGTCATAAACATGCTCTGTAAGAGGCTGTTCATGTAGCACGTCGCTCCCTGATTGGACAGCCCCGTGAACGCCGACGCCGAGCGACCACAGTCCATTGTCAGCGGCTTTTCCACGTCGCCTATCCTCCCTCCTCCTGACTCCGCTACCGTCGTTAAAGCAGTAGATGGGACGTCGCTCGTACTTGGACTGGCGCTGAGCTCCGAAAGCTCCTTCTCCACGGCAACTCGCGGCAGCTGCTTGATCACCGACAGCACGTGCGCGCGACGCTGTTTCTCAGCAGCTGCTCCGTCTGCGTCTGTAGACGAGGCGTGGGGTCCAGCGCACGACTGCGGCAAGTCGCTCATGCTGCTCGATCGAGGGATTGGAGTCTGCGTCTGTGTGTATTTTCGACGTAGTGGGAGGTGTAGTGGGACAATTATTGTGAGGCATCGAGGAGAGTTGTGGTTATGTTGCGCGATCGGGAAGATCGGGGGCGGGTTTTGGTAGACGTGTGCACCATTTTTAAGGAGCTTTATTATAAATAGGGTCCGACGAAGAGAGAGGGTGATGACGTAATCTTTGCGCTCGACTGACAAGATGAACTTGCGTAAATAATTGTCACAAAAAAGCTTTTGAACTGCGGCAATCAAGCCAACTATAAAGTAGATGGAGTGAGCGATGACGCTCGTTTCTTGGTTTTTTTGATCGTAAAACAGCGACCTTGCAAGCGTCTATACCATGCGGGGAGTTGGCGATCGATGTTTCGCGAGTGGCAGTTCCTCGTCCGAGTCGTCCGAGCCGTAGTAGGCGACTCGATCGCGCTTGAACGTGAACGTGTCCGAGATAAAAGTGGCGTCCCCTTGATGCATTTTTTCTTGCCGCCACATCCCGTAGCACACGACCATAGCGACAGCGTACAACAAGGCTGAGTCGAGTCAGCGATAGACGTCCCGGTATTCCACAGATCCGCCGCAGCCAGCAATACAGACATACACAATGCATTCATCAGTTCACAATGAGAATCGAGATACCTAAGCTGTCGTTTACTGCACAAAGTAGCTGCGTGAACAGCAGTCAGAGCAAGGTCAGACGATAGTAAACGCACCAGCTTCAAAGCACGCGGTGGCCCCAGCACTTGGCATCTTGGCGTTATGAATGTATTGCGGCTGCAACTTTAGCAACGATCCCACCATTACCTGCACCAATCAGCACAATCATAGAAACCGTCCTGAGAATTAGTATCGAAATCCATTGCAACAAGAGGGAAGCACGCTGGACTGTAGCCATCGATCATCAGGGAAGCGCGTGTACCAGGAAGACAAAGCCGACGAAGCTAAAGATGGTCCCACACAAGTAACCTGTACGTAGATAAGTAGATATCAATGCACAGAATATCAGTCTTCGGACAGTTGAGATGCAGACGAAGCCGTCTTGGACGACTGAGCACGTACGTCCCCCGGGCATACTTTGTAGTTTGTTAAGTGCGTCTTATCCATCACTTTCAAATTATTAGCCAATGAAACACAAGATGCACGGATTACGTAGTTTTAGTCCGCCACTCTGTACTTAATTTGACCAATCAAAGCTAGGATGCGGACTCGTAGCTGTAACGTTGGACGAGCAGGACTGCACATCATAATTTTGACCGTGTGAGTCAGACGTCGTTTCGGTCAGAGTGACTAAGACGCATCTTCCGATGTTTGGAAAGAGGTTTATGAAATGTTGGACGTGGCGATGCAATGAAGAAGAGAAGTAGACGAGATGTACCGAGTCTACTCCCACAGAAGGGAGGAGTTAAGGTAGAAATAAGGACATTCAAAGGCGAGCTGAGTTGTATTTGCTATGCCGTCATACACGAAGCGCTTTAGCTGCTACAAACCGGTCATTTGAGGAAGGCGTGTTTAGTGCGAGCTGGGATCGAGAGTAAAGAGAACCCGATAGCCGATATAGAAGTGTCATCTCTGTGGCGGAAAAAGGGTAGGTGCCGTCTGTAGCGGCTACCATACAGCAAGCCGGTCCGAGCTGCTGATAGATTCGGTATTGAGAGAGTGGCTTCAGCGTTCGACGGATGTGAACTTAGGCCGTCATGGATTCAGGGCCTACCATAAAGGGCTGTACGAAGTAGTACGACGTAAAGTTGTTCCCTGGTGCTTTTTTCCAGCACCGGTATCAAAAAGAACTAGGGCGGATCGTAGTCAGGACAACATCCTTTCATAGCGGGATCGACCATATTGGTGACCGTGCATGACGAAGCCGCGATTTGATCGACTTTTTCACGAATAATCCGCTTGCTTGTTTAAACAATCCCTTACCCAGTAATGCCTCAGCATTAGCTCAGGTTCTGAACTTACGTTTCCGTGATGACACCAATACTGGATTCTCGCGAGGGTGGAGTCCATACTGATGCACGCAGCGGCTGTATGAATGATGTAGAAGATCGCCTGGCTTGATGGCAAAGCTGCAGTGATGAAGTTGGCGTGTTTCTGGTCTCGTGATGCAGAGTTGATGTAACATACAACTTGCTGCATCCAGCTTCGATATGTCGAGCTGAAGTTACTGCCGTCAATATCCAACGATCTATCGCTCGTGAAACAAAAACAATGCACGAAATCAAATTCGCAGTCATGGGCTTGTAGTGGAAACCATCAGAGCTTCTCATAAATTCCTCAAAGAGCGACCCTTGATGCCCATGTAATGCCCGTGTGAAGCTAGCACGCTCAGCGTTCGTCGTTATGCTGACTGAGTTCTTTCTGGAGGACGCATCACGATTTCATGGGGTAGTGCCATGTTCAACTCGGTCAAAAGTAATTGGATGAAGTCCGTTTTGATGTAGCTTTTTATCACAACTCGCTTTGGTCGTTAAGTCCATTCAACAAAGAAAGCTCGAAATGCGCGACAAAGCCCACCCCCAATACACAATCGCTGTAGCTCTACACATAAGGGACATTCACGAAAGTATCACAGTTCCACGACGTGATCCACGACGTATCACCCGTTGCAACGTTGGAGTGACTGTCCTTTTTGTATTTGTGAAGCTTGAGTCGCCAGGTGCACTTTTAGCAAAAACAGACATCTGGACATGTCAGAATGATGACTAACATGTCATTAGTGACAAGACGCATTTTAAATTTACGCATAACGCTGCTTCTGTGTTTACTTCTCATTGTGATGCTCCACGATTCACTGGATCTGTAGCCAGTGACATTCTTGTGCATGCATTTGGGATCTTCACATAGGTGAGTAAACGATTGCCCCTCGAAAGATGGGCTCATGTCAAACGCTGATCCAACACGAAGCAAATGCAAGACTAGACTAGACGACAGCATTCCAAAGTTTGGCCCACATTGCTTCTTCAAGTCTTGTTACAACGCGGTCGTTCGAACGAGTACTCGCTTGTCGAGCACCTCTCATCGACTCTTAGCCCAGTGGTTCTTCGTTCGACGAAGTTTAGTTCTTCTCACGCGGATAACTTCTCAAGTTACATGTCTAAATACTCGACATAGTGTATGATCGAGTAGTAAAAGAGTCCGTGTTGCCACCAGAATCTCTACCGGATTTGTCGAGCAAATTTGATGCCGTAAGACATACATGGCAGCAAGCACTGCTAGAGACTATTTGGCACTTGACTGCACTCAGCGCGGTATTGAGTCCTTTCAACAGATCGTGTACACGCTTCGCCAAGAGTAAGATTGGAGAATCGTGACGTCATCCTGTTGCAACTATAGGATTCGAGATGATAGCGTGTTGCTCATAACAAACATGTCCTACAGCACGAGACACCTACACTATTCACTCCGTCTAGTGATCCACACATGGGCGCATGTGTTGTGCTTGAACAGCAAAAAAGATGTATCACTAAAACAAACGTTTCATGGATGAGTAGACTGTTCAGATCAAGCTGAAGTCCGGGTAAACACCGAAGAAACCCGATGCTTACGTGAGATGGCGCTGGAAGACGCTCGTGGATCCAAAACTAAGTCTTTTGGCTTTGAGTTTCGCAGACCATATCAACCTCATACGTACGCTGCTTTACTGTAGTCGTGTGCTTACGAGTGCGTGATGCGCAACACAAGTGAAGTTGTAGATACGATGAGTACGGCCATGAGAACGGCCATTCATCCAATCGAACGGTCAATGCCTGTGCCACTTCAGATGCCTATAATCTGTCGATAAGGACCCCGAAGCACGGTGTCTAACTTGACAAAATTTACCGGAATTGTGCACAAGCAGCCAAATCAAATGAAAATGTGGCATTGACACCGACTAGCTCGCCTCGTTCGTATTTTCTGATGTCAATGTACTTGGGTCGCAGAAGCAAATTCGAGCGCAAACAGCGTAGCGACGTGATCTAGATGTTACATGATATACGCAGGAGAAACACGGGCTAAGACAATGACATTGTTGCAGCATATCAGAGCCAAGCACAGAAGTCGCTACGCAACACAATTTATTCGTTTCGACTACCTGACGACAGTCAATGTCCAGGTCTTTCAAAACGAACATCAGTGGGGCCCAACATGGCTGCTAAAAGCTGAAGTGACGCTTCTGACGATGTTTTTTTGCGCATGAGACACAAAACCTGGACCCAAGACCGCCAAAAGCTAGGTTTTGTGAGGTACTAATGGTCTAGATGCTTCCAACAATGATGTTGGTCACGGCTTAGTATACGGCGTGTCCCCACACGGCGGCTGAACGAGTCACGTGCCGTGTACTTTGCATTCCAGCGTCACACTGGTCTGGTGTCAAACACTTGTTGCTTCAACTTCTGCTGCTCCTACTACTGCCTGTCCCTTTGAAACTCGAGCATTTATTATGCATTCTCAGTTAAGATCAAGGTGTTAGTAATGTGTATTGCTGTATGACTTATGCAGGTGACTAGTGGGGAAAAGGTTAAGAAGCGAAGCCTACTGCTTATTGTAAAATACGCCAAAGTTTGAAGCAATTGATTCCACGGTCTTCTTGTGATCAGGGCTCATATTGTAAGCGCGATCACGAATGGTTGTGCACGTAACGTGTAACGGGGTGAATCGTTACATAACAATTTTTAAGAAATTGTTAATAGAATACAACTAGAAGAGTTATATTCTCAGAATATTGTCATAAGGACAAATATTCTGTAGCACTTACGAGTAGTTCCTAATTGGTTGATATAGGCCATTATATCAACCAACGAAGACGCGCCACGACAGACGCACGCAATGAGTGGTGAGCAGATAGTTGATTTACACATTTGTATTTAGACATAGTTAGATGAAGATAAATAGTGGTTTATTAACAGACATTAACTATGATAAATACAGTTCTACTTTTTACTTTAACCAAGTACTCGCTTCTTCTTACCGTCTTCCTCTGCACGTACGAGTGTACGTGAAGTTACGAGGCACCGCCTTATTCTGTCATCAGAATAAGTAGCTTGTACTGTCACCAGTACAAGCTTCAGGGTGCCCCGTTACACCTGGTAGCACTTCGTAGTCCGTCCAAGGACCACGTTCACATCTAACATGAATATGTTGGATGATGAAGATGACCAAAGCTTTCACGCTACGCGTGACGGCTACTCCCATTTGAGCGATGTCGAATGGGAGGCGGTTGAACGAATGGGTTCGACCATGGGCATCCATGCTGTTAGCGTCATGCTAGAGGCTCTCAACAGAGATGCCTAGCATGCTACTGTCGCCAAGTACATTCAAAATGAACTTGACGCCGAACGCGAGAAAGTAGCCTTGCTTTACCAACAAGGTTTTCAACAGTCAGAGTTGTTGAGAGAACAGGGTGTTCAACAGTTTGAACTGTTGAGACAGCAACAGGCTGCTGCTGGTGGGTCGATGCACTCGCGTCGACCCGAGACCTTGAAGATTGACATCTCCAAGTATAGGGGAGTCGAAGAGGACTCCCTCTTGAGATGGTTCGTCGAATTAGACGACGCCATAAGGGCGCGTCGCATCGACGACGGGGATATGCAAGTTGCATTTGCCCAGTCAAATCTGGCAGGACGTGCCAAGACTTGGGCACTGGGGCTCAAGTTGCACGACCCATATGCGTTTGGGTCGTTGGAAGTCTTCAAGTCGCGGCTCAGACAAACGTTTGAACCGCCTAGAGCTGAGTTCAGAGCTCGAACTGAACTCTTGAAGCTCAAGCAGGGTAAGCGTGATGTGCACGCTTACGCGCAACATATACGACATCTCACGAGTTGTATAAGTTCCAACCCGGTTGATGAACACACGTTGGTTTCGGTGTTCATGCAGGGTCTTGCGGATGGTCCCGTCAAGACTCACCTGTTCCGACTTGAACTAGATTCACTAGAACAAGCCATTTCCATTGCGGAACAGGAAGACTTCAGTCTGAGACAGGCTCGCGCCAGCTCGACATCATATCGTCAACCGAGACGATATGACAGCGGAGGTCCAGAGCCGATGGAACTCTGTTATGTAGAGAGCGAGAAGGCTCGCTCTACAGACTACAAGAAGTTGCAGAGATGCAACAGATGTCAGAAGACAGGACACTACGCTTACGAGTGTAGTGCCCCTCGTCCAGTGTCTCGCAACACTGGGCGTAGTGACCGTCCACCCATGAGAAAGGGGCAGGGACGAGGGTCCGCTGTTGGTGCAAAGACGCAACAACGGGATGGACCGTCAAAAAACGGACAGGATCAGTAGGTGCGGAGCACCCTACTGGTCCAGCAACGTCAAGAGAATTTGTAGGCCTCTTGATGAAGGTTGCTCCCAACACACAAACGTTGTGCGTTGCTGCTCTAGGTAATGAGATCTCACTCATTACCTTGAAACTCGAAGTGACGAATAAGTTGTCCCTTCGAGCTCTAGTCGATTGTGGGGCGTCCAACAATTTTGTGCGACGCCAATCGCTAGAAGATGGTCACTTTAAGTTCAGTGAATGTGACACACCTCCTACGAGGATGACGGTACGTCTTGCGACAGGCGCATCCGTAACCGTCATAAAGCGTATAGTGAAGATCCACTATACGCTAGAAGATACCCAATATGACGATGACTTTATCGTATTGGATTTGGATGACAAATTTGATGTCATCCTTGGGATACCGTGGCTCAGAAGGTACGAACCACGGGTAAACTGGCAACATCGAACAGTAACGATGCCTGCCGCTTGTTCATCAGATGGCCATCTGATGAACGTTTTGGAGCGTCCACAAGCGTGTGGATGTACTACGAGTGAGTGCGATGGCCTCACTTGTGGTACGGTCGTTAGTACGACTGCACAAAACCTTAGTGTAACAAACGGTTACACTTCGGAGCAAAGTTCCGGCGGCTGTGAGGAAACACAGGCTGCGCCGAAGGTCCACCACTCGAATAAGTCGAGTGGACCGGGACAAAGATGTATCCCTAGCGGGGAACATCTAGAAGAGAAACAATCGATCGCTCAGGTTAAGCGAAACGATAATCCTAGATCGACTGGAGAGTCTTTCGTAGAGGATCTCGCTGTGGTTGCGCAACCCCAGCTAGAGGAAGTAAAGGGAATAAGTCCCGATATTACAAATACGGCGGAAATAAGTTCCCCGAAACCCGCGGGAATAAGTCCCCGGGAAGCCGAAGGAATAAGTCCTTCGAGGCCTGAGGGAATAAGTCCCCAGGAAATGACAGAGACATTGAATGTCATAGTCAATGACGGATCAAGTGTAGGCGCTTATACACTTGATCTGATTGCGCCTCCGAAGTTGACTTCGGAGATCACTCAGTTGCCAACGCTCGAACATAAAAGGTTCTTGCGTGATCTGCGTAGTGGCAAAGTCAAGCAGATCTGCGTACTCGTCGCTGACGACGAGTGTGTAGCCGACATAAGGTCAGCAACAGTGTTTACTGAGAACGAGAGAGTTCTCAGTAGTTCATCGATGGACGAGAGCGTCCTCGATGAAAAGACACGAGTTGAGCGATATGACTCCCAATCGTGGGAATCGCTCAAGACAAATCCTCTCTATGAAGATTTGGTTGAATTCAAGGATGTATTCCCTGAAACTGTTCCGTGCGAATTACCGAAGGATAAAGGTATTCGACACGAGGTCGAGCTTAAACCAGGCTCGAAGTACTGTGTCATGAAGCAGTGGCCACTGCCTCGTGAACAAGTACTTGCGATCGACAAGTTCTTTGCCGATCGTTTAGCTGCGGGCCATGTGAGGGAATCAACTTCCCCACATAGCTCTCCGACCTTCTGTGTGCGAAAAGCAACAGGAGGGTGGCGGATAGTGCATGCATTCAACAAGTTGAATGCTGCAACGGTACCGGCTCAGACGCCGATACCGAGGAAGGACGTAATCATTGATGGTATGTCAAAGAGTACCATCTTTTCGTCCATGGATTTGATGGATGGCTTCTATCAAATCCTTATGCGAGAACGGGATATACCCTATACCGCAGTTAGCACGCCTAGCGGCATGCTCTGGGAATGGCTAGTAATGCCACAAGGGCTTAGTAATGCCCCTGCCACGTTCAACAGATGTGTATCACATCTGTTGAGACCAGTACGAGAATTCGCGCCGAGTTATTTCGATGACGTATTCATCCATAGTCGAGCTATGGATGGAAAGTCGGACGTTGAGGTTCACAGGTACCACGTCCGACAGGTTCTTACAATCATGCGAAAGCATCAATTGTATGCAAACCTCAAGAAGTGTATATTTGCAGCAAGCGAAATACCACTTCTTGGGTGCATCGTTGGTAAGAACGGTGTACGTCCTGATCCCGAAAAGATCAAGGCGATCACCGACTGGCCTGTGCCGGTTGATGTCAAAGGTCTTCGAAAATTCCTTGGGCTAGCGGCGTATTTGCATAAGTATTCACGCAATTACGCCGAGATGACTGTACACCTCTCTCGTTTGTTGAAAAAGAACGAGAGGTGGTTATGGAACGCTGAATGTCAGCGCTCCTTTGATGGTATCAAGCAGAGCTTGATACAATCCCCAGTCCTAGCAATAGCCGATCAGGACAGGCCATTTCATGTGGTCTGTGATGCCAGCGATTTCGCAATCGGCTGTGCATTAATGCAGTACGATCTTGAAGGCGTTGAACGCGTCGTCTGCTATCAGTCGCGTCAGCTGCAACCAGCTGAGCGGAACTATCCAGTGCATGACAAGGAACTCCTTGCCATGAAGTATGCACTCGCGAAGTTCAGAGTCTATCTATTAGGAGATAGACCCTTCATTGTTTACACTGACCATGCGTCATTACGCACGGCAGTGAACAGCCCGCACCTTTCACAACGAATGGCGCGGTGGTTGTCATTCTTTGCAGAATACAACTTTACGGTCGAGTACAAACCAGGACGACTTAATGTCGTCGCTGATGCACTCTCACGTCGTCCCGACTTTGAAACAGTCGCGAAACCCAACAGTGAGACAGTCACTGTTGCGGTTATGACGTCCTCAGTCCCATCTACAACGTTGTATGATGATGTGAGGCGGGCATACGCCCAAGATGGTGAGATAGTGAAGTTGTTGACACATCTCTCCCAACCATCTCGAGAATCGTTGAAACGATTGTCGCCTGCGTATCGATCTGCATCAGATCGATACACTACTCGTAACGGTTTACTGTATTATACAGCCGTTTCTGGTGACACACCACGTGTTGTCATTCCAGATGATACTGATCTGCGTTTGCGGATCATGTTCGAGTATCACGATGCTCCTATAGGAGGACATCGTGGCCGGGAGAAAACATATCTCACGGTGAGTCGAGACTTTTACTGGCCCCGCCAGTATCAGTTTGTGCGAAAGTATGTTCGCGCATGCGAAGTCTGTCAACGAGTGAAGTCAAGTCCTTCACTGCGTGCACCTTTACAGCCTCTACCGGTTCCGGCTGAGTGCTGGGAATCCATCTCAATGGATTTCGTCTTCGGGTTACCCAAAGACGCACGCGGGAATACGGGTATTCTCGTATTTGTTGACAGATTCAGCAAAATGGTACACCTTGTGGCTGTACCAGAGTCAATCACAGCAAGTGGCTGTGCTTGTGTCTTTATCGACACCATCTTCCGACTTCATGGGTTGCCCCGTGAACTCGTATCAGACAGAGATCCACGATTCACTGCTGATTTCTGGCGTTCCGTGTTCAAATCACTCGGAACGCGCTTGAAGATGTCGACATCTGATCATCCAGAGTCAGATGGTCAGACGGAACGTGCCAATCGTGTCCTCGAAGAGATACTTCGAGGATACGTACACTCCTTTAAGAGTTGGAGTGAGTTTTTGCCAATGGTAGAGTTTGCCATTAACAACTCGGTGCATGCGTCCACGACACATACACCGTTTTACGTGAATGGCTTGCGCCATCCGCGTGTACCCACCTTACTAGAGTGTAACTCTGGTTTAAGGGGGGGAGGGACTCGCGCGAGCAAAAACCGATTTGGTTCACGCTCATCACGCTCTGACGATGAGGTCATTGCGTCTGATGCCGATATCGATAACATCGATATCGAAGAAGATGATGCCAGTGAGAGCGCGGAAGCCCTCACTGAAGAAAAGGTTGACGTTGCTGCAGTGCACTCACAGCGCACTGAAGCTAACGAGTCATCAGATGAGTTCATACTGGCTCGTGAAACGGTAGTTCGTTTTGTGCAAGACTCCATCGCCGAAGCGGTGGATAAGCAAAAGCAAAACGCTGACAAGAATGGAAGGGCAAACACTCTTTTATTTAATAAAGGTGACTTAGTCCTACTGTCTACGGTTAATCTACCAAAGCATGTAGTGACTAACTTGGGTAGTAGTAAACTATCTACCCAAGTACATCGGCCCATTTCGTGTATTGCATCGCCTAGGCAACGCATACACGATCGAACTGCCACGTAAGATGCGAACGCATCCCACGTTTTACGTTGGTCGGCTTAAGCCGTACCATCAATACGCTGCTTCTTCCGATGAAGAACGCCCTTGCGCTCAAGCATCTCACAGAGAGCCTTGTGCTCCCGATGGTGGATATCAACAAGGGTCTGAAGAGCAGCTATCTCATCCCGAGACCGGTCAATATCCACACGAGCTACCCTTAGCTCATCACGCAGAGATGTCAAAGCTCTATCGTTCTCAAGCTGAGCAAAGGCAAACTCAGCTCGATGCTTCAAGACAGTGTCCGCCAGTTGAAGACGCCTGTCCTGCTCATGCTCGAGGTCGCCGCGTAACGCAAGAGTTACGCGGTAAAAGAGGCTCTCGGAGACACACTCTCCCCCATAATAGTTTAGAGAGCGTCTTCCTCCTCCTCCACCTCCTTCAAAGGACTCTCGCGGTGGCCAGCGCTATCAGATTGAGCGGCTGTTGAACCATAGCGATGTGAACGGACGTCGGACCAGTTATCTAGTCCGGTGGTGCGGCTATCCCCCATCCTGGGATACTTGGGAGCCCCGCTCCCAACTGATAATTGACGTACTGGGTCTGGTCGAGCAGTACGACGCGGCACATCCTGTGCCGCAGAAGGACCGCCGGAGAAAGTCTTCCCGGCACGGTCGTAAAGGGATTTCAGGTTGTCAATCCCTTCGTACATCTCACTAGAGATACGTACGCGCCACCACGGGCTAGTAAGGAGGTAAGCCTCCTTAGGTGCGCGCGCAGAGTTGTTCACACAACATGGGCACGGGTCTCCCCAAGAGAGGCAGGGTAACCCACCCTCCTTTGACAGACGATGCAGCTTGTAGCGTGCACCTGTCGGGGTTCTTTTCTCAAACTTATCACGAGCTTTGATAAGTTTGTCGTTCCAAACGTCACGACCTACATCCTCAAGGTTATGGATGTAAGCGTTCCACGCTTGAAGCAGTGAGGGACCATCACGTTTGTGATTCCCACTGTACCATCGATGTTTAAAGAAAGCATCGATGAAGAACTCATTCTCAGCGCGATAGTTTTTCGCACTGGGGTCAAGGTGATGGATCCTTGACGAATCGAACAATCGTGTTCGATAACGATCACTCGTCGTCGCCGACAAGTGATCCATGACGGATTTTGGAGGCATCCATGCCTTCTTCTCGGGAGCGAGACGCAACACACTGCGGTCCCGCTCTTCCTGCGATGTGCCGACAGAAGTACTGGCACCTCGTTGCGAAGTGGTGTCCATAGGAGAACCGACACCACTGTGAGCGCCCGAGTCTTGCGATCTCGAGCACCTACGCTTTGGCGATGGTTCATCTGATTCATCAGACGAACCAAAGATGCTACGACGCGTAGCATCATCCATTCCACGCTTGGCAGGCGGCTTGGATTAAATCGCCGTCGATACAGACCCCTCTTCCGTATCAGGAGAGTATGAGACACCGAACTCATACTCTGTCAAGACATGAGTGTCTTCATGACGAGCGCCTGCATCACCAGGTGAAACAGGCTGAGACGCTTAGCAACCGATGACACATCGGTCGCAGCGGTTTCTGCTTCGGCGTCCGCACAGAGACGTGCAGACGCGCTCTCAGCGGCCTTGTTCGCGTACCGCATGGGCTTGTTTACCATGCCATGAAACTGATGGACTGTGGACTCGGACCAACAAGTGCAAACCCTGTCCCAAATGATTTGGGACGAGTATCCATTTAGTCAATCAGTCACTAAAGTGACTGATGGTTAAGGGGGGGGGTGATGTAACGGGGTGAATCGTTACATAACAATTTATAAGAAATTGTTAATAGAATATAACTATAAGAGTTATATTCTCAGAATATTGTCATAAGGACAAATATTCTGTAGCACTTACGAGTAGTTCCTAATTGGTTGATATAGGCCATTATATCAACCAACGAAGACGCGCCACGACAGACGCACGCAATGAGTGGTGAGCAGATAGTTGATATACACATTTGTATTCAGACATAGTTAGATGAGGATAAATAGTGGTTTACTAACAGACATTAACTATGATAAATACAGTTCTACTTTTTACTCTAACCAAGTACTCGCTTCTTCTAACCGTCTTCCTCTGCACGTACGAGTGTACGTGAAGTTACGAGGCACCGCCTTATTCTGTCATCAGAATAAGTAGCTTGTACTGTCACCAGTACAAGCTTCAGGGTGTTCCGCTTCATTTCGTCTTTTTCTTCAACCAGTTTGACGAGCATGTGAATAACGTCAACGGCGACGTCCTCGATTTTTAGTAGTGAGATCTCAGGTTACTATGGTGGACTTCCTAATGGTCGTTGATGATAATATTTAGATGGGAGTCTGACGCCGTGACCAAACGTGGTCGCTCTGCTAGCGCAGTCTGGAATTGGTCTCCTTTTGATGCGTCTCCACTAAGCGCCAAGAGTTTCGAATTCACGCACTAAAAGACTCTGATTTATCACCACGGACTTCCTGTTTAGGATACCGCTTACAGCTAGCAAACTTCCTGTTTGAGGTTATTTTAGACGACAAGCCCCGCAAATTAAACGATGAAACACGAGTGATGACCATTGGCATTTGGGAGGCTAAGTTCGTAATTGAAACAACATAACATTAAAATGTGATGAACTGCATCGACTCAAAACAAACGAATAAACGACATTAGTGCAAATTGCCGATCTTCTAAGACTGTGTACACGGAGGTGAAGACGATTTCGGCAAAAATAATCTTTCCAGAAGGCGTCCACTAGCCACTGCTCTTAGAGACGTATCACAAACCAGTTGAGAGTGGAGTAAATCCCACAGCAGCTCTCACTTTTTGTGGAGGTTTGAAAAAAGATCAAATAATTAAAAACATAATTGCGAACATGGAGGATGCAGCTATTAATCAGATTGCGCAAGGTTGAATACCGAACTTTACATCGTACTTATCTACCTTTGCGTCTGTGAATAATGCGGTGAGCGTACCTTAGAACGTACTAATTGCGATCATTCCTGTCCCCTTTTCATAGATATGATCAAATTCAAAGTCACCCTTTGCTAGGTCACTTTTGTGCTGCACAAACGTGATTGGCTTAAAATTGATCAAAGGTGAATACGATCACATAAGCAAAGGCTGAGTGTCCATCAGCAAATGCCTATCGTTTTGTCTGAGTTTAATGTACTGGTTAATTACCATCATTAACAACACCATACTCATTTTACAATGAATGCTGCTGTTGTGTAGTGTTTTGCAACAGCTGCATAGCATGCTCCTTTATCGCAATTGACTGAATTATGAGCGGAAGTCATTTTCACGTAAACGCGCACTTCGTTAAAGACACTCAAATGTGTCGATGGGAAAAAAATAGCAAAGTGCAGGATCGCGTGGTGCTTATGGTAATAGCGAACCATCATAAAAGGAGCCCGATACTACGCCTTTTGATAATTCTATATGTCTTCATCTTCTTCTTCGTGTGACATCTAAATCAGTAAATGTGCATAAACGAATTTTATCGTCTTAATCGCCACCACCCCTGTCTGCTTTTTTCTCATGCTTTCCCCTATTCCATTTCATCTTTTTAACATTTAGACGTAGAATTATCTTTGTCGGCTGAAAGTCATTCAAAGCTGCGCGTGACCACCGTGTCATGTCAAAACATAGATAGGTTTGTTTGCTTTCTAGGATGTAGTGTTCTGAACTTTGTATGCTTTTACGAAGAAGTTAGTAGAAATCATTAACTATCACTATCCGCATATACATACCTATCCATGTACATGTGATAATAGGCGATTATTGTACGCAAAGATCGCTGCCGCCATCTTATCCTCCTATGTCATCGCCCTGTCAAAGGTAATGACTATTGGTGGGGCCTTTGGGCCTCAAGCGATGCCGTATAGTCATAACCTTGATTATCCTTGCGAGGGTGTAAAGGAAAAATCGGTATACTTCAGCCACTGATATAATCTAACGACAACTTATTGCGACACGGATTTACTTAACGAACGAAAAAAGTGAGTGAATCTTACCAAGAAGGAGAAGCTATTTACAATCCCCGCCCTAATATTCTCCAGCCTGCGTAAACATCATACCTAAGCCGCAAAAGCAGATCTTTGGCGTCTACATCAAATCGATCGAAAAAAAAACACTTCATTTCAAATGTGCTTTTTAGCATCTATTACTACACACCGAGAAAACACGGACCTTAATACGCCAAATAATGCCAAGCGCACTCGACGTCTTAAAGTCCATATTTCTCAATACATAACATGAAACGGGCACACCCTTACCAGATGACTGGTAAGCCTTGAGTTGACTGATATCCAGGCTGCGTCCTCCTGACGTCACGTACACGTGGCGTAAAGAATTGCAGCAAAGTAAACAGAACTAGCAGCTCTGTTTAGGGAAACGAGACCCGATTTAATATAGTCGAGTTTTTTTTGAGAATCATCTTTAACTTGATGCTCTAGGTTAAACTACAGTTTACTACGTGGGTTTCTTGCTCACCACCTATTGCGCGAGTCCAATAGAGATTGGTATGTAATATGTTTGATGTAGTGTATACGTAAACCAAAAGTGGAGCACCCTACATTATTGCTCTCGGGGGTAATACTCCGCCTAAATCACCTCTTTGAGAGTTATCATAGCTCGAAAATTATCTAAATGGATATTATTTAAAAACTGATATATTCGTATTAACTTTATGCAACGGACTCACCCCGTTACAGTGCATGCTTGAAAAGAAGCTCGAGCAACACATCCGTGGGCAGACGGACGCTATGCTGCCGTGTTGGGTAATTATCGATCGAACGTTCTACTACGTCTGTACGTTGTGAATTTAATCTACGATGGGCCGTGCAAACAACATAAGATGCTTTTTACACACGTTTAAGGACAATTTTTTGACGTCGCTATCTTTGTTTGGACCAGTATATAGCGCGTGAAAACCAAATGGAACAGTTTTTTCCAAACGGTCAACGAGACGAGTGCCTATCCACGTTAACGAACGTGTACATGTGCTTTCAAACATCGTGATGGACGAAAAAAGCGTCAGCAGTTTTTACGGAATTTCCACTAGATGCGTTCAACGGTCACACTTTACGGACTTGTGAGAGTCAAAAGATACGCCTGGCCGGTAGACAGACCTGATAAAACCAATGGACACGAGTATAGCGCAGAAGCTACACGCTAGTATACCAGTTCCTTGTTCACTTGTTAGCTTGGCTACTTACAATTTGGTCCTCGATCTGTTCCTCGCTTGCGCTGCCTCCTCAGCGCACTTTGTTAGTGCTGCGGCTGTTTTGGGAGAGCAGTAATCCACGGCGCATGTTTGGCGTCTTTACCCATCGCCCTTGCGGAGAAAGGAAAACCGGTGCCCAGAAGATAATGGCATTTTGGAATAGACGTCCAGCAGAATAAACATGCGAGTACAGATATTGCTCTCTTCAATTACAGAAAAAATCAGTGTCATTGTTATTTTTATGCATATGAAATTGTCACGTACCCATATAAGCAACAATGTGCTGTCAGAACTAGCGAGGGCGGTAGAATTGTTTGAGAGAGCGGGCTTCCACAGTGGATTACCGAGTGCAAAGAGAATTTATCAGTGCAGCGACCTCTGCCGCTGCCACACGTTTCCTTACGCTTGAAAATTTTTGGAACCACTACTTTTACGGACTAATTTAGCCCTATCTAGTAGACCCCACCGGCGTACAACTAGTACCCGGTTAGATACGGAATATCACTTTTCAACAAATAGGTTCCCAAAAGGGAGTTAATATAACGATATCCCTGTTTTTTTGCTGTGCACATCCCTCCAGCACTGACCACAAAAATATCAAACGGTACTCTATCAGGGTTACTTCACATGCACACCTACATTTTTCGCTGAATGCGCCCACATGCTTTACATGCTATTCATAAAACATATGTAAACAATGCCACAATCAGTATCGAAAGAACGCCAACTACTTGACTAGAGAGCGCCTACTATCTAGCCTCAGTCAGACCTCATTTTCCGTCTTCGTAACTTTGTCGTCAACACGACAATGATCTATCATATTTTCTCTTCTTTTTACATCAGGAGTGGAATTATGACAGATCATTGTCAGCTATGAAAGAACATGGGGAAACGGAGAGGTCGACATCGTGGGGTTCACCACCAGCCACGTGGTGGTGCAGTCCACGATGTTGAACCTCCTTTGCTACAGCGTCTGTCCTAGCTACTCATAAAGCTAAAAGCCAGAAACCAACCTACCTTGTCTGTTGACATTATGAACGACCCCGATGATCTCAGACCCTTTACTAAACCACTAGATTCATTAGCAGGATTCTTTCCTGCTCTTTGGTGTCACATGTATGCTCAATTTAAGCTTCAGCAGTCTTTCTCAGTTTTGCTTCGGCGTCTACAAGCATTGTCTCCACTAGCAACTACCGACGTTCACGTGCATGTAGTTGACGTGGTATCAATTACCACGCAAGCAAAACGAATGTGAGCGTGTGGCATACTTTCTCTACTAAACTCGGACACCGCTCGCTGCAATCGAGCGACAATATAAATCACTCGGAGACTCGGGCTCTGTCTTTCCCTCGCGATTATTCACACCGTCCAATGTTCCCTGCACTTGCAAGAGCAAGCGTGGCCACACAAGAGCACCACCTTCCACTAATGTATACACTTGGCACCCATTAGTATGCAAGTGGCACGCTAAAAGTGTCCACAGGAAATGCCGCTTCTCGAACCATTGGTTCATAAACATCAGCGTTGTCAAGATCGCGACCTCAAACCACCGCGCGTTGGCGTTGTCGGCCCAACGAGAATGTCGCACGGACCAAATGGACCCACAACGTCCAGGGCATGCATGTTCACAGACAGATTATAGTCGTGGACTCGGCTGCGGACATTAGACATCAGTGTGTAATGGCTGATACACGTGGCAGCACTTAAGGCATGGCCTGCGTGTCCGTAGACCATAGGAAACCAACACATGCACCGACATCTCCATCTGAGTCGAGCTCTTCCAAATCGACCGGACTACGTAGCGATACGCAAGTCGACTGGAATGGGAGCGGGATGGTGCTACATCGGTGCGGTCGCATCGCCTTGGAGATGCTCGTGCGTCACAATTCTCACTTTCTTGTCCACGCCAGAGCCGTCTATTCCAGCATTAACATGCATCGAAACGTTCGGGCAACAGAGGACATGCGAATCAACTGAGAAGTTGTGGACGCATGCGGTGTCGCTCCGTTCGTATCCAAGATAGAAAAGTCGAGACTTGTCTTCGAAATATGTGCTGGCATGGAAATAGGTACGAAGATGTATCCCCTGGTAAAAAATCTACGTGTATTGAGCTCTGCGTTCAGAAGTTCCCACGTTGAACATGCAAACTCTATGGACGATGAGAACTTAGTGGCAGCGTTGACGCAAATCTCACTCTTCGATGATCCTTCGTGTCCCAAGTAGCTTTTGGGATCGCAGCAACAAATCGACATTCTCAAAGCTTTTTCAGGGTTCAGCTCAGATTTGGTGGCAAACAAGATTTCCAAAACGGAGCTCACCGTACCCACCCATTGACTCAAAACCTTGAGCGTGGGCGGACGTGGACGTGGCGCCCAATTTGGGACTTTGGTGCATGCTCAGGGTTTCGAAGGACCAATTTGCTCTTCCGTAACCTGCCCGTGCGTGCACCGCAGTATTCGTACGGCGCAATGTATTGGAATTCGACCACCATTTAGAAACGCTGCAGATTAGTGTTCATTCGAAGCCCTTGGTACGAACAAATGCGCCGGCATCAGTGCCCTGCGTCGCAGCTGCAAAGCACCAAGAGGTACAAATGTGCCGAAAAAAGACAATTGAAAACGCTAACGACAGCTTCATGCGGTCCACTGGGCGAGCTACGTGTTCAATCCAACACTCACTTTGACAACCAGCTACTTTGCTGACGTGAGCGGTTGCAACAAAGTACTCTGAAGGAGCTGGTCGCCATTCTTGCCGCTAATGACAAGTGGAACAGCTTCCAGTAGAGCAGTCTGCATGTGAATCTTCTTCTCGTTGTACTCGTAGTCCCGTTTGGACTTGAGGAACGCCGCGGAAACGCCCTCCGCTTCAGCATTGACCACGATCGCCGCCGCCTCCTTTTTAGCGGCTTCAATCTTTGCGTGTCCGTCCATCTTTGCCACGCTTACAAACTGATCGAAATCCGCCTTGAGACTGTTGAGTTCCACTGTCGGGAGAGCTTTGCGTTTGACCGTCTTGGCAGTTGCACTCGCGACAGCGTTCGCTTTGTAGCCTTCTGCTGCCTTGATTTGGTTTTGGTTCTTCGACTCGTGCTCCGCAATCGTGACCTGAGCCTTCGCTTCGGCGATCGTGCGTCGCTCGTCTCGAATGATCGCTGCACGAACACTTTCAGCCTGCAAATCTTGAATCGCTCGCTCATTCTCCTTCTCCAGTGCTGTGAGCTTCTGCGTCTCCTGATTTAGCAGGATTCGCATCTGGTTTTCGTGATTCTTTTCCTGCTCCTCCATACGCGTCTTGAACGCCGTCGTCTCCTCAAGTGTTTTGGACAAAGCTGTTGGCAACTCTACATTCGTCACTTTGACATTGTGAATGAAAACACCGTAGGATCGAAGCTTGGCCTTCAGGTCCGTCTTCATTCCCACGGCAAATTCTTCTCTGAGGTCATGCACTTGGTCATGTCGCACTGAGTGCACAAGACCTCGAATTGCTTCCTCCGTGAGACTGTAGAGTAACTCGTCAAAGCGATGCGCTCCTAGCGAATACACAAAAGTGTATGCGTCATCCTCTGTTGGGCCGATTTGAAAGCTGATGGAAATGTCAATATCGACCATCACGTTATCAGATGTAGGACATCCGCGCACAGGGTTGGAATACGTCACTGCCTGTTTGGTCACAATGTGTGAGACGCGGTTCCACGCCGGCCAGAACATTTTCAGTCCTGGATCCATCACGCCCGAGTGCGCGTTCCACGTTTGCTTCAGGACCCAGAAACCAGAGGGCACTTTCAGAAACAACGTCATGAACTTCGGGTAGCGCGGCGTGAGCACAATCGGGATCCGTCCATCGAGCACTTTGGCGTTAAAGTGTTTCATCGCGTGAATGGGTTTGCCAATGTCCTTTTGCACGAGGCGGTTCACTCGGTAGCTATAGCGACTCGTCTCCTCGTCGGACATTGTCAAAAACGATTCTCAAGACGAAGAGAGACGCTCTGGAAACAGCAGCAAGCGGTGGGTTGAAAAATGACGTTGAAGTCGAGCTGTAACTCGTTACTGGGTTGAACCCATCGGGGAACACAACGTATCAGACTGGCTGGACAGATGTGGGCATACAATGTACCCACACAACTTGTCCCGCACATCAACTTCAACGTGTACCTACAAGAAAAACACAAGTCGTTGTCACGTTTCGTACCCATCACGGACGACCTTCAACCCACACAACTAACTCGTTCGCGAGGTTGTACCCATGACAACGACAACAATTGACAACGTCGAGCTCATTGTCACATTTGCACCCACGGCGCAACTCGCAGCTACGGTTTTGTTCATCTTCTCTCTCTCTCTCTCTCTCTCTCTCTCTCTCTCTCTCTCTCTCTCTCTCTTTCATTCTTGTAATGGGAGCTAGTAGCAGTAAACTCCATAGCGATGCGCTTCCTGGTGGCCCGCAGCACCAAACGCGGCTGCAGTACCGCCGCACTGGGCGTGTAGACTCTGCGAATCGCACATTTGGCGCTTGTTACGATGGCAATACTGTGGTCATTATCACCCCTGGTCGGAGTCTGCTGAAGCCATACCTTCGCGTTCCTGAAGGGACGTATGCACTCGTTCAAAGCCACGGACGGGATGTGGACTACGTCAAGCCAGACGGCAGCTGTACGCCGGTGTGGCCGCCTGGCATGCACGTTGCTTCAATCTTCACCAAAGTGGCTCACCTTGTCACGAAACAATACATTGTGTTTGACACGCCTGTCAAGGGATGCAAAACCGCAGACAATGTGACAGTGGGCATTGATATATGTCTAATCCTACGCATCGTGGGCGATGAGTCCAAAGGTGAAGACCCCGAGCTCGTACGTCGATTCGTGTACGAATTAGGTCCAAATGGACTGGAAGTGCAGCTTCGTGCAGCTCAAGATGAAGCTGTGAGAGCACTTGCTCGTAGTGTAGAGCACACGGAAGTATATCAGCTTCGTGACGGTACTATGCGTGAGCGATTCAAGACGGGAGCGCTCAACTGCCGTACGGATCGAGTCGTAAAGGACGAGTTCCACTCGCCCAAGGGAAAGGAGACGGTGACCGAGCACGATGTTCCAGACGAGAAGAAGGTGCGCTACTGTGTGACGGAAGACATTCGCCACAGTCTGAATGAGCAATTTAATGCCTACGGTGTTGAGATCACCAGCGTTGCCATCACAAACGTGACGCTCCCTCCTGAGTTCCAAGCGCAGATGCAAAGTCGCACGACGCATTTAAGTGCCATCAAGGAGCAAAACATGAAACAAATGAGTGATATGCAGATGTTGCAGTACAAAGAGGAGATTGATACGACGAGACTCGAGCGCAAGATGATGTACATGGAAGAAGAACAGACCGGAAAGGCCAAGTGTGCCGAGATCCGCAAAGGTATTGACCTCATTAACGCACAATCCGAACTCGCGGATGAAGAAATCAGTCAAAAGACCATTGTGACTTGCGACAACCTCCACGTTGAAGCGTCATTGAAGATCGCCGAGGTCGATGCAGAGAGGACGCAGATTACAGCAGAGATCTTGGCTCATTGCGATGCGGAGATTGGGCTCATCAATGCGGAGAAGGCTGCGCTGCAAAGTCAATTGGAGACGACATCGAGTGGAATCCGCGTGACTTCCGAGTCAAAAGCAGCTGAGCTTATCGCTCAGGCCGAGGGTGCTGCAGCCAGTCAATTGGTAAACTACCGTCGACACGAGCTGGAGATGAAGAAGCTCGAGATGCTCGGGTCACTAGCGAAGAACAAGAGGGCTGTCGTGTCAGGTGACACGTCAAACAGTTTGCTGTCGGAGGTGCTCGTAGCCAATCGCCAAGGCAACGTCATGCTGAATATCGACGGCCTGATGGGCAAACTCGGTAACGGCAAATGTACCTGAGCGTACCGAGCACATGTGGATGTGTCGCGCCCGTCGGTACCATGTGGATGCAACAGCAGTACACTGGATTCGTCTTTTTGTATCGGGAACGGTACCACGATCATAGAGGCGACCAGTGGCAAGTCGCGAAGTGACAAGCAATACTCTGAGTAGACCGCGTCTTTCAAATGCTCAAACGGATTGAATCGAGCAGACTCTCGTCATTCTTCCATTGCTTTGTACCTCGAGACGTATCCAGTGTTGAAGAATACACGCATTTTGTGTGAAGAAGTCTCAATGGGTAAATTTGCGAGTGTAAAGGGAGACGCTATCAGCGACGGTGCGCAAGGTGGTGTACTGCCTACAATCGTTTCTCCGAATAGGTGGATAGGCATGATAGATTTATCTAGTGGTTAGTTTGTTGAACGTGACCGCGTAGTGTTGGAGTCCATAGGGTTTGGATGATACCACTTAGTCACGGTGATGACAATGAGAAACGGTGATTGGGAAGGAGGCTTAGACGTGCGCCTTTGCATCAGGGACGGTGATCTACATGTAGGAACTATGGGAAGTCTGTGGGACGTGAATATGCGTACCATAGACAAGTAGTTTAACGGAAGGAATAGGAGCAAGCAAGTCTTGCCACTTGCGAGGTCAGTCGGCGATAGGATAGGCGGAAGACGAGAGAAAAAACCAGAACAATACACCGAAGATTCGGTGAAGCTCTTGTGTTGCAATTCTGACTTGAGAATCAAGTCACTTACGCATTAGTGCCTGCACGTGACTGACTCAAAAGTGAATAAGGCGACCACGGCAATCGAGAACTTGCTCGACATCGAGGCGGTGAACGTTTCGCACCTCCGGCAACCAGTAAATGTGACGTGGGCTTTGTTCGTCGTACTTGAGAGAATGGAACAGGATACAATTCATGATCACCTTCCTCGCTTGATGGCAGAGAAATCTCCCTCGATTTGATTCATTTCTCCAGGAACCAATTCGATGTCGTTGGCCGCACTTTCTTGTCAACGGCGCAGGAACTTCCTCCGTCTCACTTCCTCGTATTCTCCTCTTTGACGCATTTCCAATATCGAAGAGCAGCAACAGAAGATCAATCAACACTTGTAAATTTGACACACAGGACAAGAAATCGACCGACAAGTAGCTGACAAGTCGAGTCAAAGCAAACGCATGATACTGCTGTAAGGCGCAACCTAAATTATAAACAAAGCTTAAAGACGTCTTCTACATACAATCGATTGGAGTGATCAAGAGTGGAGCAGACGGCGTAATATCGTAATGGTGGCAATATAAATGATCTCAATGATGTACGACACATGGCTATCAAGAGGTGCGTGGCCGCTGGAGAGCTTTCTGACGTCAATCCCAAATTGCTCGGTCCATTCAACCTCAGAAACAAGCCCAATAAAGCCGCCGTATCGCCATTTTAGCAAAATACTCAACCGAGTTAGCTAATGACTATAAGATTTGGTCTCTCGTCGCAAATTTGGTCCAGTCGACATCGCTACGTGATTACGTCCTCCATCGACCGCCGCCCTGCAGTCCTAAATCCGGTTCACCCCTAAAAACGAGTCACTCAAACACGACGAGTCCTGCATTGCGTGTCAAGTCACACTTTTACAATTCAGCCACATGTCCTCCTCACCTTCGCCTCCATCCACGAAGCTCCGAGTCCTGTGTCTACATGGCGCTCGCACCAATTGCCGAGTGATGGAAACGCAGACACGTGGACTTCGTGACGCATTGGGACCAAATGCCGAGTTCATTTTTCTCAACGGATCATTCGAAGCTCGTGGACCAACCGATGCGATTGTTGAAAAGCTCTTTGGAGATACAGCGCCATTTTTTGAATGGTGGATCGTGAGGGACTTGGAAAACGAGGAAATAGAAGACATTGAAGCTCAGGATGGTGTTCCCCAGGGCACCGCAGCACGCTGGTGTCATGCGTTCGAGGGCATCGATCAAGCCATTGAAAGTATGGACGAAAAGCTCAAAGAATTGGGCGAGTTTGACTTGGCCGTGGGGTTCTCACAAGGTGCCGTTATGCTCACCATCTTGTCCATGTGGTACCACAAAAAGACGCCTACCAAGCCGTGGTGGAAGCTTGTGCTTTGTGTGTGCGGCGTGTACCCACGAGGGATTAATGTGCGGGAGCTGTTCGAGGAGAACGATGGGAAGCCGATACTCGTGCCATTTCCTTCGATCCATGTAGTAGGACAGAAGGATAGTTTGTATAAAGAGTCGTTGGTACTAAAAGACATGTACACACCACATGCCCGCGGGAGTCCGCTCGAGAGACTGCTCATTGAGCACGATGGGGGACACAAGTTCCCGTCTCCAGGACGACACACAAAGTTTTATGCCGACTTGGCAGACACGATTTGGCAGTTTTTCACCGACATACATCACAACTCGGTGGCAAGACTGTAATGAGGTGCCAACTCCAGCTTCGTAACGAGAGCAAGTACAAATAAATGTCATCGATATGCCACACGTCTTCATGAAGCATCCTTCGAGTGGCGACTTGGCCTTGCCACACCAATTTTTGATCGATCTTGTGCACTTAGCTGCAGCGCGTCTTTTCGAGTACGACAATTCCGAACTTCCGCGTACTATTCACCACATGGGCAAGAAGAGCCTTCATTTTCGCCACAGACGGTCCCTTTGCGTTGTAAAATACAGGATGCAACATTGTCTGGAAGGTTATCGACGAGCATATTGCGATCGTGACTTCAAGAGAAGGCTAAGAATCGAGACTTCTTTTACAAGCATGGGACGCGTCATCAAGTAGCTTTAGAGCAACAGAAACAAGGGATCGTGGCTGGATACGGATCGAAAACATAGCATTTGTTCTGTCACTAGCGTAATACGACGACCCGAGACAGCACAGCAGCGGTAAAGTGGATATTGCGAGGTATACGATCAAGTCGGGCTCAAAGCAAAACAGTTGTGGTTGTGAAGGCACAAGCTTAAAGAAGTATACGAACGTTGTAACGGGTGACGTAGGACGAAAGGAGCTGCATCATGCACAGGAAAGGTAAGATGAGGAGACTCAAGCTTGAGTATTGTTTATGTTTCGAGTGCATCTTGCCGTGCTCATGAACTTGACGCAGATCGAGCTGACTGCTCGCTGCTAAAGTATCGATAGGAGACCCTCATGATGATAAGTCTGGAACTGGGTAAAAGCTCACATGTACACACGCTGTTCGCAGCAATCTGTTCTTGGTAAGTATTGCCATCTTAGTAATTCTGACATCGTTGTCGCTGTGCTCTTCTTCTCGCGATAAAGCGATGCTGTTGTGATTCTACAGTTCAGGTTGGCGAAGCTGCGTATCAAGTATTGCAGCTACGCGCGCACAACAACCCCCTGTTGTTTGTCATTCACACTTTAGCTTGCGAGATCAATCGCGAATCAAGTAGCTGCTCGAATAGCCCGACCAGCAAAACTGATGCCGCAGCAAATGACCGACTGACAGCACATATGAATCGTGGTTGCGCTCACATGCAAACACGTCACATGCTGCATTGAGGTTGAGGATGCTTAGTTTTTGCATCGATATGCTTGATGCAAACGTGACTTCCGTAGCTTTTGACAAAGCTGTAACGAGCAATAGTATCGTTCGCACAAACTCGACTGTCCGTTGTAATTTCGAGCCCAAGCGATCGACCACGGTCTATGATTCGATCGCGCTACGTCGGACACGGACCTTCCCTTTTTACTTAATCTTGCTATTCCAGCTGAATGAGCCAAGAGGAGCCACACCGCATGTCCCTATTGCAATTGAGACCATTGTTTGGTCTCAACGAAGAAGCTTCACATCCCCCGTAACCGCTCCTCTCCCCGTGCCTACCAATGCACGGCATCGTTCACCTGTTACTGTTCGCCTCATGGTTCCTGCCTCCTTCCAATGCAGTGAAAGGCTCTCCTTCTCCACCCTCAACCATTGACACTTTCCAACAAAGAGAGCCATCCCTGTCTTCCGGAACGATCCATTCTTCTTCTTCTTCCTCAGAAACAGACGATAGTCCATTCGGATCCAGGAGCTCCTGTGCCTTCACCCATTTCCACCCCCGACGGTATGCAGCGTATCATCTTCACTCACTGAATCAATCAGTTGTGCCAAGTATCGCTATCGACGGACTGTTGGATGAACCGGCGTGGACTCAAGTGCCGTGGAGCGAGGAATTTCAGGACATTCGGGGTCCGACGTTCTGGTCCCAGCCATGGTTCACGACCAAATTCAAGCTCCGGTACGACCAGCAGTTTCTCTACATCGGCGTCTACGTGGAAGAAACCGAGGTGTGGGCCAAGGCATCCCACGACAATGATGTGATCTTTCAGGACAACGACTTTGAAGTGTTTGTGGATGCTGACGGGAGTACGCACAACTACAAGGAAGTGGAGCTCAACGCTCGAAATGCGACGTGGAACCTCTGGCTTAATCGTCCTTACCGAGACGGTGGTCACGAAAACAGCACGCGCGTTGATCCCCAACATGGGTTTGACATGTTGAGCAGTGGAATGCGCTTCGGCGGTCTATGTCAAAGGCCCCATCAATGACCCTGGTACGTCTTACTTGATGGAACATGAACAGGAATAACATTCATCGTAATGGTGCTTTCACCTGCTTATCGAGTAAATGTCGGTATGTTTGCAGCTGAGCGTCTGCACTACTGGACAGCTGAACTTGCGCTGCCATTGTCGGAACTTGCTCGATATTCACAAGCCAAAGTTCCGCCCGTATCGACATCGTTTTGGAGGATCAACTTCTCACGTGTTGAGTGGCCTGTTCGTGTTGTTTCGGATCGAGACACTGGCAAACAGGTTTACGAAAAGGAGTCGGGCTTAAGCGAGGAGAATTGGACGTGGAGTGCACAGTTTGCAGTCGACATGCATCGTCCAGAGTGGTGGGGATACCTCTACTTTCGTCCGCGACATGAAAGTCCACCGTTGACAGAAGACAGCAACGAGACTGTACCACTTGATCCTGAATGGGGCGTGCGGTAAGTCAGTTTCCAGTACTATTACGCCCAACACGCTTTCTACGATGCAACAGGAACGTACACGTCAAGATTGGAGCAGCTACTGCCGTTCTACGCTTCCCGCGAGGCTATACTGTGCACTAATGTTCTTGATGTCAGCGCTTCAGAGAAGTCGTTTCATGCTCGGATTCGATTGAGAGGGCACGCTGGTGCTTCCGAGTTTGTTGCAAGAATCGACGAGAACGGGTACATCTTCATTGAGAAAAGCAGCAGTTCAGTCTCCATTGCTGCTGTGGAATGAATCCGATAAGAAGACAGCGATTCATACGAAACAAACTCGTTACGTGATTACTGGTACATGGTAGCAATCGCACAACCAACCGACTTCCATCTCTCTCGTTCACGAGCTCAAGCAAAATAGATCCACATGGAAAACGTGATGGCAAGAGCGGCAATGCCACTACCAGCAACCAGCACATTTACCCACGTGGGCTTGGCTACTTCGGTGACGTCTAGCTTCAGCACCTTGTCCCAGTGAATCATGTACTTACGGACCACTTCCGGTGGCAAGCTCTTGTCCTGCGTTAGCAGACTCACCACGACACATACAACCATAGCGGTGACCCATAGTAACAGGGCAAAGTGTTGAAAGTTCATGTAGAAGAACGTATTCAAGAATCCGGGTAGATCACCATCCATACTGTCGCCCTTGATCGTTACGAAGATGAGACGTGAGAAACCTAGCAAGCCGCCGACAACCATAGCAGAGAATGCTCCGTACACGTTAGCCGACTCCCAGGTAACACCAAGCACGAGCACAATGCCGATGGGAGGGGTCAAGTAACTTTGAATCTCAACAATCTGCTCATAAAGACCTGTTCCATTGCGCATGATAGGAATCCAGCAAAAACTGAGCACCGCAAAGGCGATAATACTCATGCGACCGACCCACACGAGCTGCTTGTGTGAAGCATCCGGTCGAAAATTGAGATAGATGTCGTTGGTGACAACAGACGAACCCGCAGCAAACACGGAAGCTAAACTCGACATCATAGCGGTGATGATACTAGAAATCATCACACCAACAATACCATGCGGCATTACTTCGGTAAGTAGTGTGGGGTACGCGGCGTCAGTGCCTTCTTCAATCTTGCTGAAGTCAAAATAGATGCTAGCAATGATACCCGGGATGATGATTAAAAACGGCGGAAGCACCTTCAGCATACTGGCGAGCGAGCAGCCAGCCTTTGCGTTTGCTGTGTCCTTAGCAGACAGAACACGCTGAACAAGATCTTGGTCCATACACCAATACCATACCGACCCGACGGGCTGACCAAAGATCATACCCGTCCAAGGGTAATCCGGATCGTCTGTTGGCTTCCAAAGGTGGAACCAGTCTGAGCGGCCCTGGTTGGCCAAGTTTTCCCTGATGCCTTCGAAGCCGCCGATCTGGTTCATGGAGTACGAAAAGATCACGAAGCCACCCAAAATGAAGACACACATCTGGAAAAGGTCCGTGTACATAACAGCACGAAGACCACCGGCAATGCTGTACATAGCACTCAGAGAAATACAGACGCCTGCACCGATATACAGATTCCACCCTAAAGTTGCTTGGAAGACGACTGCACCGCCATAAATACTTGCACTCATCTTCGTCAATACATACATAATGACTGTTATGAGTGACAAATAGTGTCTACACGGAGCACCAAAGCGGTATTCCAGGAATTCCGGAGTCGTGTACACGCCACAGCGGCGATAAATAGGTGAAAAGATCCAGCCCAAGCACAAGATTAAAATTGCAGCGTACCACTCGTACATGGCCACTGCAATACCGCGACGAGCTCCGTCGCCAGCCATACCGATAAAATGTTCAGCACCAACGTTGCTGGCAAATAGGGCTCCGCCGACAAAATACCATTGCATGCCGCGATCAGCCAAGAAGAAGTTGGACATCTCATTGACTTGGTTATCCGGTCCGTCGCGTGCAATGAGCGAGGTGGAAGGTTGGGCGTGAGGGATGGTAGACCCCCTCTCGTCCCCCAGTGGTCGTTTCTTGCAGGGCGTGGTCTCTGAAACCAAGTAGCTGTCCCCAGGGGACTCGGCCATTGCATGCTTTGGCAAAGGCCGTTTTTTTGCAGGTTGAAGACAGGGAAAGCATTTCGTCAAGCGACTCTCGCCAGCTTGAACGGACGCAATGACCGCGACGACCATCGTGAATAACAAGACGGCGACGATAATGAGAATGTCGATGGGGTGGACCTTGGCCCTGTTCGACGTGTCGGGCACCGACGGGGTGTAGAGCTTGACCATGCGACTGACTGCGAATCCAAGGCAACAACTGGATTGGGTTCAAAAGCCTGGCGGGGGTTCCAACGGTCAGCTGGGAAATGAGAAATGATCGGAGTGTCATAACAGCGACCCGAGGTGGCACCGAGGTTCAATGCTCGAAGCTCGAGGTTGGTGGTCTACATACATAGAGTACGTTATGCACCTGTCAGACTGACGTGTTAGCCGGGGCGAAAGGGCTGGTCGCGTCATGATGGACAATAACTCAGATGGAAGGTGGCTGGAGATCGAACGAATCCTTTTCGACGAGAGTCAACTCCTGTATGCTCGAGGGCGTGCAATCTCAAAGGCCATGGCCTTTTGCTGTAAGCTCAACACGTCTTTGTCGATCATTTGTGGCTGCGAAAAAGAGACGGTCAGGGCGCAAAGATGCGGGGCAGCGTCGAGTCGAGCGACTGGGTATGTTGCACTTGTCAACAAAAAGCTGCAGGGAAGCGAGCGGATTATGAATCTGGAGGCTCGGACGATGCTTTTTGGTTTTGTTGGTCCGAATGTTGCTTGTGTTCAAGTGCCATCGTGCATTCGGCTTGTTTTTCCAGCTAAAACGAGGCTTACGTTGAGTCATGGGTGCATCGACATACCTATTGTCAAAGCCCCGGCGAAGCTTCTGGAAGGCTTTTGAATGCGGACGGCGTCAGACTTTTTGCGGGATCTCTTTGAGACGGGAAGCACCGAGCATCTTGGCGTGTTGTGGGTTGATTCGCAGAGACGTTTTCTGATCCCATCGTGTCGATCTGCGGTCGTTCGTTCGCTAACCTTTCGAGACTTTTCCATGGCTCCTTCACCTTTTTCGAGGGTGCTTTCATCTTAGCTCAATGTCGGATATGATCTCCCTCCTCCAAATGCTACAGTTGATCCGCTTCATTTGCTACTACAACAGCTCATGTCTGTACTCGTTGTTAATGTCCGATGTATTCACAAGAGCGCTTGCACTATAGCGGCGAAGTTAGTCGGTTAGCAGTCAATACGTGGTAATTCAAAGTGCAACTTGTAGCAACGAAGTCTTGAATGAACAAGCTTCGCACCCACGTGGTGTGTAGCTCAGGTTTGCAATACTAGTGGTCAAAACGTGCTACTCCATGCGTCACGTGCGTTTGCAGCACAATGTATTCAAGGCAAGTGGCTAGTTGCGCATTGAACGATGCCCTGTAATGCTGCTGTGACTGTATGACTCATTGCAAAGCAAGTCTTCTTGCAGCCTGGTGTCACGTCGAGTGTCGTGCGATGGTAACGCAAACAACTAGCTCACTTGCTACCGCTTACTACCTACAACGCACGGACAAGCGTCAACGTTACAGCATCTTACTCTCGGACGATCGAACAATAGCAAACTCCACGTAAGGTAATCATAATACGTCATTCGTCTTTACTAAGCTACGGATATACTCACCTGGTCGTTCGTGCGGGCGACCTACCCACAGCACAACCAGTCAGTCAAGCTCGTGTACCAAATCATCCACTTTGCGCTCTTGCAGCACCGTGGATTCCCCAGCCACTTGCAGGTACACGTGCACGTGAAAAATGTCAATGGAACGTTCCGGGTTGTCATCATAGTTCCACCGATCGACATGTGACGCATTGGCATCAATCCAGCTTTCCACGTATTGCTTCACCTGTTCATGATTCAGATCCTTCACGTGCCACAGCGTCCAGTGCTCAATGCCTGCAGGAGTGTCATAGGGAAACATATTGGGTTCTAGAAACGCAGTTCTACCCTTCAGAGTAGTAGCAAAAATATGATCCTCAGCTGACCCATAAGTCTTGGCAATCTCATCAAGATGATCCCACTTGCGCTCCTTACACTCACCGGTTCGGCTCCAATACTCAATGTAAAGCGTACGACGGCTGCGGCGACGCGTTGACTCACTGCTACATGCAACATCAGCAGTGACATCCAATTCAACACTTTCACAGCCACCAACAGCAGTACAGTCATAGCCACGAGATACCGAGCACTCGAAAGAGTCTCCCTCTTCATAGTCACTCGGCAAATAGTCACTGTCTGCCGCTTCAGAAAGGACCATCGACAGGTTGTTATCGGACTTTAGTTTTTTTCGTGGCGGGTCGTCACCCGTTGCTTGGTCGGGATCTTCATCAGCAGCTGCTTGGCGCTTAATCAACGATGAGCTGCTCACACGATGGGCAAGAACCTCGTTAATATCAACGGAACCCGAAGCCAGGGCGGGATTACCGGTGGAAGCCTCAGGCTGTTCAAGCTCATCACCTGATTCCGCGTCTCTTCTGACATGGACCTGAAGCTGCACACACACGTAACAAAATCCACACCGCCCACAAATAACCTCAACATCCATTAGAAACGAGCTCGAAACGAGCCAATAAAACCTCACTCCAGCGTCACCGCACCTTGTCGTTTGCTACCGATGAGCTGTTCATCGCTCGGCCACTGAAATCCACATCGGAAATCGACGATGGCGAGTGACAGCATGAGCGGGGCGAGGTCGCGCTCATCTCATGGCGCGCACACTTGATGCTGCTTACTGTCGAGCACGTCATGGCTTCAAAAGTGTAGGACAAGAACAGGCCGTTGACTTGTTGTGTTCGATCTTTCACACAGAGGCAACCAACCCACTGCGAAGTTTTGGTGTGGATTAGTGTGGACCACGTCCGAATGGAAAAGGAGCAGAAAAGGGGCAGCGCACGACTCGACAACGTGAGGGGTCGCGCTTGCGTCCTACGTTGCACTTTCGAGAATGAGCGACTGCGACAAGGACGAGCGAAATGTAGGGAAATCGAATCGAGAAAGCGGGAAAAAAAGAGGCGGCGGCCGCGTGACGACTGCATGGGTGTCAGTGACTTGGGTAAAGTATGGAGAAACGACATCGCCCCGCCTTGTGGGATCGCCTGATCCATCTTTGTGGTACACTTACGGGACCAAGCGGTGATTGGTCACGAGGCGCAGGCAGGCGGACCCACCGCAGTGGCAATTGACAAACACTCTGCACGTATGGGCAAGCGCGCGCCTGTGATGCCCGTCTCGGAGGCCGAGAAGCTCCTGGTGAGCGACGTTTTCCAGACGACCAATGCACCGAGCGAGACGAAACACAAGCGCAAGAAACAGCGGCCGAGCCCTCTTAGCGGGCCAAAGCTCCAGGCCGCGTGGGTGGACGAAGACGACGAGCACGTGCAGGTGAATCTCGAGACGCAGCCGCAGCTGCGCAAGCACCGCAAGACTGATCGGGACACGGTCGTGAGTGGCAAAGAGCTGCAGAGTCGCCTCAAGACGTTGTACGTTGGTGTGGTGTACACAATCTGCTGACCGTTTCGAAATTTCTAAATGTTTTAGAAATGGATGAACAATGTCTGCTGTGGTCTTGTGTAGTAACGATAGCGGCCTTTTTCTGTGGTATGATGTTGTGGTCGCTCTGATGTTTTTACAGTCACCAATCGGGACATGGAACTGCATTGTGGGCAGACCCTAAAAACTTCGTGGGCGATCAGCTCGTGGACGGTAACGACAGTGACAATGAAGACGAAGCCGATCTCGTCCGTAGTACTGGCAAGATGCTGTACTCGTCTAATGAAGCGGTGCCCCAGGGGGAACTCGAGGTAGTTCGCATGAAAGATGCGAATCAACACGCACCATCGAATGCTGTTGTGCAGTCGATGCAGTTTCACCCAAATGGACAGTTGATGCTCACTGCGGGGTTGGACAAGACCCTGCGGCTTTTTCAGGTGGATGGTAGCAACAATGCAAAAGTTGAGAGCGTCTTTGTGCAAGACTTGCCTATGTTAGACGCTAAGTTTACGATGGCTGGACAGCGTGCAGTGCTGACTGGACCCCGACAGTATTTCTTCTCATACGACATTGAAGCAGGCAAGATTACCAAGATTCCGGGTCTCTATGGACGTAAAGAGAAGAAACGTAATACATTTGTGGTCTCGAATAACGGTGAGACGATTGTATTCATGGGAAGTAATGGATACTTGGACGTAGTGTCTGCAAAGTCGTACGAGTCGATCGGTACACTCAAGATGAATGGAAGTGTCAAGTCAGTGGCCTTCTGCGAGAATGATCGCTACTTGCTGAGTACAGGCTCAGACGGACAGGTTTACAAGTGGGATATGCGTACCCGGCGGTGTGTCTTTGTCCACGATGATGAAGGGAGTTTAGGCAGCTTTGCCTTGGCTGCTAGCGATAAATATTACGCCACCGGTTCGAAAAGTGGTGTGGTCAATATTTACGACAATGCAGGTCCGACGGCTATGCCGAAACCACGCAAGGCGTTGATGCATCTCACTACTCAGGTCGATTGTCTCCAGTTCAACGCCAGCTCGGAGATTCTGGCCATGGCATCAACTAGCACCAAGAACTCGCTAAAACTGGTGCACATGCCGTCTTTGACTGTTTTTGCCAACTGGCCGACGGCACACACGCCGCTGCACTACGTGACAGCAATGGACTTTAGTCCGAATAGCGGCTACTTTGCAGTTGGTAATGCGAGGGGACGTGTATTGCTGTATCGACTGACTCACTACAAGTCCACATAGAGGGAGGATAGTATGTTAATCAACCGTTCGTACGCCGCGGTTTATCAGAGGCTTTGCTGTGCGTGTTGGCAGATTTCACGTGGTTTGCACTATGCTGCTAGCAATCGACTTGTCTGTTGCACGTCGCTCTGTTGTCGTCCATCCGTGGCCGAATCAGAGTCTCCCGTCAAATGAATGTACGTCAGGCTAAGCTTCTTAGTCGCAGAAATGCGTGACTCCCTTGCGTCGATTTGTCCTTCCTCGACTCCATTTACCGAACTCGTTGTGTCAAATCGACTTTAGTTACCAACGTCACATACTAACACGTCCACCTCTCGTATGAAACCGTAGAGACATGTTCGTGCGAAGCAATAACCGCTATGAAGACGCAGCATTATTGTTGAGGCAGAAATCTACTACAGTGACGTTTTTTTGGATCGGAGTAGACACGGTCTCAAGATCAATATGCCATGGTAGAAACACCGATGTGTCAACATGCCTTTCTTGTGCGGTTTTGAGTGCACGGTAAGTATGAGGCATCTATTGAAATGGGTACGACGTTATGGGCAATCACGATATGGTGTCACAAGGTATTAGAGCCAGTTGCGACAAGCGTTGTCATCCCTCTCTATAACAGGTCTGTAACGTGAGTGCAAGTACTTTAACGACTTAACAATGTTAGCACATGCTCTACCGGGTTTGAATTTACGCCAAGTATGGATACATCGAATCGTATGTTCGCTGTTAGCGAGCACTGCGTCTATTTACTGGGATAGAGTCACGTTATAATATCAGCACGTACGTCGGCAAATGATAACAAGTCACTCAGAAAGCGTGTTTACGCGTCCGTGCGTGAGACTTGACACAAAAGTGTTTGTCGTAGGTCTGAACTTACTCAAAATGAGCAGATCATCATTTATCGGCCTCGACGTTGTACCTCCATACGAACATGTCTTTACATTCACAAGCCTTTGCCTGAGGCGTGAAAAGGATAAAGCGAACATTTTCACTACAACCTGTACCCGGTGCAAGGTTGACGTTAGCCCAAAACGAGAAATTAGTGTGGCTGTCATTAGAACATGGTGCTTCTTGACACTTCCTTCCAGACTGTTAATGGCTGCTGTGACGCAGCACTGACAAAGACGCCGTCTTAGTTGTTCAAGGCCTTGCAACACTTTGTCCTGCACACACACCCGAGCAAATTGCGCGTACTTCTTCAAAGCCGTCGTCTTAGCTTTCCGACAATCGGAACCTCAAAACACAAACCCTCGAGCATTGCATTGGGCTCTGCTCAACTATAACCGCAGGCAACAAACCCGGCTGAGCTGCTTCGAGCATCCTTAACGTCCTTCGTTGTAATCACCAAGTGCTTTCACCCACATGCGCTACAAACGCAACGCACATTCCCGAACAACGCTAGCACAATCAATCGCTCAAGTCTTCAAAATTGCGAAATGCTTTCACCTTGTCCTTAGTTACACCTAAAACACTCACTCGTGTCTTACCAAATCACCTGTGTCCTTTCGACCAGCCATCCATCTCTTTCCATGCAGCACTTTACACGGTAGAAGAGCTATACGCGCACGAGCATCAGCGTGTTCCACACAAAGTCCGCGCGAAAATGAGACACGAGCAAAGCTGTCTGCTCCTCTCTCTCTCTCTCTCTCTCTCTCTCCTTTGATCTACGCAAACTTAGAAATCGCTTGCCAGATGATCACTGCTAC